AACGGTTTCGAACAGCCTACGGTGGCTGTGTAGAGTCGATAGAGTCGATATAGAGTCGATAGGGAAGCTGTCCAGGCACTCGAGTCCTGACAGAGAGAGAGTTTAGCAGACGACTGCTGAGTACTTTCGGGGGAACTGATTGATTGCTCATTCATGCCGATTCGGCTACATTTTATACTCCTTAGCTAGGCCAGCTTTCTGAGTCATATTAGTAATCCTAGCAGTGCTGAGTCAGCTTCTGACTCAGCCGAGTCATGATTTGTCATGTGCTGACTAAGCTTGGGCACCGCTTGGTAATCCCTTTTCCTAATATGGTCAAACTTTCCTGGGCCAGTTTAAGGTACATGATTGGTCTATTCTACTTAGATTCTATACTACTACATAACAGAGAGGCTGCAGAATGAATAAAAAATGGAGGTTTTCGAGTAGTTCCGCACCTATTCACTTTAGGGGCGGGACAGCGCGCGAGCCAACCTGTTCATTGATCATTCACAGGCAAAGCTATCTATTTTAACCTGATTATCAGATGGCTCATCTCTCCTTTCACATAGATCGTCCAGCTTGCCTGCCTCCGTCGCGGCATCTGGGGAACCGGCTCAACCTTCGGCAAAATTGTCACCTTCGATTCAAACTAGGCTGAGGCACAAGCAAGCAACTCGTGTATTCTCTGTACACTACTAGCGATCGTGGAACCTTGTATGTACAGCATTTTTGTAGTAATCTCATCATTTCTATGCTTGATGCTAGATTCGCCGATCCTGTTTGTTCGACGGGTATTCAGAAAACGCTACATTTCGCAAGGCTTCAGGATCCGATTCTATCTCATGAACGTCCTCATTGAATCCTCGCATTGACTGTCAGCCAACAGTAGGCTCCCTGTAGAAGCGCGCCCACATCACCGATTTCGAGCCGTTCCATGCTGTTCACGGCCCCTCAAATTCACGATTCCGCAGAGCAATACATCGAAGTGATTGGCAGGCACGGCCGTTGCTGCGTGGGAAGTGTTGAGGCGTCACTAGCAACAACAATATCTTAACAGCCCACAGAGCTCAGTCCTCGTGGCAGATGAAAATGTGTGTATACCCTCTTGTTCATCTTCTAGCTGTCATGGGCGCGTAGACTCTTCCGTCTACAAGTGATAAGCGCCAAAATGTCCTACCCTCGTCAGTGCAGTCTTTGTCTATACTGTCCTGCCAACCCCAATGTGTTTCTTACAGAACCCACAACCCCTCCATTGCGTCTCTCATGTGAGAAACTATGCTTAGTAATTGTACACCTCATTTACCCTGCACGTCCCAGCTACCAGATCAGAACGCAATCTGGAGTCCCTGATTCAGTTTTGCAAGCTGCCTTCGAAACCGCCTGGGTCAGTGAGCATAATGCGTGAAGTGTGACACCTTTACCGATGTTGAGGTCGAAAGCCACAGCAGTATGAATTCACTCGCAAGCTACAGATCATACAGCGATAATCGTATTTCTCTCATGCAGACAACATTGATTTCAGCACTGCGGATAGTCTAGGTATATCGTGCAGTTTTTGCTGGTTGTGGCCACTTACACAAGTCTTAGGTAGGCGTTTTCCAGCAGTGCCCTAGCAAAGGATGTGGCACGGCCGCCGAGGTGCAGGATCCGACCCACGCAACAAACACGTTCTTCGATCAGGTTCGTGGTGACAAATCATTGCATTTGCCGGAGGTATGACCCACATCATTCAGGCCATGAAGGTATACAACAAGACACCTTCCCTATACCCGGGATCTTTCGGTGATGAATCATCAATGTCGTTGCTGTAGTCCTGGACTGAATGCCCGCCATAGCCTAACAGACTCAGCGTTCTGCTCACCCTGATCGGTCAGTCGATGATGTTTTCGCTATCAATCGGTGTCGTAAGAACCTAGTCTCCATATATAATTCAGTTACAATGTGGCGGCGGATCGCGCGATAAAGATTCGTCAGGATGTCCAGAACAACGATCCAGATGGCAACAAAAACGACGATGAAGGTATGCCTTTACATCATATTCTCTATGTCATGGTTGCTCATGACAGCATCGTTCAATAAATGACGACGACTAGCTTGGTAAGTCACTAGCTCTTGTATCTTCAGTCAGAATACGTTCAAGCCACAATCGCTTGCTCACAGTTGATGACGCGGACAATGACAGTGAAGTATGTCATGTCATTTTAAATCACGTAGCGAGTGCATTGATCTGTATCACCAGGCCGACGACGTGGACGAGGATGGAGAATCCAATGACGGGGATTTTGGAGGAGATGATGACGAGGGCGGCCTTGAGGGCGACGAGGGTGGAGATGTTGGTGGAGGGGACTTTTGAGGAGGAGTCTTTGGTGGTACGTCATCGTCTTCACTGTGTATCTGCGGAGGTCAAGTCCAATCAAGGTGGATGCCGCCGCCGCGACCTCGAAGGTCGATTCCTTGAAGATAAAATGCCGTGCTAGTGATTGGACCGAGTGTGGCTGTCCCGATACTGTGTTGTTTGTAGATCTATCTGGTGGGATAGCCGCAGCAGTTCCGAGTCTTTGGACCGCCGTTTGAGCGCATGAGCAAGCTGTCATCAGCTCACCTGCCCTTTCACGCTATTGATTAACGGCGCTTTATTATGGTGTCGCGATGCTCAGCGCAATGGCATCGGAAGGACCCTTTAGGGTTGCTTTGGCGTCGAGACCGTCAACATCAGCGTGGGTCAATGAGCGAGATCGATATCTGTGGCGGTGTTCGCCATCAAGTCAACTTTCCCAACCGCGTGAGCATGCGGGGTCGCATAAACAGTACTCATAGTAACGCTTGGTAGACCAGCTTGAACGTTTGGAATGAAGAGGTGATTTCATATGCTGGAGATGGCAGCAGTCCAAGAAGGCAGAACAACTCGCCTCGGATCGCCGGTATTGCATTCACAAGACCTTCCCGAAAGCACCAGCAGCTTTATGTAGTAACATGATGATGGTGTTTTCACCCCATTATTGACGTCTTGGTTCCTCGCCTTTGTACACAGGACTTTCCTGACTCTCATGCATAAAAGAGGGTTAGCGAGGAAGGCGATGCGGTAGGTGAATGTCACAGCGTTCGCGATGAAACGTCAGCCCGCGTGAATTCAGGGTATAAACCCTGAAGATTCAGTACTCAGTGACCATATGTACACTCAACTGCTCACGCTTCTTGCTGACTGCCAGGCCCCAATGTTTTTGAAGTCTCTGAGGAGGCTAAGGAGGTGCACGCCGTAGCGCGATTTAAACGAGCCTTGTACGCATGATATGAGCCACTTTTCCTACTCAATAATAGTCTTGAAAGTCAAGTCCACCAGTTTCAGGCATCAATAATGGAACACGAGTTGTCTCATCTTGAGAGCGCCACGTTATGCCAATTGTGGGAATCTCCTGAAAATGGAAATCGCGCCATTTGGGAGCCGAACCCTATATAAGGCGGGGTTAGCTGCCTTGCATCTTCGGGTCGTTCGCCTCGCGCACCGTTCCACTCGTCTTGTTTCACCCACCATCATGTTCGTGTCCCAGTCATCCGCTATGGCCCTGTTCTCTGCATTGGCGCTGTCGATGGTCTCGTCAGTGACCTCGGCTCCGTTGGCTCAAGTGAACATGAACGGGAATGGTGTAATGCGCATGAACGTGGGCAAGAGGGAAGTCGTGGCTCCGCCAATTACGAGTCCGACTACGGGAACGGTGTGGACCGTCGGTCAGACAGTGACGGTGACGTGGTAAGTAGAGGACTAAGCTCATGATACCTCACCGTTATCGTCTGAGGTGCTGATGCTTGAATCTCCTCGGTGCAGGGACACGTCGGAGCTGCCTCCTCCCCAGAATATCACTAACATCAGTGGGAAGATTCTTCTGGGTTTCCTTGATGATGGCGATGACAGCGAGCATCTCGATGTGGACTCGCCGTTGGCTCAGGGTTTCAACATCACGACTGGGTCCGTGCAGCTCACCGTCCCTAACGTTCCAGCCAAAGATGACTACATCATCGTCTGTGAGTAACCTTGACTTCTATAGTGGAACGACCCGAGCTTGAACAACGGCTCCAGTATTCGGTGATTCTGGCAATCTCAGTCCTAAGTTTACTATCACCGGCGGATCAGCCACTTCGAGTAGCTCTACTACCGCATCGTCCTCCCCTTTAAGTTCGACGGTCGCCAGTTCCACGTCCGTAGCCTCTTCACCGGCTTCCACCGCTGTCACATCGACATCGGCATCGGCATCGGATCCGGACAGCACCTCCTCATCCGATTCGGCCAGCTCAACGGACTCCTCTGTTTCCACCACCGATCAGACTACGGCTACCTCCCCGGTGGTATCTACCACGATAGTCCCAGCAACTTCCACGCAAGTTGTCACTGTCGCAACATCTTCGGTATCACTTGTCTCCTCTGCGTCTTCGTCCACTCCCGCGTCGCCTTCAGCCGCCGCCGTGACTCAGGTGACCAGTGCTGCGAGGCAAGGATCAGCTAAATCGACTCTCATGACCGCCTTCGCCATGTCCATCGCTGCCTTGGCGGTCATGGCGTAAACAGCATGTTTTCCACATCGTTTAGTAGCGCATTAAAACCCCCTTTCACGGACAGTAGGACCCTCTTACGAGCATTCTTAATGAACCCTCATCTTGATGTTCATGACCTCTTCGCTTCATCCAGCATTTCCGACATTACTTGCTTTCGTTCGCACAAGCTAGTTTATGAATTCTTACGCGGTCCCCTTCGATTTCCTGTACCATACCTGTCTGGGCCATTTGGTCTGTCGTCGACATTCTCAGTCGTATCGAACAGTTGTAACATACATACCAGCTCATCTTATCTTAACATTGACGGTTACAATCATCCATTCCCAATGCTCTGAAGCGATGTGTACGTGCGTTACATATGTTGACTAACCGCCGTGATCAACGGGGGAGCAACCCGACACGATGTGCTCGCTGAACCGCGGCGCGCAGGGTCCAGTACGTCGCATGGGTTCAGCACACGAATAAGCACCATAGAAACTGCGGAGCACACTCAGGCGAGTGTTCGGAATCTTTGATGGCATGTCCGAGTGGTGGATCCGCCGGGACCGCCCTGTCGCGGAACGACCTCCGGTTCGAAGTGGTTTAGGAGACACTACGGGACCCTCGTATCGGAATTCGGAACAGAGTTGCTTGGCTCTGATCGAGAAGAGGCGGCCACCTCTGCCTGCCGTTCCAACATGCGACGCTCTTCAGGACTCAAGGCAAAAAAGGCGGCCTTCTGCCTCGCTAGCCACCGCCGAGCCTGTGCAAGGCACAGAAAAATGACAGTCAACGTGTGAACCCGGCGACGGGACGGGCGAGCGTACAGGGGTAAAGACATGTTCCTCTTGGTCATACTTTGCGAAGAACACCTGGTACACAATTGCGGCTAGGAAAGCTCACGGTCAACTGCGTATTCGCAGACATCCATGCCATGCACAAGCGCACTCACCAGGTATAGCGGTCGCCAACGCTATTCGGCGGAAAGTGTAAACCCTCGGTGAGCGGAAACGCTCCGTCGGCGGTTCTGCAGCCGGGCTGACAGCAGCACGCGATCCTAACGGTGGACTCGGTTTCGGGGTGCCAGATGCATATCTCCGAGAACTGGAAACAGGAGGGCGGAGGGATAGGAGTGGTGGCTGAAAAAACATGGAAAGAGGAGGTGGCAACATCGAGCGCCTAAGTGATCGGCGCTTGCCGAACCGGCAGACCATCGCAAGAACGCGTCTCTTGTCCAAAACCACAGTCGAACTTGGCTGCAGTCTGGCTCAAAGCAACTGTCTCACATGGGGACCGACATGTTTATGTACGACACGGTCGACATCTAGTTGTACGGGTTCAATGCCTGGTATGGGCAGGAGCCACTTGTATCACCGCGCGCGGCGATCTTCAAAGGCTGGTGTCTGCCTTCAGGTCACTGGAATAGTGTTTCGACCTCTCGACTTCTTCCTTGAGCCTTGCACTCTTCGTGAGGACAGCTTCGATGGCGTCTTCACCCAGTGCTACCCGCAAGGGCACGTCGTCGTCGCCGGATATCTGATGAATAGCTCGGGCTGCCTTCGTGATATCACCCGGTAAGGTGACCGTCTCGGTCCACTGGCGCGCCATAGACGTGAAGCTGCCTTCGTATGCGTACGCAGGATGTTGGGGCACGCGCACGAGTGATTCCTTCATCACGCGTGTCTCGAAAGCACCGAGCGTGATGATGGTGACCTAGCCTCTCCTCAGCCTGTGCACGATCCAATGGAACCATCTCGTTCGACTCACCTTGATGTTCCAAGCAGGATTGAGCTCCCCAGACATTGCTTCCATAAGCCCCTCGCCCGCTGTTGGATGGGAGTGTGTGTGAGTCGTCAACCACTTGGCTGTATAATAGCGTCTGACCGTGTTTACTGCGTAGATATCAGCGATAAGCGCTTGGTTGATCTTGAGACGCATCTTACCTTGCACTGTAGTAGGAGGCAGAGGGACTAGGATTGACGCCCGTCATCGACGATATATGCACGAGTCTGCCGCCGGGTGGGTTGTTCACCTCGCGGAAAAACTTGACCGCTTCGCGGGTAGTGTTCACGGCTCCCCAGAAATTGACTTCAAATAGCGACCGCGCGACGTCCAAAGGTGTGCCCTCAACCTCCGACAGTACGCAGTAGCCAGCATTGCTCACGACCACGTCTAGTCTACCGAACGTTTCTCTCGCTCTACCGAAAGCAGCTTGGAGCTCGTCCATTTTGGTGACGTCCAAACGGAGGACGAGCAAAGCCTCCGAGCCGTACCTGGACGAGAGGTCCGCCAGGGCTTCAGGCTTGCGTAGGGTGGCGACCACGATGTCTCCACACGCTAGGGCATGTTCTGTGAGGGCTCTGCCCAGGCCTGAGGACGTGCCGGTAACTGGTGGTGGCCATAAGTTGTGTTGTTATAAGCATCGCACAGTCGTTGCTATGCTGAACTTACTGAACCAAACTCTGGCAAGCATTCGCAGTGTGGCAGCTTGGAGGAGGAAACTCTGCCAACGCAAGGCCTTCGCTCATCGGCTTTTGTATCCGTACGTAACGAATGCGAGTATCCGCATGGAGGAACCGGACCGCAGAAGATCACGCCCAGACTCATCGCGCACATCACTGGTCAAGGAATAGCTGATTGAGTCTGCACATAGGCGCGCCCGCCTTAAGAGCGAGGTAAGACACCCGACTATCATACGCCTGATTCAATCGCATTGAATGCTGATAAGCAAATCTCCTATTTGTTCTTGATAGTGTCTCGTTCCGGAAGCGCGGACTTTGTGTGCAAACAATGGTTCTTTTCCGGTCACGGGCCTCCATGTTGTGCGCCATCGGCTTTCAGAAATACGTCCCTGTTACGGGCAACAGCTTGTGTCCCGGAGAAGTGTACGTCTGTTGACGTCATGAACCGCACATGAACCGGACCATGGCAGGATTAACCTCGTTTCTTGGACGACATAGATGTGTTCTGTGCGGCCATGGTGATACCATCTGCTGTCTTCAATGCTCTTCAGCTCGATACATGTCAAGCCACACATGGCACGTAGCGTTTCTCGCATTGAATTACCGATCGTTTACAGACTACGATCATAATCGAGCGTTCTGGTCAAAGGCCAAGCATGATAAGCATCATGTTATATGTGGGCAATACAACTTCTGGTATACATGAAGCTGACTCCGTGTTGCCGTTACAGATAACCGCCGAGTTGAACACTGCAAGCGGGGACGGTGAGGGGCTATTGCCTATTTGGGCTCTCGGCTCCTGATGTCTCGGCGATCGCGTGCGCCCGCCTTCCGGCACTTGGCAGCTCCAGGCACCGCAGCCCGAGAAAAAGGCACTGACGAAAAAGGCGCGTCGGCGAAACGATTTGGACAGACTCGGGCTTCGGGGTCTGGAGCGGCCGACACGATGCTAAATCTCAGCGGGGACCGACGGCAACGATTGGTTCCTGTACCCCGTAACGTCTCGTTCTGCGTCATTGATGCTCCGCCTCCATTTGCACCAATTTTCGAGGGTGTCGCTGCAGCGGTGGCACATGTTCGCCTCGCCAACGCAGCAGGTCTAGAACTGCAAGATCTCGATGTATATAAACCGCCTCAGCTCGACGTTGCAAGACCAGCCTCGAAGTCTCTTGCTTTCCGTCGGCACCGCATACTCTCTTCTCGAAAACCGCTCTTTGCTGGTATATCGTACCCCCTCGAGAAGCTTCCTGCCTTCTTTATTGATCGGCATCTTTCACACTCTTTGCTTCGACCAAAAAGCAACAAACATGTTCGGCCGTCTCTTCCTCGCTACCCTCGCGCTTTGCGCTGCCGTCTCGGCTGCCCCCACCGCCTCTAACGAGACCGAGGTGCTTGACAAGCGCACCACCCATACTGGCCAAGTAAGCACTTTTGCATCCGATGGTCCCAGAAATTGTATGTTGATCACGCAATGCCAGGCCACCTACTTCTACGTCGGTCTCGGCGCCTGCGGCTATACCGACACGGACGACGATGCCATCATCGCCATCTCGTCTGACATCTATGGCTCCGGTGGCAACTGCAACCAGTGGATCAAGATCACCAACACCGACAACGGCAACGTCGCGTACGGCAAGACTCGTGACTCTTGCCCCGGTTGCGACTCGACCAGCCTCGGTAAGCCATCCTCGCTTTCGACCAGCGACCTGAGTAGTCCGCTGACATCGATACGCCAGACCTGTCACCCAGCTTGTTCAAGCAGCTCGGCGATCTCGACGACGGTGTCCTCCCCATCAAGTGGCACTTCATGTCCAAGGAGTGGTCGAACTGAGCGCTTGCTCAGCCGCCTTCCGCCACAGCCAGAAAACGCTCCACCAGAGCGAACCCTTGCTCGCGTTCTGCATGTCCGCGCATATTTATGACTCCGTCTGGGTGCAGAGCGCCTTCCTACTGGAGTCGTTTTGACGCCGCCCGCTCGGTCGGGATACTTAGAGGCGCCATCTTGTTGTGACAACATCGCACATCGCAGCTGTATTTTTGTCATCATAGAGCGACGATGAGACTGTCGAGATGTAGCATTAGATAGACAGCCGACGATGCTCTCCGCTAGTACGGGGATGCTTGCACGTTGTACCACTACATGTAGATCCTGTACCTGGCACAACAGCAGACTATTCGATACACATCGTGACTGTCGATCTAACAGCCCACGCCTTCTGCATTTGTCGCTGATCGAGCGCGAATCCGACGGCCCGGCAAGCGACCATTTTTCATCAGGAAAAATCGGACTATCGAAAGAGTCGCTTATTGGGTACCGAAACCCTCTAAAGCTACTAAATGAGCACGTTTGAGTACGTTTTAGGAGGTTTTTAGCAAATCCGGTTTTTCCTGATGTTTGTTTAACAATGTGGGTATCGGCGCCCATCACAGCGAGCTCTTCCGCTTACTTTGCTGTTTGTTCATACTACGAGGGTAGCGGAATGCAGAGTCAACGCGGGTTTTGAAGTATCTTTGTACGTATCCTCATGATTCAAATCTACAGCATGCTTAAAGTCCGCCACTTCGGTCGACACTGAGCCTTGGCACGCCCTTTAGGAGGGTGGACGGGACAAGTGTCCACCGTATCGTTCATTCATAATTCTCCTGGCAGTGTGTCCCAGGTGCGTGCCGTCAACAGTAAACGCATGACGAACATATACTGCAAATTTTCTGAAGTTGACAAGAAGACATAGTCATCATTTCACGAGTCCGCGGCAAAACAAGTTTTCACATCGCCCTGTATATATCAACCCTCGCTGTGTCCGCCAAGTGTATGGGCGCGTCGCAAGTTGAGCCGGCGAAGAAGAGGTATGATATACCTCAGAGGTCGCCCAACAATTGATCCAGGAGATTTTCAATGTCGGTGATGACCGGGCCGAGGTCTGGAATGGCGTTAGCGATGTTGTCCAAGAGCATGGTGATTGCCTATGGGACAGCGTCAGAACATGAGTAGTATGTGGGCTGCAATCTGAGCTTACGTCGAGGAGCTGCTTGATCACATCGTTGAGGTCGGAGCCGAGGTCGCGCCTTTCAACTATCTCCTCAGAGCGCTCCGTCGTGTGTCCAGCGACCGACGAGGAGGCCTTTTGGAAGCCCGCAATCATCTCGTCGATAAGAGGGGCGATCGCGGCATTGGACGCTTGGCCGTTGGTGACCTTGGACCCTGTTCGAGATCACGGCGCAATGAGCAAAAGCCAGACACATTAGGGGCCACCACGGACCGATGGAAGAAAGCTCCGACTGCAGGTTGGTGAGGATAGACTCAATCTCGGCAGAAGACGCCGCCCTCTTCGCCGGGGTTGCGAGGGCAAAGACAGCGAATGTCAAGAGTACGAAGAAGAAGGAGGCAATGCGAGAGAGCTGCATGGTGTTTGATGAACGACCTCTTGGTAGACGTGCTGGACTAGTGCACTGCTCCGGACGACTGCATTCTCGCCTCGTTTTATGGTCCACCGATGGTCGCTTTACGTCAGCACTCGAACATTTCCAAGCGCAGACGATTACTGAGAAGTGGTCTCAGAAATTCCAAGCACAGACGATTACTGAGAAGTGGTTTCAGAGACGGCGCCACCTCCTGAAGGAAACGCATATGGACTTCACCGTTCAAGCAAAAAATATGGATGAGTTTCCCGTGGCGCACGATAAATTGACGGGATATCGAAGGAACGACTGGACAGAGGACAAGAACATGTTCGAGTTCGATTTTCGATTAAGCCGTGCAGCGCAACAGCCATGCGCGAGTCTCGCATCCGTAGATCATCTGGAAGCTCTCGGGTATTCCGCGATTGGGCAACGCTAGAACAGCCTGCACGCCGTTTTGCATCGCGAAAATTCATGCGAAGATTCGGACTGCCGGGTCTGTCAGAGGCAACAAAGACACAGGCTGCGGAATGGAGATCAGAAGTGTTTTGCAGACGCTCTGGTGATGAGAAAGCTATTCTTGTCGCTGACACCACCGAAATTGACAGGGTGGGCGCCTGCAATGCCTTCGAGCTAGCATGCAATGATGAACATCCCGGTATATTAACCCAGCTGGTCTCACTGAAGCATGTTCAGAGTCGATAGAATGAGATTCTGGCCTTTCCGAGATGAGCCTTGCCTGCCGGCGCCCCTTCCGATACCGGCAACTTGAATGACTACGAGATGGAGGGCTTTCCCGGTATTAACGTGCGGGCGAGTGGATGTGAATAGGATGACAGTCGACTGTTGACGAGCGATCTGAGACGAGTATCCATGTACGGCCTTGGCTTCCATGCGGGCTGCCTCAGTACGAAGCCTCGGTCTCGCTGTCGAGGATCATCGAGGACCGTGGGGCAGCGCGCTTCGGTGTTCCCTCTCCCGGAACCACGTGGCTGTACCACTCCATTCCTTCCGCCAAGCTGCGACGTAAACGTCGATGACGTTGAGCTCGACCATGGCGCGTTATACCAGCGCCAAAGTTGGCTTCAAATTGCTCAACGTCTTCACTCGTCTGCACGATGGCTCAGAAAATTATGCTTGCATACGCGACCGCGTCCGCAGGGATGCACCCATCTCATACATTGGCTCTGAAATTGAGGGTGATCGCTGACGCTGGGTGATGGTTCACCTAGCGCCGCTCTTGGCACGCGTACTCACCGTGAAGTCGGTTGAATAGGTTCAATTCGGTAGAAATTGCGTTTCCTGACCTCGAAGCGTTCGCGCAGAGCGAATACCCCGATTACGGTAGCGCAGATCGCGGAGGAAAAGTTGGGGACAGCAAGAACGGTGATGTACGCAATTATGACGATGCAATACTTCGTTGGAACAACCTGCTCATGGATCGAAAGGGTGACGTTGATACGCTTCTGAAAGCCGCAAATCGCGTGCGGGACCTTTGCCGCTCGATGCGACTATCGGTCTTGACCTTAATGCCGTGAGTGGACACATCCGCTATTCTCTGCATGTGAAACGTTCTGACTTGCATCTTCAGTTTCTCCCAGTTTGAAGGCTACCCGGATCCTTCGAAACATGCAGAGAGTCTATCGAGAGCGAGGACGTGGCTGCAGGTAGCTCAGGTGAGCCAGTGAGAGCTGGTGCTCGGTCGCGCGTACTTATATATATGAGCCTTCAGACCCTAGGCGCAGAGATGCTGCAAGTGGGCTCTTCGAACGACCCGGAGTCAAGCCCGGACAGGGATGTCATAGTCAAAGACTTCCGAGACCTTGCGGAAGAAGCCGCCAAGGTCAATGTCAAAATGTGCGTTGAGTCTGTTTCGCCTTCTTATATTGGCATCGCAAACCTGACGCGAGTGCCACGTAGAGCCTATGAGATGTGGGCCTGGGGCGTGCACAACAACACCTGGCAGGACGTCCTCGCGATCTGCGCCGCCGTCGACCGGCCCAACTTCGGCGTCTGCTTCGACACCTTTCAGATCTGCGCGCGCGCCTATGCGGACCCGACTGCGCCCAACCGCCAAATCTCATCCATGGCGCCCCTACAGCTTGCGAGCTCGCTCAAGGACCTCGTCGCAGCACTCGAGGCGGACGGTGGCAGGATGCGCGACAAAGTGTTCTATTTTCAGATCTCGGATGGCTCGTTGAACGTGTCACCCCAAGATCTGGTCAAGTCCGCCAAGGAGCAGGGCTTGCCGCCGCTGTATGCGTGGAGCAATAGCTGGAGGCCAATACCCTACCAGGACGCAGTCGAAGGCAAGACTGCGCTGCCATATATCATGTAGTGTCTCTGATATATGATCCTGTGTAGGCAAAGGGAAAGAGACGTCATACGGCGGTTACCTTCCGGTCGTCGACGTGGTTGAGGCCGTACTGCGGAGCGGTTGGAGAGGTCCGATGAGCTACGAGGTCCGACATGCCTTACCCAGCCAAGTTTCCAGGCGAATACTCTGCTAACGTTCTCTATTTAGGTGTTCTATGAGTCTGATCAGTCGCGCGACGACCCAAGTATCCCGGGTCGCTGGACCAGGAGCGCAATCGCAGCTCACAGCCTGATTGCTCAAAGGCTTCAGGAAAGGGGGATTACGGTCTGAAGAGGAATACAACGCATTACTACGTATGGAAGTTAGTGTCACATATATGTACAACAGGTTTGCCTGGCATGATCGTAGGCTCCAGAGAGAGCTCTGGGACATTGTGAGAGGATCAACCCGTCGGTGTAGGCGGGGTTGGTTCAGGTAGTGTCGGTGCAGCCAGTGTCGGTGCAGGCACCACTGGCACTTGCTGAGTGGAGGTAGCCAACAGTTGCACCACGTCCGACATGCTGGGTCTCGCGGCCGCCGCCGCCCAGCATGCTTCCATGAGGGCCCAGATAGCGTCAGGGATCGCCCGACCGCCGCACTCCTCCGGTGTCGGCCGGCGCGGATAACGACCTTGGACAACCTCGTACAAAGCCTGGGCATCGAGGCGGAAATCCGCAAAAGGCATTCGAAGGGTGTATACCTGCAGGCGCGATGAGTACGTTTCGATACGTTGCGCCCCCCGAGCGGTCGCGCATTCGACGTACCTCCAGACAAAGAGAAGCAAAGGCGTAGACGTCCGTCGCAAACGAAGGGGTCGGGCCCTCTACTGGGTACTTCTCCGGGTGGAGGAGCTCCGGTGCGAGACGCCTGGGCGACCTCATGCTCTCGCCGTGGGCTTGTCCTGGTAAATCGGCCAGGCTGAAACCGGCCAGACGGACGTGTTCTTCGTGGTCAAGGAGAACGTTGGACTTCATGGAGGTGAGATTAGTCGTCCTTGTTTCACCTGAGAGGGAGGCTCACGGCTGTTAGGTCATTGTGGACGAAGCCTCTAGAGTGTATGAAAGCGACCGCATCGGCTATCTCGAAGAGCTGATGGAATATGGATGGTCAATACTAGAGCTGCTCTGGTCCACCCAAACGAGTACGTACTAGGGATTCTATGGGTGCTTTCATGCGATCGGACAAGGAGAGGTAATGCAGGAGCGTTCCACGATGCATCCACGGAGACACCAGAAAGGGCAATCCCTGCACCGACGTGTAATCTATCCCGAAGAGCGGCAGGATCCGAGGATGGTTCATAATCTGTTGCCATACCGAAAGCTCCCGTTTCACCCTGTGTTGATACTAGCGAAGACATGAGCGTCGTCGATCGCTGTACCCACGTAATATTCAGACTACCTCATGATGGGTGTCCGCGACGAAAGTGCGAATACGCTTCAGGGCAACCTGGCCGTTTTGCCACGTGCCCGTATATATATCCGCATATGCTCCGCCGTTGAACGGCCCTATGAGGTTCACTTGCACCCCGGTCAAGGACAGATGCACAAATTCGGGTAAGGGAGGCGAAGGCTGTGGAAATGGACTGATCCTGTGCATAAGCGCCTACGGAATGTATAAGCACGGTCACCCGTGGCAGTAGCCCTGGAATGAGACCTACGGGGACAGGACCACTGAGCTGTGCCAAAGGGCCTCCTATGGGCACGGAAGAAGATATAGAATCCTATGAAGAGAGTCGTATTGACGCCTGCTTGCTGAGGCAGATCATTGGTCATACCTGGGTAACACTGCTAGCTCGGGCCTTCGCATCGGTGGAGGTGACTTGCATGCTCTATCGTAGAATGGATCACCATGGGCCGTCGCAGTATATATACGAACACTGACCTTGCGCAGCTGGTGTGAGCGGTGATTTTCGATGTATTGGTGGATAAGGTCATCCACTGGCCATACGTCTTTGAAAGTAGCGAGCAGTGGATGTGTTCTAATGGCCTGAAAGCGGCGTCGTCAGGATCGCTAGCCTTTGTGGAAGACGGACACACACCTCTTCTTTGACTCTGCTGATGCGAGCCTTTTCTTGGTTGTTCGCCGTCTTGCTCATGTCCAGATGCTCGTTACATAGGTTCCTGACACTGTTCTGAGAGGGACAACAACGAATCAGCCACCTGGTGCACGCCGTCGCCGGTAACACGGACCAATATCTGTTTGTACTCCATACTATTGTCGGAGTTCAGTCCCATTGCTTCCGCTATCTTGTAGTCACGTCGCGCTCGGCCTGGTGGTTTTGGTAAGAGAGACGACGAGGGGTCTGAACTTGGATCCACAGCAGGCTGCGTCGTCGAGGCGGCGTCAACGCCGACGTCAGGGCGTACCGCTGCAGCGACCATAATGCCGCCCGGAGGTTGCGGGAACATTGAAACATCGGGCGGAACCTGGGAGCCAGGGGGCACTCCGCCGGCGATCGGCGGGCCTGACGGTATAGGCGCTGGGGGTCCTTCCGATGGTAAGCTCGACGGGCCAGCGGTGGACGGGCCAGCCTGACTGGGGGCCGATGAATCACATTCCCGAGCTGATGAGGAAATGTTATCAGCGACGAGGTCGGAGATTGTTCTATGAGACCTACAGTGTTTCTGGAAGTGATCTCGTCGGGCAAAGCTGCGCTTACATGTCTCGCAGACGAAATGGGGGTCAGGGTCATGCACCGTCTGTTCGTGCCGTTTGCAGTCAGATTTGCGCGTGAAGGTCTTTCCGCAATTGTGGGCGCAGACGTAAGGCTTGTGTCCGGTGTGAGCGTCGAGGTGCCCTGAGACGAGATAAGCGGGAGGGGCAAGGACCGAAAGTTTCGGAGAGCAGACCTTGCCAGTTCGTTCGCGTAGTAAATGTAGCGCCGCAGATATGGCACTCGAATCGGGCAGATTTGACGCGTCGCAGTTCCTGAATGCAAGAGTCAGACGGCAGCGATACGGAAGGTGGGCCGCTCATACGCTGGAGTTCGCGCTTGATTTTGAGATGCGCTTGAGTGGGGGTTCAGCTGAGTCGGTGTGCACGGGAGGTGGGGTGTGTACGAGATCTGGATCGATGTTCAGATCCGGAGCCGTCGCGTTCTGTGATGGCCCCCCATCTCTTGGAGGTTCGATAGACGCTTCCGGGGGAGGGGCGCCGTTGGCATCTGTCGTGCAGCATGAGCATTGGCCGCTGCGTGAAGAGGACCGCTTGGGAGCATTACCGCTTTTGCCTCTCTTGCGCTGTGAGGAAGTTTAAGCACACAGGAACGCGCTCGACGGTGTTGGCGGATTTACCTTGGAAGTTTCGTGGCTGCGATAGTTCTCCCAATACTGCCGCGCGAGATCGTCCACGGGCCATAGTGCTTCGTATCTCTTCAATATTGGGTGTTCGTTCTCGACCTTGGGTGTGCGGGAGCAGTCAGAGATCGGTCGGCGGAATGGTCTTGCACAGGGACTCGCTCACTTGGGCTCTGAGGCCCTGCAGGGCGGTAAAGTCCTGCTGGCCGAACGGTCTGTTCCTGTCGAGGAGCACCGCGGCGTGTGCCCGGACGGATTTCTGGTGGCGATGTCACGAGGGAATCCCTGCGGACGATCGGGTGCACGCACCGCTATGCTCTCGTACTCGGCCTTCTGGGCGGCGTTCTGGAGATCGAAGCCCATGGCGGTGGCGGTCGAGTAGTCATGGCGGGCGCGTCCGGTGGGCTTCTTGATGAGGGGCGCGTCGGCGGGGACGTCGGCGGTGGGCCATGAGACGGCGTCGGAGAGGGCCATCGCACTGCGCACTATGGACGTCGTGGGCAGTAGCGACAGTGACGAAGCAATCGCACCAAAGCTCCCCGAAAAGGCAACTCTGCCCGTCGACCATGCTTCCCACGCTCTCGGCACGGACGGTCCTCGAATGCATCATCATCTTACGACTCGTCCAGAGCAGACGGCGGTGATGATCGGTCTATATATCGACGGCAGCCTCGTCCTTCGAGTTTTGCCCTGACTATGGAGGCCGACGCAGAGCAAGCCCCTTTCCTTGACACGTCTTCCAACCCCGCCAACTTCAATTCGTCCAGCCAACAGTCGCAGCACATCGCTCGCAGGCTTTATATCTCCCATTTCTTCTCGACGTGGAACTCTCGTCTATTTGAGTTTGGCGCGGTGCTCTTCCTAGCAGCCGTATACCCCGATACCCTCCTTCCGGCGTCGATCTACGCTCTCGTCCGGGCAGGCGCCGCCATCATCATCTGCCCTGTCTTAGGACGTTACGTGGATACAGGAGACCGGCTGCAGGTCGTGCGGTTCTCGATTTTAGGACAGCGCGCATCTACTATACTCTCTTGCTTGGGTTTTCTCTTGCTCGTGTCGGGCCTCGCAAGTGCGAAACTACAGATCGTTTTACTGATCATCCTGGCACCCCTCGCCTGTGTAGAGAAGTTATGTTCAATCATGAACACCGTATCGGTCGAACGGGATTGGGTATGCTATATGCTATCACCGCCCCTGTCCTCCACGCCGTCGTTGACTTCACATACCAGGTCATCGTGGTTGCCGAGGCGTCATCTTGCAGCTTGCAGAGTGAGGGCCCATACCGACAGTCTGTATGCGAAACGTCGGCTTATCCAGCCGCGCAGCGCTTAACTCGCAGATGCGTCGCATCGACCTCTTCTGCAAGTTGGTCGGTCCGCTCTGCATAGCCCTGTTATCCGGGATATCTATACACGTAGCGCTGCTGACTACACTCATCCTGAACATCATTTCGGTCGGAATGGAGTACTTCGCTGTAGCAAAGGTTCGTTTGTCCTTCGTGTGCCATCCGCCCTGGCTCTGACGAACAGATCTAGGTTTACGACATCGTGCCAGCACTCCAACAACCTAAGCTCATAGCCGCACACGTGGATGGGTCCGAGCAGAGGACCGTCGCATCCCGAGTGGGCGCTCTAGGTAGTTCGATAGTCGCCTACGTCAAGCACCGCGACTTCCTGCCGTCCTTCGCGCTCTCGCTCCTCTACCTCACCGTGCTCTCCTTCGGCGGGCAGATGGTCACCTACCTCCTCAGCGCCGGCTTCACGCCCACGCATATCGGCCTCATGCGCGCCGTTTCCGTCGGGTTCGAGATGTCCGCGACCTGGCTTGCACCGCGCGCCATGCGCAAGGTGGGCCCGATCCGCGCCGGGCTCTGGTTCGTCACCTGGCAGGCGGTCTGCCTCGTGGCGGCGCTAAGCTGGTACCGCGGCTCTCGCCTTGGTCCTCTCTCCGGCGCGCTCGGGCTCGTCGTCGGTGTCATCTTCAGCCGCGTTGGCCTTTGGGGCTTCGACCTCTGCGTGCAGATTATCGTTCAGGAGGTACGGCGCGCCGCTTGCAGTCATTCGAGATCCTCACATCACCTATACAGGAGGTTGAACCCGAGGCTCGCGGCTCCTTCTCGTCCGTGGAAGCATCGTTCCAAAACATGGCCGAGCTACTATCCTACGCGTTAACGGCCGTCTTCTCCAGACCCTCTCAGTTCCATATCCCTACGTTCGTCAGCGCGGGCGTAGTTCTACTTGCTGCCAGCCTCTACGCTGCGTTCGTGAGGCGTAGGAGAGGTCATCTCATTCACGTCTCTAGCTGCATTAGCTTGAAAGCTATCGACCCTAATGCAAGGTGCGGTTTGAATTACGTTCACCGCCGTGCGTTCAGCTCACGGCACGAACAGCAACGTTCACCGCGGGTTCTATCAACGTGATGACCAGTAGCGGGCCGCTGAGACCAGTCGCACGATGAACCACACTTCATGTATCACAAGTCGAGTAGCAAGGGAAGATAGATTCCAGGTGTACGATAGATGCACAGTGGTCTAGAATTACGCGTGTATCGTCATATAAAAATCCCTGAATGAGACGTACTGATCCTTCGGCGTTGCCCATTGCGAACCTTGGCCCCCGAAGAATGTGCTATATGTGATGAGTGAGTCGAGCACGTCGTGAATATCCCTAAGCACAAGAGGCTACCTGAAAAACAATCCCGAGAACCCGATGGGTGACGCGCCGTTGTCGGGATCGGAATCTCCGCCGTCCTCCGCTGCAAGACCCAAAACCTGTGAATCACCGAGTACGACCAGTCCCTCCGGAGTGAACCAAACGGAGCTCGTCGCATCAGGAACCGCTTTCTCATCCGATCCACCGTCCGGGACGTCCAGATCGGTCCGGCTGTCAGCAGCCGCACGGGAGGGATCGCCTAGCACGACGAGTCCATCCGCGGTCATGAACACGGATAAGTTGACATCGCTGTCCAGCGCATTCACGATTTCGGCCTCGCTCTCTCCCTCGTTGCATTCCTCAAGACTTTCCTCGTCTTCGTCCACGGGTCCACGGTAGTAGACGTCATCCCGTTCCAGCACGACGCGATCGTTCACCTCGAGCTTGAAGCCGCCGTCTTGCTGTCCCGGGGTATTCAAGACGACCGTCTGCCGAAGCCGAGTCCACTGGCCCGGAGGAAACGAGAATATGCCCCGCGCTATGGACAGGCCGTACGACGACGCACAGATGGACTTGGGAGGAAGAGAGCAGAGACCTTCCGTTTGCTTGTTCTTCGGTGCGTACTATATAGATCGGATTCGGCGACAAACCAAGAAGTGAAATAGACCGCAGGACGTACCAGATATAGTTCGCCCATTCCGTCCTTCCTCCACATCATGCGCGTGCTGAAACAATCGAGCGCGTCGTCTCCGCCAGAGCAGCTCTCGTGTCCGCCATAAATACCAGGAAGCTTGCCGCCTAGGACGAAGTCAAACTCGGCTGGAAAGTAGACGCTGTATTCTAAAGAGACATTCTTCGCAGAGAGTAGGTCGACACCGAGAGGATTAGAGTAGAACTGAGCGCCGCCGACCGGCGTGTCCGAAGCGCCTGGGTTGACGGAGCCCGCAGGGTAGAGGACGGAGATGACGGACGCATCGTAGAACGTCTTCGGTCCCCCTTCAAGACGCTCGGACGCGGTGGAATTGCTTGGGTCCGCCTTCGCGACTTGCAGGTTATGTTTGCCGGAGGAGATCCGAGAGATGTTGAACGCGGCGAGGTCAGTTGAATTGAATGAACCTGTCCATGCCACCGGAGGTCGTTCCTTGCTCAGAATGCTGATAGTAGGTGCTGGGGAGTAGGATGAATATGCTGAACGAACGACGGTGGTATTGTGAGTTAGCGATGTAAAGGAAGCCAAGGACATCCTGCGAGTCCTCCCGTACGGCTTAGCCGCCTGATCAAGGCAAAAGACGGGGGCTTGGTGTCTGCGCAGAGGCTGCCACGGGACGTGTCCATATGAATGGAATGATCCCTGTGTATGTAAGTATCTCCCTACTGTCACTAGCTCCGATGACACTGCGGTGCTCTTGAATGAACTTAGCGCCGGCATCGAGTGCCCGTACGCTGAAAATCGATCCCACACCAAACAAGAGTATCGGCGTTGGCAATTGACAATATTTGGAGCGCTCCGACTAAGTTTACTGGTATTCTCGCATCTGCTTTGTGAGTCAAGCTTAGAACACATCCAATACCGAAGCATCATATCCGGAATCATAGCGTCCCTCCTCATCGTTTGACTCTTCCTCATCACCTTCGTTATCGTGCCCAACGCCCTCCATCTCCCAGAGCATACTATCCGCCGATATGACTCTGAACTTTCTAATCGCTTGTTCTGCCGCCATGAACTTGACTTCGGCTTGGCTGATACGTCCGCGGTATGGCTCAGTCACCCTGACTTCCTCCTGCTCGTCGATGTATATGGCGCAGCTAATACGTCCGTCGGCCTTGTCAAAATCATATTTGACCTTCTTCTTTTCTTTCGCTGCCCATATCGACAATCTCGAAACAGGATGTTGGACGTCAACGTCGCAGTCAACGATCCGCTCCAGCGTTGGAAGGATCCTGTACCTGCGGAGGAGATTCTGGATGACTTCGAAGCTCCCTCCGCTATCCAGGAAGACGGCGCCGATGGTGCTTTCGACTACATCGCTAAGCGCCTTCGGCGCTTGCAACTGCGTCAACGCGGTCCAAGGAAATAGAGTGTCATGCTGAAAGGCACGATCGAAAGCCTTCCGGTTGCGCTGGTAGCGAGTGAAAGCATTTGATTGATCATCGAGAATTCTGTGGCTCGAATGAAGGAGGCATTGCCAGAGATACACTCTCTGGCTACTGTTGCGAATCGATGTATTTCCCACGCCGTCGGACGAGCCCATAGCTGCTTCGAGCTCGGTCGAGATGCCAAAGCAGACGTAGGCAAGGAAGTGCATGTTGACGACCGCTTGCTTACGAAGATGCATGTGTCCAGGTCCGTAGTTCTTGTCGGACCTCCGGTATAAGTAGTCGGTAACCACCATGTCGAGAACCGCATCCCCCAGGAATTCCATTCTCTCGTAGGATATCGTCCCCTCAGTGCCTTGAAGACTCGCATGAGTCAGGGCTTCGACGAGGAGCACTTTGTTGTTGAAGCTGTAGCCGAGCATGCGTTCCACAACGTCGATCTGTGAAGGTATTTCCCGGAGATCATCTACGGACGCCTGTGCCCGGACAAGTATGCGCTCGATGCATGTCGGAGGTGTTTTGATGTCAATTCCAATGTCAAACAACCGCGTAACTTCAACGGCCAAGTCGAAGCTGCCATGGAGATAGGCGGCGCCTATGATTGCTTCAACGATATCCGCTAGCATCTTCATGGATAGTTGAGGCTGCCCTCGCCCTTTCTCGGCGTTGGTGTCTACTTCTGACTCCGGCATCTTCTTCTCGTCACCCGAAGATTTCTGCCACTCTGCAAGCTTTGGGCGCCATTTCTTGACTATGAAACGATCCCGTATCATCCAACGATATAGTTCCTTGGATAGTGCGATCTTGGCTAGTCTTACGTTCGCTACCGCGTGGTCTTTCTTCTTGCTCAGGTATCCCTCATGCCATAGGGGGTAGTCCGTCAGGAGGCTGATGGACGCCATGAACTTGAGCGCGGTGTCCCCAAGGGTCTCTAGACGCTGATAATTCCTTATCTCACCCGAGACTGGAGCCGTGATCGCCGCGGTGAGCAGATCGAGAGGGATACTCCTCAATCTGGGTGATAGAAACAGCATCTCGCGCAACGATGCAGCGGTCATGGTCACGGTCAAGCGTCGCAAGATAGAGGGCAGGAGGAGTGCATATTCTGATTCGGCCTGAGATAGGAGTATGGCTGTCGCTGCGTCCGCGGGGAGAAGAATAGGCTTGGCATCCGAAGATGGGACCTCGTCCAGCGTTCTTGGAATGAGCATATTGTGTCGACGGGATCCTGGCTTCAATAACAACAAAGGGTATTTAATGGGCATATCGGAGTATTTCTCAGGGTTTCGGGAGCGCATTGCCTCTTCTTCCACGGTGGACAACTGATCAAAATGCCATTGCATGAACCAATGCGTAGGGCGGCCTTTGGACGATTCTTCTACGACCAAGTTGAGGTCGTTTGGATAGCCGAATTGTTCCCCTGCGATGGCCGCGTTCAAGCGAATAACTTCCCGATCATCTGCGTCCGGTTCCAGCCCAAACGAGCGACGTGCATGCCACTGGGGATCGATGCCAGGAAGGGGCAGGATTATATACGCGAAGTTGAGTTCATTCCAGGCCATCCTTCCATGATGGATCGCCCAGAAGAGGCGCCTTGTGAAACGTCGGGCGCTGTCGATCTCGTGGGCAGACGCATCCATTCGCTCGGGTTCGAAGAACCGCATGGAAATGGGTGGACGATATCCCGGATACAGATTCGATGGAGGGTCTTCTGAATAGAGACGCGGACGACTGTAAGTGAGCAACTGGAGTGGGGGCAAACCGTCAACTTGACAGGTCATCTTCCATAACCCCTTCGCATTAGGAAGCGGAGCCCAGGGATCCATCTGCGATGAGACGGTTGCGGTACCAGCACGTTTCTCTATATCGGATAGTAGCTGCTTGATCTCCTCCACTAACTCTGGTTCTATGACGCTCGTGATGGGCAGCAAATGATCATTAAGCAACCCAGCTTCGTAGAGCGAGCGATAGGCGAAGAAAGCAGCGTGGTTGCGAGCGGATGCCTTGCTGGTGTACTCTCGCCCCACCCGAAACTCGCGCAGGTGGCGAGGTAGGAGACGAGGGAGGATCACCACGCATCCCCAAGGACCTTGATAGGGCGTGAACGTCGTTTGCGTAGCGTGCCATCCCTCGGGAAGGTCCGGGGGGTCTATGTCGTAGATCGGTGCATGCTGTCCTCCAGGAATACATGCGCAGAAATGGTTGAGGTGGGTGACAGCAGACTGCAAAGTCAACAATGCACTAGACGAGTGGGTGTCAGGAAGGATGAGCAAGTTCATAAACAAGACTTACCCGGTGGAGGGCACCTTGAACTCGAGGACCTCGTCGACGCCGATGTGCTCGCCCATTCCGTCTTCCGGTTCTCGCATATCTCGACTCGGATCATAATACATATTCATCATTTCCCTCTCCAAGCGTTCCCACTGTTCCACCATTTTAGCGTGCGCGCCGGAGTCATCGAACATGAGAGTGAAAGTGCTCTTCTTCTTTCTCGCTCTTCCTCGGCTCTGGGCCCAGCTGACCATGTTGGGAGGAGGATCCCACCTGAAAACGGCTCCGCAAGCTTGAATATCTATGCCTTCTTCAGCAACCGCCGTAGATATGATCAAATTCTTCTCCCCGATTTTGAGGTCCTCTAGTGTTTCCGTTTGAGATTGCACTAACAGTTCCCGAGTAATGTCCAGGAATGCGCGGCGTTTCACACTATCGGAACTGCCAAGAAGGCATCCAACCTTGAAGGCGCCCCTTGTGCGAGGGTGTCTCGACAAAATCTCCGCGAGCGCTAAGACGCTGTCCCTCCTGGTCACAAAGACAAGGCCGGTAAACAGCTCGTGGTCCTCCTCTGCGGCCAACTTCTCCGATAGGAGGGAGCTTATGAGCAGATTTACCTTCTCGGAACAACCGTTCACCAGTGTAGCCTCGTCGTCCAAGTCCACCGGATCGTCCAGGTTAACACGACCCAAGAGTTCGAGAAGGTATGTTTTCTCCGTTCCACGCCACCGATTATGCCAAGATGACATACCCGTTGTGTTGAACGATTCGCCGGACGCTTGTGCGCGCTCGATGACCTTGCGAACATACCAATCGGCAGGCCATGGGCCGAGATCATAGCAGATGTCGAGAGCAGCACGAGCGAATTCCCGTAAGCCCTTGTGAGAGTATGAATCTTTTTTCTGGATCGTTTTACTGAGCTTTTGGTCGATGCGATTTCTCTCAGGGCCAGGAAGTGCTCGCTGAAGTTGTTGGCGCAGAGAGATCACATATGGGTCTTGGCCGATGTCTAGTGACGCGACCACAGCATTGAGCGCTTGAGCATTCCTGGAGCTCGGTCGGCCGTAGTCTTCTGTAGGTAAAGGATAAAGGACATGTTTGAAGGTGGGACGATGGACATGAGCTGCGAGCTCCTCGCGGAAGATCCGCGGCGCTCTGATCGTACTGTCCAGATTTGCTTCGATGATCCTGGGAAATGGTCAAATGATAGAGGACTAAGGGATCACAACCAACGCACGCAAAAGCCTTCTCAAGATTTCCGCCGAAACTTGGACTAGCAGTGAGTCCCAGTATCATAGGTCTTTCTCGATTGATACTGCTGTTAGCCGACAAAGGCGTTTCCCCCGTACCCCGAGGCGGGAGACGAAAGTAGAATTCTTTCATGATCAAGTTGTAAGGATGCTTATCTGCTGCATGATGTGCTTCGTCAAATATCAGGAGGTTTATGTGTTGGCCCATGTCAACGTAGCCATGGCGCATAGCATCGAGAAGGACCTGAGGAGTACTGACTATGACTCGGTTGGTTTCAATCACTCTTTGCCATATCCTGGCATCCTTCCATTGGTCGGGTTCCAGGGATCCTGAAATAATCCCCACGGACACGGGTAGCGCGGTGGCGAGCACTTCTCTTTGCTGCTCGCACAGCGCAACGGTAGGTGCTACGAACCAGGAAACCTGAAAGATGCCACGTCGGTTTCAGACACTTGAACTCCGTGCCGTGGTCATACCTTTTTGGACTCCCGCTCGGATTCGTACTTGATCCTCAATACCGCGATGTGTGTTTTCCCGCTACCCGTGTCCATGGCGATCACAATGTTCCTGTGCAAGCTCTCCGCGAGCATCTCTCGCTGATAGCTTCTGGATACAGGCAAAGCGCCATTATCGGTCGTCGTATTCGGCTCTTCGTCCTTCATGATCTCAAGTGAAACGTTGAACGAGAGAGGTCGACGTTGAAGTCGAAGATCGCGATTCGCCAAGCTGCGCAGTGTTGTGAATCAGAGTTGATCAAGCGCCCATCGGGCGAAACCACGTTCGACTCGAGTCTTCGAATTCAGCGGGTGCCATTACTGTACTTTTACGACCGTGAGTTGGTCCGCGTCCCCAGGGCCACCCTAACCTGTTGTACCCCTGTCCCTTGGCACTCCGAACCTCTAACCGCGAGAATTATGATATCTGACCGTGAGACAATATAATCTGACCATGATAAGCACGCGTCCCCAGGTCCCCCTCGGCCGGCTGAACTTACGGTCGGAAAAGTACGTACAGTACATAAATGAATGGCGTTGAAACACATCTGGTATCGGTACAGACGCGAGTGAAAACATGCGCATTGAATGAATTGGAGTCCATGTTCAGGATTCGTTTCGAAGTCCATCTATAGATAAGGGGCGGATATAATCATGCGTGATTGCGTCAAGTCCGTCTGCAATAACCAACAGCATTGACAGAAGCGAAGGGGTCTGTCTCCTCACCGGTCCCACCCTGCTGAAAGCTATAGCGACTCGATGATACTTCGGGCTTCCCTGGCACGTCGCTTGAAATCTGCTATTCGTCGCTCGCCATCTGCTTTGAGGAGTCCATACTCCCTCTCAATTTCTTTGCGTATCCACTCTTCGACCGTCATATTACGTTCCGACTCCGTCAACACAGCTATCCTGGAAGGAGCGACCTTTGCCAGTGGCGGGATCGAAAGGTCGATCATATCCTCTACCAACGGATGTGTATCTTTCTCGATCGTCGGCCGCGGTGCAGGGATCTCAGGCGCAGGTAGGGTGGCCCCTACATTGGCGGGTATGGCCTCTTCTCTGGGCGGTCCATCACCGACTTGGCTGGGGGCTGGTTTGACTCTGATCACAGTTGGATTGGCGGGTGGAAGGACCATTTTCCGGGCAACGCCGACGTCAGCCTGGGTCGGTTGGTGTGCAAAGGAGGCAGGGAAGAATTCTCGGGTTTCAGCTCCCGTTTCGACGCGTTCTTTCAGGGCCTCCGTTGCGCCATCCTGGTCGTCGCCCGATTCTTGCAATATATCGGATTCCGTCTCAGCAGGGGGCGTAGCTGTGGACAACGGCTCATTAGAACTCGCGCGGCTGGAATTGACGCTCCGGTTCATCGATTGCGATATCGTGTAGGCAAGCAAAGCAGCATTGGAGCGCTCAGTGCTCTCGTGTTGCTTGGGTGCAGGGGGCTGCTCGACCCTGCCCCCAACCATGAGCGATCTCGGCTTGGTCCCTCTCTCCTTGCGTTGCACTTCCGCAGCAGGCTCCTGGGGTGCTGCAGCAGCGTTGAACTGGAACGCCTCGTCCAGATCATCGATGTTCATTGATGGAGCACGAACAGAGGCCGCAGCGGCTTCGGTGCTGGATCGCGTTGACAAGCCCTTGGCGGGCAAAGGCACCGGTGCATGGTTTCCAGCTTCTTCAACAGCTTTCCTAGGCATAGGCAACTCCCGAGTGGACTTCGCCAGGACGATGGTTTCGTCCGCGTCTTCAGCTGCTGAGATAACTGCCGACTCGGGCTCAGAAACCTGATGGTCCTTTGACATTATCCGGGAAGATACTTTCGGTGGGCCGACCTTGAGCGGTCTTTCTGCTTCCTGGGACTCAGGCGATGGAGACCGGCCGCGCGTAGCCTTAGTTGTTTTCTTCTTCGGTTTTTGCATCGTTCGTTCGCTGTGGTCAACCTCATTGGTCTCGTCCTCTGACTCGTGTCGCAGGTTCGCGCGGGATTTTGTGCGAGAGATAGTCTTGGCCTTGGCTTTTGGAGGAACACTTGCTCTCGGAGGGGGTTCTTCGGGCTCGGAAGGTCGATCAGACGCGGCCCGCGGTTTAGCACGAGTAGACTTTTTCAATCGTGCGGCCTTTCCGCTATCCTGAACCACGTCTTCCTCCTCCTCCTCCTCCTCCTCCTCCTCCTCCTCCTTCATTTTGGACTTCGACTTTGAACGTGCAAGCGACTTGCTCCCGGCCTTTCTGGTACCTGCCTTTCCGTTCTCCTGAACGACGACTTGCCCTTCCTCTTCCTCTTCCTCTTCCTCGTCCTTGAGTTTGGCCTTCGACTTGGAACGCGCCAGCGACTTGCCCCTAGCCTTCCTGGGCTTAGGCTCTACAGGCGCGACCTCCTCATCCGGCGCGTCAACGTAGACGCGCCCTTTGGCGGTCCGCGATCTTGATGCACGTCCTTGAGCCGGCTCGATGTCTTCTTCCTCACGCACACTCTCAAGGTCCGATTCTGCAACTCTGCCTCGGGCGGTATTTGACAGTCCACGTGTGGACTTCCGCAGAACCCTGATGTTGTCTTCTTCCTCTGCGGTTGAATCCGATGCCTTCGACGCTTTGCCCTTACGCTTTTGCGTTTCTTTGGGCGTTTTCGCTTTTGCAGTGGAGGCTTTCCTCTCGACTTCACCCTTGCCCTTGCCATCCTGTAGGATGAGCTCGTCTCCTTCCCGCTCTGAATCGGAAGGAGCCTGCTTCGTCGATCGGCTGGCGGTTCTGCTTTTAGTCGCTGGAGTTTTGGTTACGAGGGCGGCGTAACCTTGAGCCTTGCGCGAGGATCGGGTTGAAGGCGCCAATTCATCAGGAGAAGTGCCCTCCTCCTCTATGTCCGGTTCTACTGTTGTAGGACGTCGGGAGGAGCGGGACTGCGTTTTCGTGCTTGGCGCTGCAGAACCGGCTCTAGAGCTTAGAGCGGTGGACTTCCGAGACGATTGGCTCTTTGACGTGGATTTGGCAAGCGCAGGAGCGGGAGATGAGAAGAATGGGCAGGGCCCGGATTTCTTTTCTCGTTTACGGTGCTCGACCCTGCAAAATACCTGTGAGGCTGACAAGCATGGTCGTTCAGCGTGAACTCACATCGGATCGTCGTCAGATTCCCAGCCACTGAGGGAGATGTTACAGTAGAAACACGTTGCTGTATCGTCTCCCGCTGTCTGCGGGGAGAACACGAAGCCTGCTTGCGCCATCTGCGGCCAATCAGATCGTTATCCTCCATAAAAGACGGATCGCGTACCTTCTTGGAATTGGCGCCGTGATTCTTGCCCTTGTCATGAGGCCATATGCCTGTTTTCGTGAACGTCTCCAGCCGGGCCTTCTCCATGATCTTACCCCGCGGTAATCGCTCCGAAGAGTCGAAGATGAAGCTGTCTTATAAATCAACGGCGAGTGGTTGGAGCATGGACCGAAATACTCACTTCCCGTCGTCATCCATGTCATGTTCAATTCCACACCGCGCGACCGCCCACGGGCACGCAGACTCGCCTTGTCCACACTTCGCGAAATGCAGATCGAAGGGATCATCTCGTCTGCCCCATTCGGCGAGCTCCTTGTCGCAGAGGAAGCACCGCACGTTATCCTTTTCCCCGTCCTCAGCGCTCGGGTTCCAGTAAAAGCCCGCCTGGGCTAAAGCGTGAGGGGTCGCGCGGATGCCGTCCTTATGCGGCCACTTGAGCGTGACGGTTGCTGTCTTGCCAGCTTCTGTGGTATATTTGACGCGTTTTGACTTCTCGAAGGATGCGAGCCGTGCTTTGAATGCCTCCATATCGTAATTGCCGCGTTTCTGAACACCGAGGCAATGCGTTGATGTGACTCGTGATTTGTGCTACCCGTGGAAGGTTGGCCTTTGCCAGAAAGTTGTCGGGGAAAGCAACAGTGTATTTTACCCTGGAGCTAATCTCACAGAGCGGGAGGATGCGGGCGAGCTATGCATACGACGATGGCTGGCGGAGGGCAATCGCGTGGACTGCTTGAAGCGAGAGCTCCGAGTCGGAGAGGCTCATCGCGAAACACCATCACGTGCGGCGATAGCGGCACGGGGCCGCACATTCGACGTCTCGATGAGGCCCGACGCTCCGATTCATCCTAATCACCGTCGCCTCCGCCCGCCCGCATCCGCGGCCCGACTCCTGCTGCGAGGTCACAGAGGAGAAGAGAAGGACTACGCACATAAACTTGCTTGAACGTATCAAACCTGGTTGGAGTGAAGACCGCGCCGTGGCCACGCATCAGCAGATGTTACGAAGGCCACCTGGGATCGTCTATAAAGGGCATGGGGACTTTACTCATAGGCCCCTCGGACTCTGAGCTCTTCTAGACGGTAAGATCACTGCCGCTCCCTCACTTTTGTAACTCGTGATCTGTTTCTAATTGCTCGTCGTAGAACGGCATGGCTACGATTCTCGACGTATCCATCGCCGTGGCCTCCGGATTGGTTTCACAGCGTGCGCGCGAGGATGCTGCACGAGAACCACAGCCTCCGACGCGGCTGCCTCGGAAAGTGCGTTTTCAAACGGCGTCCTTCATCTCATCGTCAACAACTACGGGTTCAGGCGGCGAAACCACCATCTTAGCTCCTATCACCCCGCTACGACTCTGGAAGAGGCGCTCTGTTGAAACTACTGCCAAGGACATGTCTTCCCGGCCGCTGGACGGTCCTCTGCTCGACGCTACAATGCTAATACCGACGACTCCCTTGCGCATCCGCCCCAAAATCCCTCACACGCCTCGTGGTCCTCCCTCGGATGGAGGTGTGCCGTCATCAACGATGCTTCCTCAGTGCTCTGGCATGAACCGTAATGCCGGAGTCGATGGCATGTTGATCTGTGCTCATATGTTAACGATTGAAGCCATGATCAACGAGGCCATAGCAGAAGCATCCCTCTCCCCTAGCTACGTGTAGGCCCAACAACGGTTCTGTGTCGACATTCTTTGCATTTACCTCCAGTCCTGCGAACTCCTGGAGAGCGCTAGTGTAATCATTATAATCATTTGCATATGCCAATAATCATACTCTTCGCTGTCTCCTCGGGTGTTGGCAAACGTAACGTATCAGTCCCCGGGACAAAACCCTCGTTGAGTATATACCCGTTCGGCATTGCGATGCCATAATGAGCACTAGCCGGGTATACGACGGTGTGCTGATATGTCCAGATCCGCGGCCGTCATGTAGTGCAGGTAAGCCCTGAAATACCGCGTCACTAGCTGCGTGTCCTGAACGAGAGTCCGCACGGTTTTGTAGACCTTGGCCAGGGATGCAGAGGTGATCATACGGGTTGGAATGAGAGTCAAACAGGCGACGCCAGTGCGCCCGGTGAAACTGAAACGGGAGTGACGCGCGACATCGATACTTATCAACTTTTACACGCGGTCAAAACGTGCATTGCTTTGTTCTCAACTTCGACGACCCAGTCCCGCTCATCGCCGACGACGAGGGTGGCGACGGCGGTCACTCCGCCTTTTTTTTCATTTTCGGCCAGCCTTTTCGTTCATGACCCTCGGCGGCTGTCGGTGCTAGACGAATGCGATGACCGCTCGACCCAGACCTTCGATCTCCAGCACTCGTCGTCCATCCTCCGCAATCTTCATAGGGGCTGGCTTGCCTGAAAACGTGCCCGATTTACCTGAACCGCCCAGCCCTGGTGCATCTTCTACCGACTCTCGCTCTGGTCTACCGTCCCCGCCGGCCACCAATTCTACAGGCAGTGGTAGCAACGGCGACGTGGGCAGTGTCCGCCATCGTTCCGCGTCTTTCACCCAAGGAGATATGTCCAATGGCAAAGCATACAACGGCAGAACTAGCTCTGTGATGGAATCTGACGAAGAGGACGACGGCGAGGATCATACCGCTCGTTTCGGGGTCGATCGTCGTCGGTCGTTAGGTGGGATCAACGACAATGCTGCCGCCCTGCAGCGTATCAAAAACCTCAACCAGCGGAGTCGTGCCGTGAGTTGTCTTTGCTCCTTGCTTTGAATCGCGCGATATCGCATCAAGTGCATATATGCTCATTGGCTGCTATCTCGCAGGTCATGGACAAGCTCACATCACGCTCACGAGTCAACAGCCCTGCTCCTTCTGCCACATCCTCACGCGCATCATCCGTTGCTCGCCATTCACTCCCGCCTCTGTCATCGTCATCTTCCTCAGCCTCGTCGTCCTCTCATCATTCAGTACATGCCTCTCGCTCTCACGACACGGCTCTTTCTGGGTCCGAAACAGAACGCGATGAACACAATGGATCCAACCATTTCCACCCTCCTAGCGACGATGAGTTTGATGCCACGCCGCCTGCGATCGAATCTCCCTTATCCGACGCTGTCCGCCAACGACGTATATCTGCGCCGTCGCCCGGTAAACATGTCCTCAAGCTATCCAGATCTACGTCCGGTCGTACAAGCTCTCCGGGGCCGTCTCTCACTCCGCGAAAACGGGCGTCTGTTGCCTTACCGCTCGTGGACAATGCCGACGATTACCTTCAACGAGAAGCAGTTGCTTCCACTTCCAGCAGACGCTCCCGACAGCCGTTACCGCGAGAATTCCTCGCCAGCTCGAATTCAGATGAACTGGTGAGCGTTGCCTTTGACCCCATATTTCGTTTTGACCCCCGAGTCCTTCAGGTACACGAAGAAGGCGTGCTAGTTGCGCGCGGATCGCCGTCACCGCGAGTCGCTGCTGCATCACTGAGTCCTACCTCGACGCCTCATCACGCACGCCCGCCGCGCGCAACGAACCTTGCCGCTCGTTCCTCGACAGTGAGAGAGTTGGCGCGGAAGCATCAAACAAGATGGTTTTCGGAGGACCTCTCCTCATCTGCGTCTGTTGACGCGGATGCTGACGAAATCGCCCACTCTGGTGGAGCAGCTCGCTCCGGTAGACGCCAGATATTGAGGGGCGGCAGCGCGGAAAGTCCGCTGGCGGCGTTCGCCGTGGGCGAACGGAGTTTGGTTGGCGAAGGTTTACGGGCTGCCGGCATAGGCGCAAGAAGACGTGACACGGGCGACGACGTATTTGTTGGCGATATTGGTGCTCTTGGGAGGAAAAAGCTAACTGCGGCCAACCTTGGCTCCATCAGGAGGACAACCGAGTCCGTTAACGGCAAAGGAAAGGGTAGACTTGCGGATCGCGAGTCTGATTTGCCGCATGCCCTCGTAATGTCTACCACCCTCAACAGCCCGCGAACGCCGGCTAACCGCCTCAGCGTTCATGCGGGACAGCAAAGCAGACCATCCAGTTCTATGACCGGCTATGATGATGCCGGAAACCCTCCCAGGACAGCCCCTCCTGCACTTCGGACGTACAAATCTGCGTATGCACTCCCGGAACGGGCAAGGGAAAGACCGCTCGATTCATCGCTCGCCAGATCGAGGACTGTCCTAGAGACTCGAGAACGAACATCACCTCCCAGTATATCCTTACGACCGGAAAGCGCGGCTGGGACCGTTCTCGAAAGGCGACAGATCGAAACGCCCCTTCGTTCTGGCACATTATCCCGAGCATCTGCAATGGCAATAACGCAATCCACCGAACATACTCGATTACTGTTCCATGCCTTGAGCATGTTCGAAGATCGCCTTACGCACATCCCTTCGGTCGGCAGTACAGGGACGACGACGATACCCGAGGTGTTCAGATCCGCCAAGGCCATGGCCCAGGAGACAGAAAAGCTGAACATTCTGCTCCGGGACAGCACAAATAAGGCGATGAATGAGCACATACAAGCCTCGGTGGACGACAACGTGGAGGGCGGCGCAGAACTGGCAGACATATGGCAGCAGATTGGCGGGGAATTCCGGGAGAGTCTTCGGGTCAGCGACGAGCTTGTTCGTATGATGACCGAGTTTCTCTTGGGCGTAGGGAAGGCTCTGCGGGACCTGACCGGCTCTGGCGAAGGGAGTCCTGCGCAGCACCTCCGGACGGTCAGTCTGGACGATGATGCTGTAAGGAGACTAACTCCCGAGAGAAGTATCGGCGTCAACGGCACTCGGCAAGGCACGGACGACAGTCGCAGTACAGGTTCGCGCCGGAGCTGGGAGCCCGCTCCCAGAGCTAGCAGCCGCCTGGAAACGACTACCATGAGACCGTCACCCTCTACAAGCTCAAGTCAACCACGGACACGCAAGATCAGTTTTGAAGATGTGTTGCGCTCCAGCACGCGAGCACCCACTACCACCAACCCCCCTCAGCCGGCAGCCCAACGACTATTCTCCCCACTCGAGCACCGTGATCGTGCCCTCAGAAACGCCTCGGCGGGCCCCCTAGTGGCATCCGACTCCCTTGAGACAATCCGAGCTGCTGAACCTTCACCGACGCCGAACTCACGACACCCACCATCGCATACCCGGCTATCATCACTTGCGATACCCCCTTCCCGGCCAACCCCTCTACCCACCGTCCACTCTGAAAGTCGACTTGAACGGGCCGCGGAACGCACTCATCGCTCGAAGCCCTCCACGACTTCCACCGCCACTATCCGTGCCGGTGGTCTGAGGTTCCCCGTCTTGAAAACGTCTGGCGCAACCACTGCGGTAACTCCGCACAGCGTACATCAATCACCGGTCATGACGTCTTCCCCCTTGAACCGCAGCCAGTCCTCGTCGAGTTCGATGCGGGATAGTCCCGTGGTCGCATTCTCACGCCCCACCACGACTGCGCTAAGCGAGCTTCAGGAGAGGCAGCGAACGATATCCGGGACTTCGCTCGATGACGACTCCCCCGTCGATTCTGCGAACGCTCAGCACGCAGATCGAAGTGCTCGCCATCGGACTGTCGGCTATCAGTCACAGAAGTCGCCTCCGGACAGCGCTGAAGGCGCTGAATCCGCTGCACTGAGTCGTACGGTATCCCAGCGAAGAGAGAGACGACGAACAGTGACGGAAATCTTCTCTCGTTCGTGACCCATCATGGCCACGTAATCAAATCTTCTTCTGACCCTTCTATACCAATCGTGTTCCTGCTTCTAGCAAAATTCGTCCTATTTATTGACTTCCTTTCTCTCCTATGGACACCTTAGTTCTTCCCTCCTTCCTTAACCTTCTTTCATCTTGATCCTCTTCGAGCCAAATTAATTTGTATGTCATTATGGGTCCATGCAATAGTACTGACGAATATATGAATGTGTTCACCTTGTAAATCTGCCTAAGTTCTAATTGAGATCCCCAACGTTCTTCGTGTCACGTCGAACTGATGATTCCGACTTCATTGTTGAAAACCCAGCGCAAGGCGGGACGTGTATATAGCCGTTGTACTAGGGTTACAGATGCGATTTGGTGCCTATTGCTACATGGGCCCGACAACAGAGAGCACTGTGGATAACTTGATGGTAACATTAGAGCGCGATGTGTGGAAATGAATAGCGACGCCGATGTCCCAGTAAAAAGGTAGCAATAGCGAGGCCTTGTGTCGTGAATGACAAGGACCCGATATAGTCGATTGTAGGATAGCTGTAGTGAGGTGTTGTGCTTTAGCGTGTTCGTGTATGGCGTTAAAGTGAGCGTGTGTCCAACGTAATTGTCGTGTATGGGGATAACTATGTTGTCGATGGTTCTATTTCTTGTGTTTCGTGAGAGCTGGACGGTATTGGTGTGAGGGGGGTGCTGCTGGGCGGCTTTTGGCTAGGTGAACGCCGCGGCCTGACGCCTGTCAATGGTTGCGTAGGCGCTTCTTCTCGGTCCCACTCCTCCAACAGCGCTTGGCCGACGCCGGGCTCGAGTTCTGTGCCGTCTCGAGATACCTTCACCTCCCGATCCTGGTTCCAGGGGTTTCGTAGATGACGGGTGCGCCAAAATGGGAGGCGCTCCGTGCGGATCCACTCGACCTTGAACGAACCGCCCCATGGGTGGTCCGCCGCTTCCTGCACTGCGCTCTTTTCCGCGTCGCCGTCTGGCGTTGCCCCTGGCGTGGTGGCGTCTGGCCGCGCGTCTGTTGGAGGTCGCCGGAGGGCATGATCCCTGCGAGTGACGCCATCGGCATCTGCTTTCTCATCTTCCTCCGAAACGGGGCCCAAGGAGGATGCCCCGTCAGGGCGGCGAGCGGTGCCTTGACGTGCCGCTTGTTTGTCGCGCAAAGCTCGGATGGGTGCTTCCTCGTCCAGCTCGATCGTCTGAGCAGGCGCGGCGGCAGCGAGTAGCGTGGCCGCGTTCGCTCGGAGGCGCTCCGGTTCTCGTAATTCAGAGCTGAAGGTGTGATGGGGTCGTTCGATCTGACCAGGGGCAGATAGCGTGTCCCGCCCCACCTCGGTGAACGACGGGCTCACTCGGTCAGGGTACGAAACCCGTCCCACACCGAGAAGATGTTCCATCTTAGCGCCTGGGGTGACGGCTTGCGGGTTGGCGGGGTCAGGACTCATGGACATTGGTGATTCCTCGATGAGCCTGTATTCTCCGGGCGAGAAGAAGATCTGTGCTTCGTGTGTGCGCTCGGGCTGGAACGCTGAGCCACCTTCCTCCTTAGCAACCCCAGATCTGCGACTGCGAGAAGACCGCGAGGAGATGGACGATGCGTCGGTACCGGAGGCCCAGGATGTTCGACCTTCACCATGTATGGGACCGGCCATTCTGCAGTAACATGATTGAGATCGAGACAGATGGTATGATAGGTAGGATCTCACCTGGCGTATCCATAGAATTCGCCGCTTTTGTTTACACCAAAAATGAGGAAGACGTCTTTGCTCGTCCGGTACGCCTTGTCGAGAATGTCCTCGTTGTGCTTCTGCGTCGCCCAGAGACCCCGTTCGACGCTTAGATCGAGGTCGTACTGTATCAACATGAGCGAAGGTTGTGAATTGTTCTCGTGAGCGAACTTGCCTGCGTGAGGGACTTGAGGATAAAGTACCGCTGGGGGAAGTATCGGGAGAGGACGCTGGAGCTGGTCGAGGCGAACGACCCCGAACCTGAGCTGCCGTGTTTGGGTGGCGGATGTGGGCCATGGTGCGCACCCGGGTCGGTGGCGGATTCGCTGTCGACTGTTGAAGGCGTGTCCGGGACTTCCGCCGAGTTTTCATCGGAGGACGATAATGCCCGCGCCGCAAGGTCCTTCGCCCTCTGTTCCTTTACGTAACGCATGTGAATACCCGTGCCGCGTTGGCCACCCACGCCGGCCTTGAGGTCGTCCTCCTTCCTTCGCACGCGACACACGAGGCGCGGACATCGTGGGTCGTCCGGTCGCACCGGGCGACCGTCAAAGTACGCGATGGCGGCTTGCAGGTGCGCCTCGGATGCCAGGTTGACGAAGGCGCAGCTGGAGCGGGCGATGAGGAAGATGGACTGGACGCCGGCGCCGATGAGCTGAGGCGGGCCGGTCAGCGAGCCGGGAGAGACGGGGATGGTGGCGCCCGACTGAGTGAAGAAGCGCCACAACTCGTCGTGCGTGGTGTCCGAGGGGACGTTGCCGACCCACATGACCCATTCCGACCGGTGCGATGGCGGGCTCGGGTGATACGGGCGGCGGATCACTGCGCGATCGGTCGCGGACGGCGGCGGGCCAGATGCAGCTGAGCTATGTCCAGATCGGGGTGACAGTGGCGCACTCGTCGGCCGCCCAGGCACGGAGGCGCCTTCCATGTTTCTCACGGTTGCGGTCGTGCCTTGTGGGCGAAGAGGTTGGCTTGGGTACCCGGCGGACGCCGTTGGCGGAGTCTCCTGACGAAGGAACGAGTCGTCGCGACCGCCGCCGGTCGACGAGTACGAGCCAGGGTACGGGCTCGGGTAGGAGGCGCCGACGTTGGAGCCCGGAGGTGCTCCGACGAACCACCATTGCCCGGGGCTTTCCGGCTCAGACGAGGAAGGGTACCTTCCGAACGGGGACACTGGGTAGTGCCCCGTCTGGTAAACCGGAGATTGCGTGTAGGCGGGGATCGAGTACGTGTATGGCGCGCCGGATACCTGCGGATAATACGGCGTATGCGGACCGTACGACGCTGGCGGAACGTTATGCGAAGGAGTGGGCGCCTGTGACGTGGAAGGGGACGCCGAACGCGGTGATGGAAGCGGCTGGTTCATGACTCCGGCAAGCCCGGGCGAATTTGGGAACGAGTGGCTGCTGCCCGGGGTCAAGGTCTCCGAGGGGTGACGTTGCAGCTGGTATATTGGAGGATGCGGCTGCATGTGCGGGGGCACTAGAGGTGGCGAGCCGTACGGATTCTGAGGTGCGATGCCGGCATCTGGGACGTGCAAGGCAGCCGGAGGAGCAAAGCCGTGCGAGTACGGCATCGAGGGCGAGAGGATGTTCATCGGCGGCGGGGCTTGGGACATGGAATACGGGCCCATGTAGCCTGGCGGTTGGCCGTAAGGACTGCCAGCAGCAGCAGAGTACTGAGAGGGCAGGCGTTGCGCGCCCGGAGACATGGCCATATTCTGACTGCCATCGGAAAAAGAGCTGAAGGACTGCCAGACTGAGGGGCTCACACCGGCGGAGGTTGGATTACGAGGTTGCCTACGCGCGTCGACGCGCGAACCGGGGGGACGATGTTCACGTCGGCCATCGTCTGCCATGTGCGCGGGGCCTGTGTCCAGGGGTCGGAGGGCGTCTGCGTGCGCTTCTTGGGAGTCGCCCGATAATGCCAATCTATTCACGTCGAGTGGGACGGGTTCATGAAAGCCTGTGGGACGCTCGGTGAGGCCAGGAACGGAACGGACAGCGGTGGGCGGCCTGGAACTTACCAGAAGCGTTTTGGGTAGAGTAAATGGGCCTAGCGGAAGGATCTTAAAGAACGTGGATTGTCAGAACAACATCGGGACGGTAGATTGCGGACGGGGGACGAGCCCAAGCACCCGCGCCAACTGGCAGGAAACATACGCCCGGCAGAAAATGCAGGACATATTACACCGCCACGTGCGCACGTCCGGAGTGCATGCAATCCAGATTAGGCTAAATCCACCGGGGTACCTACCTGCGAGCTGTGCATAGCGCGGGCGGGGCGTGGTGGTTCGGTCGGGCGTGGTGGACATTAGTGCGAATATTGGATATGTTTCTCTGGAGTTGCGGGTGGCAAGACTCGTCCATCCACTTAGTACCATATCCCCCAGAGCAATGACGACATCGCTCCCAGACAGACGCGGAGGGCTTTACGCCCAGTTGCCGGTGTGGGAATCGCACCTCCTCTCCGACGGGACCGAGCGCCGTCTAGAGTCGGAGTCGCGGAGTGTAGGAGAGTCAAACGCACAGGCGCCAGGTCGCGGCGACCGACGCTCGCAGTCCATCACCGTCATCCTCCGTACTCGTCCGCATCCCCACCCCACCGCGATGGCGTTCTCCGCGTCGCTGCTCCAAACACGCCTTGCGAGGCGATGTATGCCGTCTTCCCGGCTTATCGAGCCCTAGATCAAGCGCTGCTCCACTCCACCCACCCAGCCGCCCCTTCCCGGACCACTACTCTCCGGCCGTGGTACGTCCTTATCCTCCCGCACTCGTCCACATGTGATCACGGCAGCAGACGGACTGAATGCATTTGCCGCTTGCCGCATAGTCAGACCGCCGATCTTTCGGTGCTGGCTCTGTTTCGGTCGACAAGTCGTACGAGTCCAATGTGGTTCTCGAACGCCCTTGATCCGTTTGTCCATCGCCCGCTCCACAATCCGAAGACAAAGACGCTTTACGCTTGCGCGTCGTCTATTCATGCCGCTTTTACCTGACCGGCATGCCCGACGTCCACACGCACCGGGGGTTGCTTTTCCGAGTACCAGCCATGTCGAGGCCCAACAGGAACAAAGGCGGTGGCCGAATAGCAGCAGCCCGCCCGCACCGCATGCCCGTATTGCACCACGGCGATCGGCACTCGCCTTCACTTTGGACAACTGCGTACCATAACGAAACGTCTGAGAGCACCGGTGCTATGGCCGCGAGATAGCGGCACGCTCAAGTAGGCACCGAAGTGAGCATGTCTTCGGGGTCGTGCCTGAAAGTTACAGCGGTCATGGGCTACGTTATATACGACCACGCTGACCTGAAGACTGAAAAGGTAGCTAACAATCGTTGCCTTCCTGATGCCTGCCGCTTCTCCACCTGCTCCGCCCGTCCGTGATTTGCCTACTGTTTAAATAGGTGTCGTTCTGCCGTCGAGGAGAGCTCCTGGCCGACGCTAGTTTTCCGCGTGTAAAGCAGGCTCGAGACGCTTAAGCACCCAGTCTGTAGTGACGCATACGCGTGCTTCCACTAGTGCGCCTTGTGAATCTCAGCCATACCAGCAGTCTGTAACTGTGGGTGGGATGTTGCTAGATATAAAACGGGGCACCTAGCGGACGGGTCATGTGATGTTGATGCAACGAGATTATGGCGAACCAGGAGTTGACTGCTGCGACTCCGAGGAGGCTGTGACGCCATTTTCTTCGGTGGGTAGCGCGCTTGGAACATTGAGTGGTTCAGATCCGTCGACGAATTCGGCGCGCGCAGGCAATCCCCCACTCATCTCAGATGAACGTTCAGTCGATGGAATAACTGTGGACCTAACGTCGCTAACTTCCAGGTAACACCGACGCTTCACGAAGCAAAGGCTTTGGAGTAAACATGGAGTGCGGCTACATCCTTGTTACTTGAACAGCTTCATGCGGACCTGATGAGACATAGCATCCACAATCATGACTTCCCTACCGCCGGCGGCCGCGTTCCCTTTTGAACCTCCGTGGAAGCTGCACAGCTTCGAACAGGGTCGCCTTGCGCGCTCGAAAGGCAGGGGTTGTGGTCTTCAAAAACATGTGGGATTTGCGACTCGTCCGGGCACGTCACTTTCAGAACGAAGCTAGAGCGCGATGAGAGCATATCCATGAGCAGTGGGCGAATCCGTTAGCAAGGGGACGGCCGGTTTGTACTCTCGCACTCGGCGTGCGTGAATAAGGGTTCGTACCTGCTCAAAGCGAATAGCCAATGAGATGAATAGGACGCGGTTCATGTTGCGACCGCGGTAAGGAGCATGCGACCAGAACCCGGAGGTTTGGCGACCGCACCGAGCGCCGAGCGCGAGCAAAATGGTGGACTCAGAACGGGTACGGCATCCCAGCGTGGCATATGCACGCAAACACCCCGCGGGGGGGGTTAGACGTGCATATAATCATCAAAATTTTCCTTCATGTCCTCGCGCCTCGTCGCGACATTGAGGAGAGAGCTCGGATGAGACAAATCCGGAGCCATGCCGCATCGCCAGTGTGCGGGAACTAGGCGTATTCAACGACGTCGTCGCATTGGCTATCGCTGATTCGAGTATTAGTTATATGACCCAGTGGGATCATGTAGCTCACCGTGGATCCTCCCATCCTCTGCCCTTTGGGATGTCTGGCATCAGTTATACCGGTTATTTCAGTTCTGGCCAGTTCGCCGGAAGGACTATCAGAGCATCGTTGACGGAGATACAGGGAGCTGACCGAGGCAGAAAGTACGTTTTCTCGTCATTTTCGGCGCCACCGACCAGAACGATGCTTATGAACGAAGATTTGGTGTCAAGGACCGTCGCCCGATCGATCCAGTGAGGGCACTGACACCCTACAAAGTACTTGGCGTTGACGAGGCATTCGGCTGCTAGCCTCCCGTAGTACAGCTTCGCCTTTTTGAGGTATGGAATAGTGATACGCCGTATAGTAGCGAGCAAGAAATCGAGGATTATAGGTATGCCGCAGATGATCCCCTCGACCTGCAATGGCCACCTCATCTGGGCAACCTTTTGTTGCCAGGCAAGTCCGTACATCGGGCCTGATGTGCTTCGCCGATCTTTTCCCCGTCCTGAGTCCCAAAGACGGCAAGAAAAGCGACCAGAAAACCGGGTCTACACCGATGGGGCCTACTCCGGGGACATCGACCATTGGCTCGCCGCAGTACATGTTCCACGAACAACAGTACGTGACCATCGGACCATCATGGGCAGCCTCGTCAAGTGCGACGAGCACGACTTCTGGCATGTCGGAGTGGCAACAAAGTTCAGTCTCGACAGGTGGGGCGATGCCTTTTCAGATGAGCGCGGCTGGTTTTGCTGGGACCGCATACGGAGGTAGTGCCTTAGACCCGATGCAAGGCGTCACCCTCGAGAATCGCATCCCATCCGTCGCCGCCGACGCCATGGTGTTAGATCAAAGAGGACATACCGAGGCACCTCCGCAAGCCACTCCAGGGACTGTTCGCAGCGGAGATTGGAGCTGGATCCCAGAGTCTAGCGTGATGACGTCCGAGATGGTGGTGAGTGCGCTCCACATACGGTCAACTGCTGATATAACACGATCAGGGTGCGCGAGCGGTCGAGGCGACGATTGTGTACTATGGCGGTACGAACATGGTTGTTTTTCCGTTCTCGGTGAACAAGACGGCCCTCGCATCTGGCGAAAGACGTCATGCTAAATACTGTCATCAACCCATTAGGATTTATCCATCAAGCAGACGGGCGAATATGTCTTACGTTACAAGATGTTCGACATTCGATCCTCGGCACAACGCCTCGGCCCCGGAGAGCAGCACTCGACGATCCCCGTACTCGCCGAATGCTACTCGCAGAGGCCCGTGAAAGTCTGGGATACGAAAACTTTCCCGGGGCTGGTCAGGTCAACGCCTCTCACTGAGGCAAGTATGGCACCGTATCGTGCTTCGAATGGCCAGCTGACCCGCTCCCCGTGCTCAGGCAATTGCACGTCAAACCAACGGTTCCCGTCCGCGAGTGCGCGCTTCAGCTGATGACTAGTGTAAGTTGTGCATTAAACCCTGACGAGAGATCCTGAAGTTAAGCAGAATCCAGTCGTCGGTAGATGGATAGCGTTGTGCTGCGACGGAAATAGCTAGCTTGACTCGGTAAGTACGCGCGCCGTTTTCATACTCGAAGCACACAGCACGGAAAAGGAAGGGGCAAATTCTGCGGAAATTCCTTATTGGTCCATTGTTTCGCATATATGCTCATCGAATGTTCGGCTCCTCGTGGGATATGAAGATTATGAGAGCGCGAACGGCGCTCGAGACTGCTTCCACTGCTCGCTATGTCCAGTGACTGTACGTAGACTGTATCTATACTGTTGATGCTGTATTCTAACGGCTTCCATCCATATATCTTGCGGAACTTCCGAAGTGCGAATCTCAAACCTTGCGTGCGCCGATTGCATTATTGCCTTGACTGTAAGCAGCCGGATGATCGACATATACGCAAGACTGCCAATCAGGTGCACTGGATGTATCAGGCTGATTCTGGGGGTGAAGAAATAGTACATGGAGAGGTTTTCTTGCTGTGAGCTATTATGCGCGGTTGTCAGAAGTTAACTCCGAGTCGTATCTGACCCACAGCCGTACGTGAGGTTTGACGTCGTCCATCTATAGCTCGCATCAGAGAGGGAGAAGATTAGATACAGCAGCTACGTAGACACGATGACGCGCCGTGACGCGGTCGATGTCGGAGTATGTAAGCAGCAAGTCCCGTTGGGGCATAGGGGCGTCCGCCCGCCACACAGGCTCGGCATTGATTGCTCTGAGCTTCTGAATCTGACACCAGCAAACGTCCCCCTCTCCATTCACCCCCACGCCTTTAATGGCCCCTATACATCTCGGCTCTCGCAATCATGCTTCAATAGTATCTGTTGTACCCGCGCTCCTGCGCTTGGTTCGAGGCTACTTCAACGATGCACGAACGCACAACCACCATTTCGCCAAGCGTGAAATACACGGAGCTCAGAGGATTGTCTTTATCGTCCTCATACCCGTCCTCGTCCTTCTGTCCGGCTTGTTTGCCGGGCTGACCCTGGGCTATATGAGCTTGGACGAGACGCAACTCAACGTCCTGAGTGTCAGTGGAACGCCGTATGTTGCTCTTGTTGTTCATGTTGCTCGTCGTCTCACTGTCCACTAGAAAGCAGCAAGCTTACGCTAGGAAAATTCAACCCATACGAAAAAACGGGCATCTCCTGTTGGTCACGCTACTACTCGCCAACATGGTCGTGAATGAAACCCTCCCCGTCATTTCTGACCCCGTCTTGGGGGGTGGGGTACAGAGTGTCGTAGTCAGTACGGTTTTGATCGTCATGTGAGAATCCCTCCCTTTCTTCCCGATTCCGATGATCAATTGTTCTCTGCAGCTTTTCGGAAATCATCCCGCAGTCTGTATGCACTCGGTATGGTTTGGCGGTCGGCGCGATCATGGCGCCGTTCACACGCGTGCTCATTTGGACTCTTGTATGCAGCACATCACGTCGGGTAGCCATCGCTCTTGACTCACTTCACAGGGCATTGTCGCTTGGCCAGTGGCCAAACTTCTCGAGTTCGTCCTCGGCTCACACCATGGAATCATGTATCGCCGGTCCGAACTCAAGGAACTCGTCAATATGCACGCGGCAACCGAAGCTCACGGTGGTGATCTCAAACGTGACACCGTCACCATCATAGGTGCTGCCCTTGATCTCGAAGAGAAAACGGCGAAAGATGTAGGACCTTCCCATGGTAGCGTTCTTATCCGGTCCTGACAATTCATGTAGGCGATGACACCGATCGACAGCGTTTTCATGCTGCCCTTGTCCGCGAAACTCGATCATGATACGCTCCACAACGTAGTCAGCACTGGACACAGTCGTATACCTGTATATGACTGGGTCGAGGTCCCGATGTTCACGAATGACGTCGAAGTCAGGAAGGAAAAGGTCAAGAAAGTGATCGGGATATTGTTGGTCAAAAACGTAGGTTTTGCGTAGCAACCTTCTCTACAGTCATTGACAGTCTTTATGTTGCTATCGTCAGTGTGTTTTGCTCGATCCGAAGGATGCGAAGCCCCTCCGTGAAATGCCGCTCAACCGCGTTGTTTTCGTGCCTCAGAATGAACTTCTTCTCGGGATCCTTGACAAGTTCCAAGAAGGCCGGAGTCACATAGCTGTTGTCACGCGATTCAGCAAGGCGGTGGCTGCTAGTGTTAAGCAAGAGGTCAAGAAAGGTTTTTCACAGCGATTGAAGGACAAGGTTGGCATGACGGACTCGAGCGATAGTGACACCACCGATGATGAAGACGACACGAAAGATGGCAAGAAATCAAAGGAAAACGGCCAGCCGCATCAGCTGTCTGTTTTTGGCAGTGGCTTAGAGCAGAACATGCCTGCGGACGCCGTCCTACCCAGATCTGGCCGAAACGAGATAACGCAAAGCATAGAGCCCGGTGTGATGCCACTCGGCATCATTACATTGGAAGATGTGCTCGAAGGTTTGTAGCGTTTATCGAACCGCAGTATGATGACGCTCATGTCGCTGCACAGAACTCATTGGTGAAGAGATCTACGATGAATTCGACCAGGAAGGTGTCAAGCCGGATTACCACTTCGCCCGTCCCGAAAAGAAGCCATCCAAAGCTCCGGAGAGTACGCCGAACTCTGAACCCGGCGCCAAAACCAACCTGTCATCCCCTCCTGCCTCTCGCCGGCCATCATTCAGAATACCCAGGTCAATCAAGCTTACGCCTTCTGCGCCGAAGAAAGCGAGGAGTCTACCTTCTTCCGAGGAAGCTGCACCCGCACCCGCTGATGTTTCAACTACGGCGCCAGGCAGTCCCCAAGTCGGGGGCAGCTTCACGCCTGCTGGTCGTTCAGCGTCGCCGATGCCTATGGACGTCTCCGAAGGAGGCCCGGCAGGAAATGACACGACGGAGCCGGGATCCCAGTCTCCTGCAATCCCCACCGTTGTAACTCCCGCAACCGCGGCGCCGCTGGGAGCGGTATTGCACGAGCGGGCGAAATACAGGCAGCCGTCCGTCACAAGGACAAATGCTGGTGGCTCGCCCAAAATCGTCGGGAAAGGGAGGCTTTTCAAAAGCGTTCCCATAGACGGAAATGCCAGTGAAACGACTGCTCAGGAACCTACAGAAATGGTGAAAACGGAGGCCCTCGTGGATGAAAGCAAGGGAGAAAAGCATGGCCCGTCGTAGTCACATGCGTGGATGTCTAGTAGTAGTTATTCATTTGGCTAACTGTGGTGCATGCAAACAACATCAACTACATGCAACGCGTACTTGCATCAGGCACCCCTCGAGCTTATTCCTCGGTGAAGTCTCGTTCATCGGATTTGACGTCATTTCAGAGCCGTGACGGGATGTAAGCAGGCATATATGGTTATTGCTTTCATTATCTTCGTTGTATGTGGATCTGTATTTATGCCATTCCTTCCTGTATAAACTACAAAGGCGAGCGAAACACAAAATATTCGACACCCTAAATCCAATACTCAAGCATTGAAGATGCCCAAACGCCGTTGCAGTCCTGGCAAATACGACGTCTTCCCAATGGACGAAACGTGAATCTCGATCCATCCACTCTTGCCGTACCGTCTAGTCTCATCCCGTCGCCCGATGACTCTATTGCGCATATAATTCTTGGAATGTTGAAATTCCGTCCTTCATCCACATCAACCGCCAGCTCACGGAGTACACCAGAGCAGTGCACGGCGGCCCCGAACCCTCTCTGAGCACTGATTGAGCATCACAGCTTTCCCGACTTCATTGGTCTCTAGGAGGTCAGAGTACGACATACATATACGGACCGGATCAGGACGCCCATACATATACGGAAAGGATCAGGGCGCTGGAAGCTGCAGCTCATCCTCCTGGAGGATCGCCCAGCTCTGATCTCCACCCCCGTGAATCATACAAGATGTACCACTCCTTGATCAGGAACAGGCGAGGGCACCGGCGCTTTGGGTTGCCATGTATGTGAAGGGAAAGCTTCTGTCCGACTCGGGAAGATGACCGGGATCCGGGATGGGAGGTAATCATCCTGGAAATGCGTAGTGGCCACGCGCTTGTCAATGTGTACGCGCTCAACGGCAGCGACGCTCTGTGGAAAGACCTTAGTACCAATCCCCCAGGTTAGTATGACGAGCTACGTGCGTAACCCCACGGAGCTCAGCGAAAAAATTAGATAAACCGTCGCCGAAGACCCGACTCGTACGTGAAATCAACTAACTCATACAACAGGAATGCCAGCACATGCAGGACCGAGGCATGATGCTCGTTCTCGTCGACGATTTCAACATATCCTTGGCGTCGATAGACTGGCACTCGCCTCGCGTCTGCTTCAATGAACGGTTTATCCCGTCATTAGGTCTGGTGGATGTTTTCCGTTGGATACACGGACGCAGAAAGGCGTATAGCTGGTTTGCACCTGGTGAGTAGACGATTATGCAACTCTCCTCCGTATTGACAAAAGAATCATGTAGGAAACCCCAGTACTCTGATTGTGCCAGAGTAGCCTATGCGCTCGTCGATAAGAAGCTATTGGAGGATGAATCGGGATGGGCTGAGTGGTTGAAACGAGGCGCGAAACCCATGATGTGCGGATCGTCGGAAAATTCACCTCTTTTCGTCTAAATATCTGGAAGATCCGATGGAACGGGCTCATAGTAATCATGCACCCCTAATTCTGAAGCTGAATGGCATGGCCACATTGCATGTTGGCGCCTCATCGCCTCGTTCTTGATTTGGATAGTTCCGGGTACGCGGCCAGTTAGCTCACCGACAGGCTTTGACTATCTTCGTTCGATATCCGGCACGGCGCTTGCGGCTTGTTGCGCCAAATGGGTTGGGTTGCGCTCCTGCGATGTAAGATTAGGTCTTGCACTTCGTGCCCCAATCGTTCGCAGATGACAGAAAAGGGTTTGAGGTCCACGAACCTGCGTAGCCCACTGTGTATTTGCAAAACTGCCCTCTACTACATATATAACTAGCTCGTCCCCGACGATTCAAACCCTTTTCCGTTCACGTAAGTAAAGTGCCCCCCCTGCTGATGCGTGTATGCGCATTGTATGCCGTTGCCATCCTTAGGAACGCGCTTTTACTACGTATATGGATTGACGACCCGTACTGAAGCGAATATCATCCATGTCAAGACCTGCAGTAGCGAAAGGCTGACTACTTACTTTGCGACATCGCATGATTCAGGCTCAAGATAGCAGCCCATACAAGGTACGCAGGATTCGTCTGGGGAGGAGAACCAGCATACTGCGGTTCGTCGCATAAACCAAGCTGGACAGCCATCTCTATCGCAAGCTGAGGACGTCCGTTAGTCGCCACATATCAGAGCGGTGATGAACACTTGCCTGATAATATAATGAAAGGCCTGTGAGGTGTGGAACAGTATGAGCATATCACAACAATTCTATATATCTTGTCTACCATCATGCCTGCCACTGCGATACTCAAACCAAGCTATCATGATCAACGCTTCGACAATGTCAATCGAGGAGTCCATCCCACGCAGGATCAGGTCCAGGAGTACCTGTGCATTGGGTCAACCTTCAGATACAACGGTATGTCACAATTACAACCTTGGCATGATGACCATAACCTTCAGCGATGCTGTACAAATCCGCAGGAAGGTTACTGAATCTGGGAGTTTCGATTTAAGTGGGGGATCCTATATGCGGAGAGCACAGTCAGAAGCTTACGGTACCGCTAGCGCCGCTATGCAGTTGGCTAGAAGGGGCGATAATCTCTGAAGAGAATGCGCTCGCATCACATCCTCAAAGCTAAGATAGGGATAGTCGGTGGCCATATGTTGGAAGAAGACTTGGATATATGTGGGCATTATGGCTGCATGTGGCCTCAAGAAATGTTCTCCGGGTCTTTGAGGCTCGAATAGGAGGACATGCGAGCCTGACGTGTCGTACGTGTTAAGGCTGATAGACATGAATGAATTAGAGCACTCTCTCATCTGTACTAAATAGACGCACTTCGTTTGCGACGGTTGAGAACGGGGCGGGATGCTTGTCGGGGTTGCGGGAGGTATCGCGGATACGTCTCGCGTTTGTTCTAATACCCGACGCCTCTCGACGAAATATCGCTGACGATCGTTGGTGCTGCAAGATATTTTCGCAGTGATACACGCATCACATTTGACGCTGGATAGAGTACGTTCGCATCTGTGTTTCCGTCGGCGACTAGAATTGGTTAATCTCATGTACTGTCTATCCCGGAAAACATACCATGCATCACAGGAAGTGATGATCCTCGGTCGCTTTTGCCGCGCTTCCTCTCCCTCTGGATCCTCGTATATAAAGGCGGCTTGCATCTTGTTAAGTACCCAGCTCTGATGACCGAGAAGATGTGTGCATACCGCTCCTTTTAACCTCGTCCTGTATGAGCTGAGACACGGAGGTACGGGCAGGACGGCCACGGTCGTGCTGAAGCTCTCTTGCGTCACAGAAGCCCGACAGCCCCTGCTGCCATCACAGAGGTTCAAGTTCATGAGGGCGCGCGCACAAAGTCGTTGAGGATGGCTGTGCTGGCATTGGTCCCGAGATGCGTGGAACCTGGAACAGCAGCGACTCGGAAGCATGCCAGTTACGCAGTCTCCGGGAGAAGCGCAGCTCCAGGTCCGGTACGTATGTATACCAGCCAGACTTCCGTTATTCTCCAGATCCCGGAGATAGATCCGCTGCCAGCGCATGTACGTGAAGGCGACGCTATCGAACCCCACCGAGCCGCTCCGTGGTCAAGTAAGTAGTAACTGGCTATGCTGGTTGAATTGCTCTTGAGTTTCGTCACATGGTCACGAAGCAGTCTTTGATTCTATCCTTGCCCGTCGTTGTAGGATATAGGTGACCACCTTAAGTGGTAGATACGGAAGTAGCATAATGAAAGTTAAGCGCAAAAAGCTGCCTTGTGTGACCGTCGTTACTTCGTCACGCGTACCGCATTCTCACGACGCAGTTTAGTAGTAACCGGACTAGTGTTTAGGTGCGACGTGCGTACAAATGTATACGCGTCTTGACTCGTTATGGAGAAAGGAAAACCCCAACTACCGCCATTTGGACGTCGATTGATTGGAAACCTGATCTCCTAGTACGCTGCCACTACACCGCTTGATGAAACCGCGCATCTTTCAGTTGCAACACGAAGTACAAGGATAAGGCATAATCCCATCCTAAATCGTGCATCCCGAGTCGTTAAGATAGGTATCATGTTAACGTTCAACGCATAGCACGGGAATTCCAGAACTCTGGGAAAGGTAGGGTAGCAGCTATCACAGTGACCGTCTCCCGAGAGACTACATGTATCATTTGGCATGTCAAGATGAAACGGATGCCGAGTATACACGGTGAACTTGTCGTGTCATTCTCAAGTTAGGTAAAACATAGATTCGAAGCATTGCATGACAACCGGTTGTTCCGCTATCGGACTTCGTAATAATTTAGAGGCGCCGTGTCGCTATGACCTGGATCATCATCCCATCCATATGAGTGATACGACTTCACCATTAGATGCACACAGCTGAGGTCTACTTCCATGCGTTCATGCGCTGAAAGTATACAACTTGATGCATCACGTCCCAGTAGAAACGGTCGAGGCTGTGGACACATCGACTGTTCGTTGAGCCGAGGATATAAACGCCGGAGCTAAATATCAGCACTGCTGAGTATCGTGATAGCACCACTGGCACCGTGCTGCGCATCCGTCGAAGCAATCCGGTCCTTTCTGCGGTGTAAACCGCGAATTATCGCGGTACCGACAATTGTTGAATATAGAGCACAGTGAAGTTTGGGTGGATGTGTGGCCTCCTTCACATTCGCCTTACAGCAAAACATGTCAGTGGCCGTCTGAGACACGGACGATCGAACACGAGTTATTTCGACCCACAACGATCCGCATTACAATGGTATGCATGGAATGTACATGACTTCGAAGCCCCATCAAAAGCATAGGCTACCGTCATGAGAGCTCACTAACTTACATGGTACTCAATAGCGTCACGCCGCGCTTGCGGACCTATGAGATGTTATGCCTGCAAGACTTCTGGGATAGGAGACAGTGAGGGTACCGCTCGCGCACGGTGGGGCGTCCGCCGGCAATTTTCACCTCTTCTGGAACGCTGCAAGCCATTGAGATGAAACTCCCTTGGAACGATAGCTTACGCACAAGTCATGCTTCTGATACGGCGGCTACTTGCAGTCACACACGAATCCCGGTCATGGCCTCAACCACGCCTCGCGCTGCGCAGCAACGAGCGATTTACTCATCACTTTTCTTGTTGCAGGCTCGCTCTTGCAGCCATCGTCTTCGAACGCATGCATCGTACCGTACGGATCTGCAACATAGACAAGACAGAGAACCGTTGTCCCATGATTCGACCCGTAAGACGGGCATCCAGCCTGGACACAGACAGTAAGTTATTTCAGCCAGATTAGGACACACAGGGAAGTCGCATCGTGACTGATTTCTGAACAGGACCAAAGGAAGGCTCTCATAGGACCATCAGACACATGCGCCAGATGACGCTGAACTTACTGTGTATATTTGGACGGTGTAAGGGAAATGGGGATTAGTCTCCGCATTAGCACGTCTGTATTGACACGACGCGTCGGCGTGTACGGATGGCTTCATGCTGTCTTGGCCACCAATTTCGCGTGTTCATGTCCCGAAGCCTCGGGGATAGCGGTGACCAAACCATTTAGATGTAACTCCACACTGCGGGATCGGAAAAGGGATTACATCGCGCATGGTATCAGTGCTGTCGATGGCCGCGCGGCATCGTGCAATGGCTGCCGCAAGGGGGGACGTGACGCTTTCGGAGAGGAAGATTAACTTTCAATGCAACATGCGGGTGGTTCCTTTCGACACAGATAGTGGTACGTCCAGACTTATCCCATACGATTATTGTTCGGAAGTCTCGGCTGACACCGACCTGATGGGTGGGATACGGTTGCATGTGCATGAAGACTGCGGGTCATTTCCGGGCGGGTGACTCTTGGTTTTCAAGCAAGCAACAACATATCGATACCTGCATGTGCTGTATCGGTAGCTTGGAGGAAAGTGACCGATGACGATTGCGAATACGCGGAGCAATATCTGACGGGCGAAATCATGTACTGTGAGTAAGCCAGTATAACATGAGACAGGGGGAAAGCGGTACGCTCGCGTTATTTGTCGCGGTTCTGGTTATCCATCAAGGTTTTGTCAGTTATGCTTTGCGGGAATATATTCAAATTCATGCAGGCGGCAGAACCGCCGACTGTAGGTGTCAATTTCAGTGGCATAAACCCGTAGGGGAGGCGCTGATACGTACATGGCTTCTGGCTCTATGACATATGTTGCCGCAATGGTGGTTCCGCCGCATTGTATGCAGAAGGTGACCCTGACTGCAATGCACCCGCGGTCCCATGCTGCTATCTCGACTCCTTGGGATAGGAAGGACAAATGCCTTGATATGACGCACACCCCGCCGTGCTGAGCTTTGCATCCACCGTTATCGGTAGTATTCGCGTGGTTTGCGGAATAAATGTCGCTCCATCGGCCAGGCGCGCTTGTTTTGAGGATCGGCAGTCAGCTCGGGAAGTTGCTTTGAGGCAGTACAAGAGGATGACCCCGCCGTAGCTGACAACGAACATAACTGCGGACCACCGTCAATGCGTAGCTGAAAATGGTCGCCGGCGGGCCGTATCGCATGAACCTCTGGCAAACGTCAAGCGCGGTCATACTCGAACGCGGGTACGCTGGGGCCGGAGACAGTAAAGCGATTTCCTGGAAAGGAAAGCGGAAGTAACAGGCGGTCATGTGACTGGGGTGAGGAGAGTTTGTGGGGGCGTCCGGTACGCGTTCTTTGAGCAATGTTTGTCCAATGTCCAACCCTCGGCGGGGACGCTCCCACATGGCCTCTCTCTCGTCTCCTGGCCGTCGTCTGCCGTGTTACCCTCGTCTCCCCTCACGCCCTCCTCTACCGCCCCGAGATGGACCCCCCGCTGCCCCCTCCCGGCGCAACGGACGTCTTCTCCATCTCCGACCAGACTCTGGCGCAGAAACTGCACTTTGTCAACGAGGTGGGCTCTGGATGCCTGGCTGAGCTTCGTAGTACAACAACTGACTCGGTGGCCAAGATCGGCTTTGGAAATTGGGGGAGTGTATGGTTGTGCCGGCCACGAAGCGGCCACGACAAGTTATCGGACGCGAAAGTCGCGGTCAAGCTCGTCCATCGCAACAAGAGTAAGACAGCATCCGCTCGCGTAGGATCCTTGTATGTGCTCTATGTCCGTGATTCTCTGCGGACAAAGCTAACGCCCGCGCCCTCTAAGATGGAATGAGATGAAGATCGTCCGCTCCTTCAATGACGACCCCCATCCATCTATCGTTCCTTTTTACTCATTTATTATCACCCCATCTTACGCATTGATAACCATGTGCGCTCCTTCCTCCAACTATTCTGGTTTGACATCGTTGAACATACATTTAGGGCGTACTTGCCTCGGCTTATACCCGTGGAATTGCCCGAGTCACGTGCTAAGCCCTGGATGCAGTCGCTTCTGTCAGGCATCGTCTATCTGCATAAACGGGGCGTGGTTCACAATGATATCAAGTAGGATTCATAGCGCATATGCATGAACTAATACTGACACTTGTCCCAATCGCAGGCCAGCCAATATTCTTCTTTCTGAGACTAACGTGCCAACACTTGTCGACTTCGGCTTTGCAGAGCAGTATAACCCCAAATCTTCGGAAGCGTTCATCAGCTCCGTGAGCTATGGCACACCAGAGGTTGTTTTCGGATCATCTTCACACTGAGCATGACTGATTGTCTTGCCGTTCATATCTCAGTATTTATCCCCCGAACGCGCGCGAGGCCTTAAGCATGATACACGCAAGTCCGACGTCTGGTCACTCGGGATAACATTTTTTGAGCTCCTGGTGGGCCGGACTCCCTTCGAGTACGAAGAAGGGGAGCAATTTAGTACGAAGACTGAGCTTGAAGCCTATTGGGGACGTACTGTGAGTATGCTTCGCGTAGCCTATCTGCATCACGCTCACGATGTTTGACGACGCAGATACGCGGAAAGTGGGTTGGACAATGGAACATCAGTTCCGGTGTTGAGAGCATGCTCCGACGTATGCTTGCACCCAATGCGGATCTCCGTTGCACGGCCGTCGGCGCATTCCAAGATCCTTACTGGTCTCAAGAACTCCAGGATGTTAGTCAAAGAACAACGAATAAAGTGGCACACAGCAAGTAATTTATACGCACTACACGAACTGCCATACTGATCGGATTATCAGAGAAATCCGAGAGCATCTCCCGTGTCATGGGACTGTCAGGCAAAGGTGCTGGTTCGCCGAGTGTTGTGGACATCATATCACCGTGGTCCACCCGTGGACGAGGCGCGCGCACCAAGCCCAGGGAACGCAAGGAGAACTACATGTTATCCGGTCCCGTCAGAGAACGAGAATCGCCATCCAAGCTGAACGACATGTTACCTGGTTCCCGTGACGTAGACGGAGCTCTTCCTGCGACCGCAAAGCCCGTGTCGCAACCTGAGAGGTCCCGGGCCAGTGCCGAGCATGGGGGCGGGCTTGCTCTTGGTGCGACACAATCGAAAGTTCTTGCTGTGAAAGGTTAGACCAATCATGCTTTCGCCGGCAAATGCTCATGCGATGTACTATCAGAACAAGCGAAGCGGAAATACGCAGAGAGCAACGAAGATGATGCAGCCCTCCTTGCTGTCCTGCGCCCTGCGCTCAAACCGAAACCATCCTTACGACCCAAACGATCGGGAATACCCGTCCTTTCTGCTACCCGTTCCAATGCCGCTCTGCATGATGGGTATAAGAATCAGTTGAAGCCCATGACCTCTACCCAGGAATTGGGAGGCCACGTGAGACGCGAAGCCGTGTCTGTGTTCAAGAAACTGCCGCCAGTTATTCCTACACCCATCAAAGAGGAAAGATCAATCCTCACGCAATCAAGTACACAGAAGGAGAATGCTGTCCTCCTCACAACGAAGAGTCGAGATGTTCTTCGTAGACCGCTGGGTCCAAGGATAGCGACGTCACCATCCAGCGCGGCCGACTCCTCGGTGGATATACTCGCCTCCAGATCAGACCAAAGATCGATGCGAAACAAGGAGAATATGAGTGCGAACTCCTCACCGAAGACAGCCGACAGGAAGAAAGCTGGCCGGACGTCGCGAAGGCATGGTGTTGCGGACCCAACGACGAAGGGGAAGAAGATAGCAGTGTCTTCGAAGGTCATGGAAGATGAAGATGGCGACGCTCCGGCCGAGTTACCCAGCAGCTCGTTTTCCCATTCACGTTCTAATCCTAATGTCAGCGTCTCGGACTCAGTCCGATCGCGCATCGCAGAATGGGCTAACGCTAGGGAGCGACTACGGGAAATGTCGATTGAGCTCGAAGTGGAGAGCGAGATTGAATTTGGACGGGAGCATTCTGAAGAGGATGCCACGACGGAGATCGTCGCTCCCGAACAGGATGCTTCCAAACCGTCGACCCCCTCGACGGTGAACACGGGATTGGGATCTCTTCGACAGGAGAAGGAGACGCAGAGGTGCCTGCAAGCTTTCCTGCTCTCCGGTCAGGAGAAACTCGCGAAAGGCGATTTGCCTCAGGATGTGAACTCGGGGGGTAAGTCAACGTAATTCCACGGATTCGATCCATGAGTTAACCTTATACCCTATCAGATTCCAGCTTTATCCATATGGACGATACCACCGGCGTCCTTCCGCGGCCAAATGTTGACACCTCTCTGAATATGTTCAAGCAGAGTTTCAAGGCATCCATAGGTCAACTGGCTGAGAAGACTGCGCGATCGTACAAGTCTTCCTTGAATCAGATCAGTCACGTCGCAAAACGACCCAATCCAAGACTTTCTGTGGGGACCAGTGATGATGAGGACTGGGGTGATGCAGTCATCCGTCATGGTAAAGCTATGTCATACTGAACTGAAGCTGAGTACTGACGTGAAGCTCAGCGACGTCTCGAGCCGCACTGGGTGCACTAGCGGGTGCTCCCGTTGACGCAGAGTCTGACGCAGCCACGGTGGAGGACCGCATGACAGCATGGATGCAAAATATTGAGAGTAAGTAGATTGCCTTTTTTTCTGGGATGAACGCTGATACAGGCTACGTCAGGGGTAGTACAGGATGCGTCGCAGAATTTCGTCTTGAGCAGCACGCACGCGGCTCCTGTACTGCCTGTCGCTCCACCTTCCAGGCAATTGTCTCTCTCACGATCTCAAACGCGTTCAAACCGTTCCTCGCGACTTCCACGCAAACCCCTGGCTGCAAATCAGATTTTTGTGGACGGTTATGAGGACGGCTCATTCAACACATCCTACTTCCCCTCAACGGCTTCGCCTCGGTCATCGGACCTTGCTACCCCTGAACCATCAACTATCCTGGAGGAGAGCAGCGTGCACTTCGCTTCACCCAATACAACCGCAACGCCGCCTCGGCCTCGCAGATACACCATCGTCACGCGTTCTCCCAAACCTTCCGAGGTGTCGCGTTCTACGGAGATTGACTTGGAGTCCCCATCGAAACGCAAGGATCGTTGGCGGTCTCAGGGTGATCTACTGCAAAAGCATATAGCACCTAAGGAATGGCTGAATTTGGAACTCGAACGAGGTAAGAAGCGCAACTTGTACAATGTTCCATTCCTGCGCACGCTCATTCTGTTATAGTATCTACATCTCCGGCCAAACCTTCCCTGCCATTGTCGGCCGTTGTGGATCGGAAACTATTCGTCGCGGAACCTCGAACCCCCGGAGCCCAAGACACGTTCACTCCAGATAGTTCAATGCTCAAGGAGATGAACAGTCTAACCGCATCACCCCTGCATGTCGACCCTTATCCTCCCAGACCAGCTACCGAACGTCCACCCATACCGGACACACCCGCTCGTCGACAGCTCGAGACGGTCTATGATCGATTCCTCATGGCAACGTCGGGCGTGAAACGCGTTGGTGCTGGATATCAATCCAACAATACCGCTCCTACCGGGCATAACCACCTGACCGTTCCAATCCCCCCCAAGAGACACGGCAAACGTTTCAATGTTAACTCTTCTCGGCGCCCTATGCCCCCGCCAGTGTCAAGTGATGACTATTTGAAGGCCGTCTCTGTGGACGAGTTGGGCATCATGTCCCCTCCGGGGGTGGATGCCCGAGCAGAAGACGAAGAAGGACGTAACTCCTTCGCCGTTGTGCGGCGAGCTTTGAAAGCTGCCGTGAACGGTAAGACCATTTCTCGCAGATTATCTCGGATTGATTAAACCTTTGCATCGCTTTCCTTCCCGTACCCGTCGAGTTCTCATTGTACTGCCCGATGCTTTGCTCTGTTTTTTTCCTGCCATCTCATCGCTCTGGTCATCTTACATGTTATCTATCTATTTGAACGCTATCGGTTTGCTTTAACGATGCTCATGTACTTCACGTCGAACGCGATTTACGAGCGGATTACAGGATCTACCATGCAGTCACATTATATAACACAAATCTGAAAACAGCTATGAATACATGCGTGGATGGATATGCTATGTTGCTGGTGGTCTGCGTAAAGTTACAGGTTTGGCGGCGGCGCCATCAGCAGGTTTCAACCGTTTAGTGCCGGAATCATCAGATGCTTCTCCATCCTCCCGCGCCCGTTTACCCGCAGCGCCAGCGATCGCCAACCCCGATGTAGGAGTGGCTGCTGCTGCTGCTGCCGCCGCCGCCGCGGATGCCCCTCTGCCGGCCGCTCCACCACGCGCGGCCCCACGAGCTCCACGCCCAGGCGCCGCACCTCGACCCCTACCGGCTGCTGGGGGCGCTGCTGGAGCGGATCCTCCGGCGGCAGCGTTCACGGATTGCTTGCGGGTTGCAGCTGGCGCTGTCGCTGTCGGTGGCTTGGTAGCAGGTGCCGTAGCGGTGTTCGGCTTGGTCGGAGACACCGTCGCATCCTCGGGTAAAATTCCGGCGTTTTTCCATTCTACGATGCGGGCTTCCAGCTCCTTCACCTTGGATTGCACCTTCGTCAGCTGCTGGTCCTTCAGCCTGGATTTCGCTGCAGATTCCAAGCGCCCACGTTCAGTGGCGGACTCGATCTCGGCCTTGAGTTTCGCCTCGAATTCCTCGGAAGCCTTGGCAAGTGCTTGGGCTATAGCAGCGTCGCGGTCGCCGTCTGTGGCAGTCGGTGGCGAATGTTTCTTGGCTTCGGCGACAGCATTGTCGACTGCAGTCTTGAGTTCCGCGGCATGTTTCTCGTTGAGACGGCTCTCCAGGGCTTTTAACTCTTCTGCGTGCTTCGCAAGAAGTGCTTCGACAGGTGGAGCCGGTGTTGATGCTTGGGCTTCCGCTCTTGCCTGCTGGACCGCCGCTGCGACCGCCGCTTCCTGCTGCGACGCAGCTTTTTCGGAGTCTGCTTGCCGGTGCTTCATCAACTCTCTGATCCGAGCCTGGAACTTATCCTGGAACAAGCGTAAGTATTCGACATAGGCTCTAGATGCATCACATACGCTCTGAGATTTGACATTTTTTATCTCTTCAAGCGCTTTCTGCGCATTCGCTTGCGCCACCTAGCGGACGCGATTGAGAACACTTCGAAATAAACAACATTGTCTCTCACTTGTGCTTGCGAGACAGCCTCATCACGAGCTTTGATCAGTTCATCTCTCTCGGCCTGCCACTGCTGTCCAGAACCAGCGATATCTCCACTGGGTTCACTAGGCGCATGTGATAGCCACGTTTCCTTCTCCTTGAGCAAACGATCGCGTTCCTCCCGGAGCTCAGCCTGCAATTGAGTCAAATCGTGTCACAAAACCAGACGAGAATTAAACCCACAATGGTTGACTGAAGTTCTGCGGAATCACCGATAGGACCCGAGGCAGCGTTCTTAGCCTCGTTGAGAGCGGCTTCTAAGGCCGCCTTCTCTTGATTGATCTTAGATATCTGATCTTGAAGTCGTTTTAGTTCTTCAGCGCCGCCGGCCTGCTCGTCATTGTAGCGAGAAGTCAATGCCTCAACCTGAGTCTGTAGATCAGATATGGTCTTGGTGAGTTGGACCTCCTTCTCCTGAGCGGCAGCCATCCTCTTCTTGAATACTCCGTTGTTGTGCTGCGCGGCATCTTTGAGCTTCGTGTAGCTTTCCTGGATCTTGCTCAACTGTGGTCATTGGGTTAATACGGAGTCGTTTCGGGACTCCCTGACGGCCTACCTGTGCTAATCGCTGCTCCTGCTCGGATACTGCCTGTTCTTTCTCCTTTTTCAGCTGTTCAATCTCCTCCTTCAGAGATTGTACTTCGGCAGGATCGATACGATCGTACTGCGTTGCCAGGTAAACATTAGCTAACTTCCAGAACGTAACACTCACCTTAGTCAGTAACTGCGAATTGCGTTCCTGCCATTTCTTGTTCTCTTCCTGAAGACGTTGTAGCTGAGCATCTCGAGCCGACAGTTCCGCTTGAGCAAGGCGAGCTTCCTCCTTAGCGGGCTCCAACTCTGTTGTGAGTCGTTGAAGTTTCAAATCCAGATCGCGTGCGCGTCGAGCGTTGGCTTCCGATTCAGCTCTTAATGTTGCATTGCTCTCGCGAAGAATAGTCAACTGATTGATCTTTTCTAGTAGCTCCGCGTGCTGAGCTTGCGACGCTGCTGCATCAACCGCCCGTTCGCGTTCCTGGGGCAAACGGTTAGCATGCATGTATCATGATCAACCATCCACCATACCTCCGATAACGCCTGCCTAGTTTCTTGAAGTGTCTGAGAGAGATGCTCAATCTGGGACTTCAGTCTCAGACATTCCTGCTTGCTGAGTTCAAGCTGTAGATCCACTATCTCCTTCTCCTTCCGAAGGTATGCGACCACAGATCGCAATTCGGACAATTTCGAATCGGTGTCGTCGGATTGATCGTCTTCCGAGACTGGAGCCGAGGCGTCCGCGGCTTGCCTGATGCGCGTGGCCTGCGTGCTAACTGACTCAAGATGATGATGGAGGGTGTCATTCTGACTAGTGAGGTCCTTGCAGCTGAATAGCATTGAGTATGCGCTAGAGCAATAGCGAAAGATCACAAAGCCTTACCGAGCAGCGAGGTCCGCAATCTCCTTCTCCAGCGCCGCCTTCTGTTGCTTCCAGCTATTCTCCGACGCAATGAGATTTGCTTTTGCGGTCTCAGCGGCAGCGACACCTTCTGTAGCCTTGTTCTGAGCTGTCGAAAGCTGAGCTTTGGCAGTTTCTAGTGCCTTGATGGTTTCTGCGTGAGCGATCACTTCCCTAGAGTACCGATCTTCGGCAGCCTACAGCAGCCGTCAGCATCTCGCCACATGGGGTCGATTGTACCGACATGCCTTGACACGATCCTGCTGTTGACGGAGCTCCGCTTCGAAGAGCACCCGGTCGCTCTCGGAGTGTTTCTCAGAAGTGCTCATATCGACAATGGTGTCCTCGAGCGTCTTCTTATCCGAGGCCCATGCCGCTCGATCCGAATCGTAAGAGGACTTGAGTTCAGTATACTTCTGAGAGGCTTGCGCAAGCTCCTGTTGTACGGCGTGCAGCTTCTCGTTCATTGCTGTATACTCCGCCTACGATAGTTTCATGAGAACTCTGAGCAGATAATGATACTGAGATTTTACCTCATGCTTGGCTATTTGAGCCTCAGAAGACGTCTTGTACTCGTCAAACGTGGAGCTCAGAGACGCCAGCGCAGACTCGCTGGCTTGGCTGATCTCCTGGAACTGTTGCACATGGTTGCGGGCATTTGTCAACTCAACTTGCGCTACCTTCAATGAAGATCTGAGATTAGGTCATCAGTACGGCAGCTACGAGATCAATCCTATAGTCATGCGCACCGGAGCTCTGCCACTTCAGCTTCAAGTTGCTCCTCCCGGCTCATTCCTGCATGCATTTGTTGTGCGGGAACTCCGTCACTTCGACGCTCGTACACAGCAAGCTTCTCTTGGTTGCCCTGGAGTTGTTTGCTCAAATCTTCCACGCGCTCCTCAAGGTGCTTCTTGCTCGTCTCAGCACCGATCAATGATTCCCGAGTTTTACTCAGTTCTTGGTGCTGCGAGACGAATCAAAATCTTGCCGACAGCGAACTTCACGAGTTCGGCTTACCGCCTTTTCAACCTTCGCATGTAGGTCGCGAAGCTCAAGGTCCTTCTGCAGTGTCAGATGGCGAACAGTGTCCCGTTCCTGGGTGAGCTGAGTACGTAGATCGAGTCTATAACCCGGTTCGTTCAATTGTGTGACGCGCGAGACGCGGAAAGCACTCACACTTGGGTCTCCATCATCTGGATCTGTGCCTCCAGTCGACGACGATCGTTCTCTCCGGAGCGCTCCAGGTCATTCTGCATTTTCTGAATGTTTGTCACAAGTTTGGAGAAATGGTCAACATTGAGTGACAAGGTCTTATTTTCTTCAGAAAGTCTGTCTTGAATGTCCTGTTTGGGATGCTTCAGCATCAAGTTGACGACGCTGTGCATGTCAATCACCTGCAAGATAGCCTTCTCAGCGCGGAGATTGGCGTTCTCATTGCGCATTTCTTCGAGCTTGGACGCAACGAGCGCAAGATCCTCTGTAGCCCTATTGCACTCGATGTCATAGCGGGTGCATTGCTCGTACAGGCGCTGATGACGATCAGACAGGGCATCGAGCTCATGAACCTTTTGCTGATATTGGTCGTTGGAGATACGCAGACGTTCTGCGGATAACACGCTATGAAAATCTAACCATGCCGAGCACAAAGAGTCACATACCTTCCAAAATCTCAGCACGCGCGCTCAGCCGAGCGAGTTCGGCACGGGCTCGGTCAGCATCGCGCTCAACAACAGCCAGTTGCTCACGATTGCGCTCCGCGTCAGCAACAAGGTCCGTCTGTGTAGACTCATAACGCTCCCTCATCTCTGCCAGTTCCCTGGCGTGATCGGAGGAATCGGGGACAACGCCGTTTATCTGAGCAGCTTCGCCGTTTGGCAACGAAGGACCGACATGTGACGATCGACCAAGCATTGCCTTCAACGAATCCCGTTCCTTGATGTAGGCCTGCAGAGTCGTCTCGTGGCTCTTCCTCTGCGCCTCCAACCGTGCTTCGAGGGTCTGGATCATCTCCATGGCTTCGACCACCGCTTCGTTCTGCTCCTGCTCCATGCGTTCACGATACTCCTTCTCTTCGTTTTCCATCTTGTAACCAAGCTCGCGGACGATCTTGAGCAGCTTCTGATTCTGTTCCTGCAGTCCGCTGATGGATCGGAAGAGAACAAGGTTGTTGGTGATGACCTGCTCAATGTTCTCAGCAGGCGCGGTGGATTCATCTTGGGCGAGTTCTTCATCTGGTGGAATAGTCGGGTCTTGTAGCCGACCGAGCTCTCTGAGCAGCGTCCGGACTTGACGCCCAAGGTCATCTAGTTGTTGTTGAAGGATCTCGTTCTCCTGAACGCTTTGCTTCAGCTTCTGAGTGGAATCCTTGGCGGCAGCAGTCTGCTTATCACGCTCCGCTAGAGCGTCAGCAAGCTGGGAAGCCAGCTGGGAGGCTTCGGCCATAGCGCGATCATGCTCGGCACGTTGTTGAGCGAGAGTCGGGGCCTAGTAACTATCAGCTCGGTAGAAGGAAGACGAGCCACAGATGCGTACCCGTTCCTCAATTTGTGCTAACACCTGGGTAAGGGTGCGTTCCATCTGATCGTACTCGAAGGTTTTCTTCGCGAAATCCTCTTGGAGCTTGATGTATTCCGCATACACTTCCGTGAAGGTCCTGCCGCTTCTCTGCGCCCTGCTAGCCATCGCGACAGTCGGGCTGAGACCCATGATGCCCTGCATGAAAACGTCGGGCGACCCGGCATATCTCGGTGTTGCGGGTGTACCCGGTGTCTGCGGCACACCGCTGGCGACACTGGGGAATGGCAGTTCGCCGCGGTCCATCTTCTCGAATACCTTCTCCATTTGCTCAAGGCGCTTTTCGGCATCATCTGCCCGTCGCCTTTCTCTCTCGATGTCGTCGCGTAACAAAGCTTCCTTCCTCTCTTGCGCGTCGCCCACCTTCCTCCACTCAGCCTCGTAGTTGTCGACGATGATCTTCATACCAGCCTCGCGCTCTTCCATCATCGTTACGAGTCTTCTCAGCCCTGCGGCCTCGCTCGAGTAGCGAGCGTCCTGCTCGGCGACCTTGACTTTGAGGTCCTCGACCTGAGCAAGTGCGGCAGTAAGCTGGTGGGTCTGAGAGGCGTGTGATGTCTGGAGCGACTTCAGCGTGCTCTCTGTGCGGCCGTGAGTTTGTTGTAGCGCATCATACTTGGCCTGCAGCTGAGTAATCTCTGCATGGCGCGCGCGACGATACTTGGCGAACTCTTCCGTCTTGGAGCTGAGCTCGGTTGAAGTGCGCTGGACTTCGGACTGGGCAAGTTGCAGCTGTTGCGCCAAAGAATCGATTTTGAACTGGAGAACAAACCAGTAAGTGTATGAATCTAGGAAAAAGGTCGCGGTAATTCACCTTCGTGGAAGTCTCGGTAGACCGTAATTCACGAACTTGGCTCTCAAGAGCCTGGTGGTCTTGACGCGCTTGCTTGAGGTTGCTGCGGAGCGTCTGAATTTCCTCTGTGCTCTGTGTGAGATCCCAAGTGCTGCGAAGGCAGTGACGTGTCTGCTCACCATCCCGTTGTGTGATGTCCTCTTTTAGACGCGTTATGACCGCGACAAGATCACGCTTTTCACGTTCCGAGTCGTCCAGCCGATGCCGAAGTGTGTCAAGCTCGGTCGACGAGCTGGTCTGAGATGCGTTGTAGGAAGCAACCTGGGATTGCAAGGTGTGTTGGGACGCGGCTGGGGTTGTCTGTTAGTGCCGTCACCGGACAGGAGCTGGAAAAGGTGGCTCACCGAGTCTGTCGCGTTCCTCCTTCACCGTTTTCAACTCGTCATTCGCCAGCTGCAGAGCAGTCTCAAGCTCTTGAGCGGTATTTTCCTTGTCTTGAAGAGCCTGATCGAGTTCCACGTCCTTCTTCTCGCCCTCGGCCTTGCATTCCTCCAGTTCACGCTGAGTGTTGTCCACCATCATGGCTTGCGTTTGAATGAGCTTCATCAGCGCCACGGCGCCGCTGGGCGTAAGCGACGTGAAGGAGACATCAGGCAGAAGTGTTGCCAAAGAGTCAATGTCGACGTCGTTCGGCAGTGTAATGTTGAGTACCCCCTGGCCGTCGTCGGTGCCGGCCTGAGACGCGTTGTCATCGTCGTCGCCTGCTGCAGCTGCAGCGGCCTTGGTCCGTCGTCTCGTCTTCATGTTCGTGGTGGTGTAGGGCGCTGGACGAAGACGCGGTCCGTCTCAGCCTGCCTAATGTGGTGATCGGACAATGGTGTTGAGCCCAAGCGCGTGGCTGTAGTTCGCTTCGCGCTACCGTGACCACGAAAAGGTCCTTGGCTGTCGGTCAACCGCGGGACTCGGTTCCTTCCCCTAGATGTCGCTGTTGAACCACTGGCGGCGGTTGGACCGTGCACTCGCAACATTAGTTAGGACGTACAAAAGCCAGGCCTCTCTCCGACCCGTGCCGGCAGTACGAGGTATGCCTCCTCCAACGGTCGACTGCAACACATCCGACACGTCTGCTGCAGGCAACATCACCTCCCCGGCGGCCTTTCTGAAGTGCATTGGACGCGGTGCAGAGGAGAAGCTGGATGTTGGAGACTGGAGGCAGTTCTGGCGAATGGGAGGATCGGAGCTTCGCGCAGCCAACGTCGATACCAAGGATCGCAAGTTCGTGCAATATATCTCCGGACGTCTCACTCCTGCTCACGCCTTACTGTCGACTTGATGTATACTTTAGGTACATTCTGTGGGCCATGGAGAAGTTTCGACAGGGATATGACCCGAAAGACTTCGCGTACCCTCCCAAGCCCAAGAAAAAGATTAGAGGGTATGTCCCATTCCCATATGCTAGCCGCCAGATATTGAAGCGTTTGTATCGCATAGATGGGGCCCAGCGGTGCAACTTGGCAAACGTATCCGGTCAAGGCGAAAGCAATAGACGGTGTCACTCCTCACGTCTGTGATTCCCGGGTTACTTTGCAGCGCACGCTGTCGCCGTCTGTTATTTGCGTATAATCATCACCTCACTTTTCCATTCTCATTCAATCGCCATCTAACAACCTCTGTCCGGACTTCCACGATAGAGATATAATAGGTCAAGTGCGGAACAAACATGCAGGTCATAAATATTCATACACGATGAGTAAGGGCCTGTATGCTATCTCTACAAACATTGCCCGAGCGCCGTGCCCATCCAAATATCTGTTCGACAAGCGAACCGGCAATCAATGTTCATTCGTCACTTAACGCCGGGTTGGCACAAGGAATGCTCACCGTCAATGTAGGGTCCGAGATGGTCCACGATGTTACCCACGAGGATGTTGGGTACGGACTCGATGGTGCATTGTGAGTCGGTCGCGTCGTCCTCGCCCGGGCACGAGACGGCGGTACCGGAGCTCAAGATATGGATCTCGCCGCTCGGGTGCGAGTAGCCCAGCCCTCTTCCAGGCACGATGGGAACCGGGTCCTGAGCATGATCGATGCGCGTAAAATCGTCTACCTGTGGCGCAGTGCATCAGACGAACAGTCACCAAGCGAGGGCGACACATAACTCACTGTTTTGTCGAAGAAGCTCGCAAAGGCGGGATTTCCCACCCTCGGGGTGCCGAAGGTCACCGCCTTGACGCTGACGCTGCTCGGCAAGTTCAACCTGAGCATGAGGCTGTCCAACTCTGCGATGGCGCCGCCCAACGAATGTCCGACGACGATGACCTTGCTTGCGCTGTTCTTCGACAAAAGAGACTTTACCTGCGCGAGCACGGTGGAAGCTGTGGATGCCTGGGCGTCACGGAAGCCGCTGTGCACCAAGATGCCGCTTGGCAGATCCGGGAACAGACTGCTATCCAATGATCCCTGGATGACATTGATATCCGTAGCCACGGACAACAACTTCGTAGGATCGGTGCCTTGGTGACCGAGCACTACCGCATCCTCTGAAGGCCAGTAGCCAACGTAATCTGGAGGAGTGTCAAGCCGGTTACAACTCGTCCAAAGACGTGAATGTGGTAAAATGACTCACACAGCTGCACGTCATCCCCGTCGCCGCCCGTAAGGGACACCTCGAATCCGGGAAGAGCGTCACATGCCGGGCCGCAATCCCAAGTTTTGACACTGCTCGACGAGCAGTACGCGGCGCTCGCGAATTGGGTATATGGTATGAAGGCATTGAGCTTTGACGGGCTGAGAGTCTTAACAGCACGCTCCTTCAACGAAGAAGGAACAGACGCCGGAGCAGCGAGCGCAACGGCCGCTGACAGGAGGACTTGCAGTCCGAGGAACTTGACGGAGAACATTGTCCTGACAGTACTGGCCGCTGGTAGGCTGTGCTACTCGAAGCAGAGGGCTCGGGCACGCGTGCGCTACAGGGCTTACTGCAGATCACAGGCATTTATCCCCCACCCCAACATCGCTGCTGCAACTATTGGGAAGCCATCATCTGCCAGAACTTGGGAAGCAACAGGAGGCAACAGGGTGTACTGCGGAACAGCCGCGTTGGTTGAGACGCCTGACTTCACTACAGGGGGTCATCTGCTGATGGTGCACTCGTCCTAGCGACGGTTCGTGGCGGCTCCCGAGGCTATTCCGGGAACGCGAACCACTCGGCGAGGGCAAAGTCGTGTGCATCCGTTCTATCTCGTCCGACCTTGAGTGGCCGAAATATCATGGAAGGTAAATGGCGTGTGCGCATCCAATCGCGCACCTGCAGTTGCGAAAACACATGTAGTCGTCCCTCGGTTCTCTCACAGGCAGGGATGTTCACGGGATCATACCGAGAGGATGTTATCATGTAGCGTGGTATCGACGGTACCTGAGCCCTGCCTGAAAGCTATAGCTGAGGAGAGGCAGAAGAGCGGGAAGGCGGAAGGAGATCCTAGCAAGGCGCGATGCGGCGATTGAGATGATGGACCCCCCATGGCTATGCCCACGTGCTCAGCTGAGCCTTCCTCTCCGGTGACCTTGTGCATTGCAATGCGCCTCCTACGAACGGTCAACGTTTCCCACGTTCCAACTTATGCCGATGGTAGTTCACTTGTTTTCCTATCTTTCTGACCGCCCACTCACAGATGCAGAAGCACGCTGCGTATGCAGAGTACGCGCGGTATAGATTGACATCATGCTACGACGGGCGCATCCGCGTGAGACCCGAATTGCGACGCATCAGACTGCAGAACAGGGCTCGCAGCGGCACCGTTTCGGAATGCCATACACAGGCCATACACGACTTTATGTCCGATCAGGCAAGTCCATTGCAATCAGTTCTTCCCAACTCGGCATCCCGATGACGGCCGGTATGCCATCCCATATTTCTCTTCGGCGGCTCTTGGCATCTGTACGAAACTGATGTTTGCACTTGTCGCATATGCTCGCGCGCTGAGAGACCTCCTGCATCGCTTGTGCAATGAGGTACAGCGGGCCAGTCCGGACATTCCAGGAACGCGAGAGACGGGAGGCTACAGACGCGAAAGCACGGCTGCATGTTAGCGCAATAGCAGCGTCCGCCGTGTCCGCCAGGTTTGGATGTGCGCCGGAGGTGCATCTGCGAATGTTGCAGAAATCGCGTATGAAGTCGAGGATGATGTCGACCCGGTATTGGGACAGCAGTGCACAGGCCACGAAGTCTCCGTGGCCGATGGTGGACGATGGCGCAGATGGACTCGAAGAGACGAGCTTCGGGTGATTGCCGCTGAGGATATCCGCGAGAGGGTACAGCGACAGGAAGTAGAGCGCGGAAGGCACCAGTATCCTCACGTTTGTTTCGCGAGCCAGATTGAGCACATGCAGGGGATGGACGTACGGGAAGGACATGCCCTCTACGGAAGGCGCGGAGGTAGCTCGTTCAACGAAGGCATCGTGACCTTCGAGAGTATGCGCCCACGATGACGAAAGAAACCGTACGGCCTTAGTCCTCAAATTTCCGACGAAGTATTTCGTTGAGAGACGTAGGATAGCGGCGATAACCAGAAAATCGTTCAGGTTGCCGTCACCGAACTCGCTGCGGACAATCGTCTTTAATCAACGCCTGTATATGTGGATCAATGCTTCTTACATTCCGTCATAAAGAGCCTTGATCAAGATGGACAGTTCGGATGGAATATCTTGCATGTGAACGACCGTGCAGTCATCAACAGTATCGCTGAAGACGGAGAGTTCGGGTTGAGGGAGTGCCATCATATCGCTGAAGATGTCGGAATGCCTTGCAAGAACGCCACCTGAATGAGTTCACCCTGTCCATTGACCAAAATCACGGAGCAAGGGGTAAAAGCTGCGTACGATGAACCTTGAATGCCACAGGTTCGGGGTCCAGATCAGTGAGCAAAACTATATTTCCGTCCTCAAACCATGGATCTCCTTTAGCATAGGGTCTAGGATAGCTAGATTGCATCGGGTATTGTAGCCCTGCAACGATGGCCAGAAGTGGATGTATAATGCTGCCTGATGAGGTGTCGGAGCCGCGAAGTCCGTCAACGCGGTTGAAACGAACGTAGCGTGGGTATATGGACCTTTCGAGGCCCACGGACTGTCCCGCGCTAGAACGAGCACGCAGGCCTTGTTTGATTTATTCAAGAAGATCCCAGTTGGGAGCATGAGCATGGACCACACGCTTCTGATATCCACGGACAGACCGGTTAAGTCTATGTAAGTATACTTACTCCTTGACATACTTTTTAATCAACCCCGCGCTTAAGTGTCTGACGATCCCACGGTCAACGAAGTCCATGTTTGTGGGGCCCAGGACAAACAAGTACATAACGAAGGCTTGGTTCTATCCCCAAGTATGTTCGCAAGAATGATATGCCAACCTCACATATAGACACAAAGTCCCTGTGCAGACTGATCGTACGCGAGCTAGATGACGGGGGAGGATATCGCGGCAGTGCCTGGCTGACACTTACAACTGTGCGCCCCCAACCCAACCCCCTTCCTGTCCTCCCTGCCCAGCCGCATAGCCCCGGCGCTAGCAATGGGCAAGGAAATTTAAATGTCCTATCGGGAGCCGTTGGTGCTCGAGCTCGGCAGTGGTCGAGTCGTCGACAGCATGTCTGAGGGCACCTCGAGCGGAGTTCGACGCACAAGAGGAGTATCGCCATCAGGCTACAGTACGATACCCACGCTTTGCTATGTCATCACAAAAACACGTTGTCCTCCGTTTCAAGCAGCTCTTTGAGACTCCCTTTGTCCTTCGAAGCGTGCCGACCGATCGTTCCCGCGCGGCGTCACATAGCATGTCGGAGTTTGGCCAAAGACTGAGGCAGGAGGGGCTGAGGGTTGTGACCAAATGTGAGCATCGATAGCCATCCATTCATCGCCGTTTCAGGCTCACGGAGAATTTGTGGTATGGCTCAATACAGCTCCAGCCTGAGAGCGACCCACTGCCTTCCTCTGGAGCAAGATCCTGATGCGACTGAAGGCCGACAACAGGGTCAAAGTCCTTTGTGCTCGGCCAGATCATCATCCTCTCGGCGCCTGGACAGCGAGTAACAACGGACGGTTTGGTGGGCATTGCCATCGCCCATGTCTCTGATCGCGTACGGACAAAGGCGCCTATCGGCACTGCCTTGACATGAGCCGCCTTAAGGTGATAATAGGGTGAAGCTTACCTCCTCGGCGCGTCCCCTCGAGCGGAGTTTCATCCTCCTTGCCCCGCCGTCCATTGTTCGCCCGTGTTGAAAGACAGACCAAAGGGATAATGGGAGTTCGAAGCAATGCGCCGGTCACCTTTGCGAATAAAAGGTCACCCCCAGAGCCCGATACCATACCAGTTCGCCAACCCACCTCTCGACTACCATGTCCTACGCATCCATTGCCCGCGACGATAACCTCATCGATTCCCTGTTGGACTTCGAGGATCCGCAGGTCCCCAGGCATGATCAGCACGACAGGTGGCTCATGTACGAGGCCGCAAAGCCTCTCACCACCGATGCCTACCACCGCGACGAAACGGGTCCGTCCCCCATGTGGTCGGGCTCCGAGGACGACTCGTCCACGTCCGAGGCCCAATCGCCGTACTACAGCGATAGTACCGATGTAGACTCCAGCCATAGCAGCGACTCCGATTCAGATAGGGGCAGGTCCCCTTCAGCTACTGATTGGCCGGTGACTACCATTGACCCAAGACACCTTCTCGAAGGTCCCGCCAGGTGAGACCACACGGCCATTACGATCCACTCCCGACAGAACTGACCGCCGCTCTCAGCTTGGAACCCGTGTACACGAACACCATCGGTTCGCGCGTCTCCCTCCGCCCGCGTCGCGCATCGAGGCGCCACCAGTCATATTCCGAGAGTGAAGACGGCAGCAGCGAGGATGAATACCAGCCTTTCCCATCGCCACGGCCCCAGAAACGAGGCCGCTCTCCGTCTGTGGTCCGGGCTCCGCAGAAAGCCGCCAAGCGTCCACGCGCTTCTCCGAGGTCGCGTAACGTCCAGGTCGCCGCCAAGCGCCCGTCCTCCCAGGATGCCGCAGCGATGAAGAAGGTGTGGGGGTGCCCGCACTGCCCCTTCGTTCAGCAAAACAGGCGTCGCCCCGATCTCAACCGTCACATCAACACCCACATGCGTAGCAACAACTGGGTCTGCTGCGGGGTGCCAGTCGCCTACGCCGCCGAGTACGGCATCGGGCCCACCGCGAAACAGGTGGAGTTCAAAGGGCGCATGAGAGTCGGAGGTTGCTTCAAGACCTTCTCTAGGCGCGATGCTTTGAAACGCCATGTAGACAACAGGAGCATCGGATGCATCGGAGACCTGAGCCTTCATCCGTCCACGGGCAACATCGTTTGATCGTCTCACTTCAAATCCCTCTGTATGTCATCAACTCGATGTTGCCGCCCGAAGACATTCACTGACCATCATCGTGCAGGCAAGCTGGGATGTTTACGACGTTTATGAACCATGCCGCATTTTATCTGTACTCTATCATCTCCGGAGAGCTTGTCGACACTGCCAGGCCATTTGGCTTTTCCATGGACTGCGTAACAGAAGGGCAGCGTAGTAGTACTATTCAACAATGTGTTGTAACATCAGATGTATTGGCGTAGTTACAATACTCTTCCTCATACCTGCGAAACGTGCCTGAGAGTACCGATGTTTACCCTGTCTGAAAACTATGCGGCGTCGTCGTGAAGTAGGACATATTCGCGAGCCGACAATCCAAACTTGATAACTAGGCGAAAAGGTCAGGAACAGCGAGCGTATCGCATAGAACGCCTTACCATCGTTTAGTTGGAGTTCGTAATAACGAGCAGCTGGTATTTGTACGTCATTGACGTGAGTGCCATTCGTAGACTCCAAATCGATGATGAAAGGCCTGATGGGAATTGAGCTACCAAGATGAGACATTGACCCTGTGAACGTACTTGACAACAGCCTTTACCTCCCCGAACTCATTCTTTTCGTTGATCGCTCGATCTTGAGGAACGAAGACCACCTATTAGCGAGCAATCATAATGCTAGTCGAGCATGTGTGAACATACATTGTATGACAGCATGCTGTTTGGACGATGATGGGTGCTCAAGAGGAACGTCAACGACAGCTCGATCTCGACCAAAGAGATACGCGCTTTGTGCGTGGATATGAAGCAGCTCTGTCTCGTTCGTGGGAGTTTGTCCTATAGCATACCAACCATCGACGACTCACCGACCTGCTCGCTCCCTTTGAAGACGTATAAGCGCCAGCGGGCCTGGGGTTTACGAGCTTCGGGAGGCTCATGGTACTTGAGAACCGTGCTTGTCCCGTCGGTATGTTGAACCTTCTTCGTCTCCGCCGCCAGCAAGCCCGAAGCGCCGAAGTTTGGTTTTGCCTTGTCCTCGGGTGACGCGGAACGAGAGCCCGATCGTTGAGAGCGAGGCCGTGATCGACGGCGGGGGGACGCAGACCGGTTTGTGCGCGAAGGTCCGGAGCTTCCGGTTCTATCCACGTCTCTCGCCCTCTCTCTTGGTCGTGCGTCCCGGTAGCGCGCTCCGTCGTGCTCGTGTTCGCGGTCGGGCTCGCGTTCTCCGGAAGTGCGCCTAATGTCCTTCACTTCATCCCTTCGCCGTCGAAAATAACGGTCTTGTTCTCGAGAGGTGGATCTTCTCCGCCTGCCGCTGTAGCCTCGTGAATTGATATAATCTCTTCGGTCGTCGTCGTCTCTTCGGTTGTAGTCGTCTCTTCGGTCGTAGTCGTTCCTTCGACTGTCCCTGTATCCTCCCGAGCTTCTATTATCCTGCGGCATGAGCTGCTACAAGGCACCCGGTACACCAGAGTATATGTATAGCGCGCTGTACAGTATGCGTGCAAGTCGAGTCGGACGGACCGCGGTAGGGTCACGTGACATCGTGAGACTGTCACTGTCAGGTATGTTCCTGGTAATTCAAATGGATGATTCAGATGAACCGAGACTGTTGTGCGAGCGGATAGCACATCGTGCCCAAGTTGTGCCGAAAAGTACGTCAGGCGTTGAGTTATTGAACTCAGAACGGCCACGTACGTATTAACCTGAAGTCGAAGCCGAACTATCGTCGCGAGATGATGTCATGTCCTCAAGTGCTCTTGTACTTCGCCGAGTCCTTTGCACTCGCGCTCGCTCCCGAATCCTGTGATGCGACTGGAGTACGACGAGCGCGGACGGCAAAATACTCTGGCCTATCAACGTTAATCATACCCCCGGATTATGTGTCAACGCCGGAGCTCCAACTCGTTTCCATGATCCAATCCGACTAGAATTGTCGCCCCATAGCGAGCATCTTCCCTGAAAATGGATCAACGTTGGCGAGACGGAACAGGCAGGCGCAGGCATTCGAGCAAAACCGTATATACGTTTCACGCCCGCTGGGATACACGAGCAGCGGGGGCCATATAACATCAAACCACCAGTTCTCCGGTGCCTATGCGGCGTCGATGTCGCCAATGCCCGGGTCTTCGTCTCGAACGCTTCAAGATGGCTCCCATATGCACCTGCTTAAAAAGGATGACCGTCACGGATTCGTGTACCAACCATGGAGTCGCTGAGCGCCCCACCCACGTATGTCCCCGCGGTGCAGTCTTCCCTCTCCAATCTTCGCGTCAGACTACGGGAAATTCAGTCCGCCACCAGGGGCAGGAAGTGAGCTTCGGTCTGCCGCAGGTACCGACTCGGAGGCGCTGATGGTTCTCTCCCCAGATTCGGCCTGAAGGATAGGCGCACCGTTGATCCAGTGAGTCATGTCATAAGGAGGACCTCTTTCGTTAACTTTCCTTCTTCCATCCCCGAAGCCACCAGTTGTACAACTCCATGCATACAGAACCGTCCGCGATGCCAGTGGAATATACGAAGTCGAGGTCGAAGATTACAGGTATCCCAATTTTCTTTTTTACTTTCATGATGCGCCGTTGCTCATGGCGCGACTATAAGCCGGCTCGAAGTATCTGGTCTGATATGCCATATCGACCTCTTCCCTCTTCCCGCATCTCCTCATGCAGTGCCTATCCCAGTCACCAATGCAGCCTGCATGCCTTCACCTGCATCGGCAATGTCGCACGATGAGTTCGCTCAGCCTGACTGGCCCATGACCTCGCCGAATGGGCTGTCCGAGGAAATGCCTGTCCCTCTGACGGTCATGCCCATTCAAGAATTCACTGGACCGGACCCCGTCATTGCGTGGGTAAATGGAGCGCCCGTACGAGCATCCGACTCCATCACGTCAGATGCAATCGTGAGTTTTCCTCACAACGTGTATCTAATTAGCTCACGTCGGCACCCAGGGTGCTCGAGCAGTCGAGGCTATGAGACTTCGTTACGATAACAAGACTATGATAGTCTTCACGTTTTCCGTTCGTGCTCCGCGTTGCGCCCTGCAATATGTGCTTGATTCTTTAGTTGTAGGACCTCGCTATCCGACGAGTTGGGTCTTGCTTTTTCAGATACAAAGCCTTTGATCTGCGATCACCCACGACTGGTTCGGTGGCAGGGGCTGGCAGTGGACCCATCGCTATGCTAGGGGATTGTTATGCCCGTTGTTCCACTGTCATCTATGATACCAAGTCATTTCCTGGTTTACAGTATTCGACGTCATTGAGCCAGGTGTGCCGGACTGCTCGCAAGCACGTCGCCTCGTACTGACATTCCACAGGCAATCTCAAACCAGTCCGAAGGTCAACGACCTCGAGTTCGGATCCCTAAGACGAGGCAGTAGTCAACGGCGGTGATCTCTAGCTACTTCGGTTTCGATCCTCCTGCAGAACGGACCCACGCTCCCGTTGCGATGAATAGACCGTCAAACCGACGTGCAAGCTGGAGAAACCGACACCACATCAAGACGCATGACGCATGTCATAATATCGAACCTGAGACTACACGACGTCGATAGTCCAACGCATGCCCAGAGCCAGGTCTTCCTCACATTGATTTTGCTTGACCATCAATGATCATGCAGTGCACACGTGCATATACATGTTTACTTTGTGCCCATGAGCTCTTCGCCCCGACCCTTGAACTTCTCGAGCTCCTGTTTCCACGGTTCCCACTCATTCCCGTACTTATTGAGCAAGCTCGATAACTCCTCTCTCTGCTCCCGCTGTGTGTTACGTTCAATACGTATGCAGGAACTTGAACGGATATAACGCACAATGTTCCAAGGCTCTTCTCCAGCGTACACGTCCGAGAATAGTTCACTAAGTTCGGCGCGTTTCAGACTTTCGGCCTTCTTGAATGCGCTCATGACCTCCTTCTTCAGCCGTGCCTTGAGCTCTTCTTCTCTGTCTTCGTTCCACCAGCCCCGCGACTCCAACCAGAACCTAAAACGGGCGATCGGGTTATCGATGCGTTTACGCTCCTCGACTTCTTGGCGTGCGCGGTATGCGAAGGAGTCGTCCGAAGTCGAATGGTGACCAACGCTGTCACATCGCTGATGTCAGATCGAGATCAATGTGTTATTATCAGACAGCCCAAGGTCACCGGTATGTCATGGCCTCCACGAGGACACCCTTCCCGGTCTCGACGCATCTCCGCCTTGCCTCTCTCACCGCACCAAGAACAGCCAGCACATCGTTCCCGTCCACCCTCACAGACTCCACGCCGTACCCAGGCCCGCGGCTGACGATGCCGTCCCCCGCAAATTGCTCGCTCGCAGGCGTTGAGATGGCGAACCCGTTATTTCGCGCGAGGAAAAGAGTCGGCGAGGGGATCGTCGATGCGAGTAGCATTCCCGCGTGAAAATCACCCTCGGAAGCAGCGCCTTCGCCGAACTAACATACTCAGTGCGCGAACAATGGAAGACGAAAACGAGAGCGTACGAAGACGGCAGCACAGTTCTTGCGCTTGGAGCGTTTCAACGCGTACGCGACGCCTGCAGCTTGCGGTATTTGGGTTGCGAGCGGGGATGAAATGGTATGGAAATGCTTGGCCTTGGAACCGAAGTGCTACACGCCACGAGCTCAGCTCGGCAACCACGACCGCGACTCGTTTGTACTCACCACAGGCATCTGTCTTCCTTTCCCAGATGTGTCGCCCTCGTTACCGAAACATTGATTCATTACGGCCTCTATGCCAAACCCACGCCATAGAAGGACTCCCATCTCGCGGTATTGACCTGCAGGAAATGGATTCAGTCTCAACTACCTTAGGGTGAAATATGATCGTTCCATACCCAGGACTCTGATAACGACTGCGTCAGAGACGATGCTACGGACACACATGCGCAACTCACTCGTCGTCGTCCGCCAAAGCGGCAGCTGAGCCTATGATGGTGGCTTCTTCCCCATGCTACACGAGAAGACCATGAGTAAAGATGTGATACATTACAGCAGATGTCTTACAGCAGTCATCTATCAGTGCATCAGTAAGTGATATCGGGATCGCTGGGTAAACTCACGTAGAAAGAGATCTTGCCTTGACGCTGGACGTTATAGAGGACGACGTCCAGAGTAGGCAGGAGTACCATATTCTCGTAGCTGTTTCTCGTTAGCAACGATCGAGTGACATTAATTGAACCTTCCCACATTTTGGTGGCCATGTCCTCGCCCAGCTATATTGTGAACATTCGCTTCATACGTATACCGACACAGTAACCTACTGGAGACGTACGTCCGGCAGCTCTGCTCCGTCTATCAACTGGCCCTTGCCATCCAGAACCCTATAGGTGGGAACCTTCTGGCCATCCGTCGATACAGAGTTTATGAACTGCAGTTTGGGCGTGATAGGCACTTGGGAGGCGGGGAGACTGCCATGATGATACTGTGCCGCCGCAACTCGCCATGTGTAAGCCGTATGTGGCAGACCCCGCCGCCATCCTCGACAGAGTTTGATGAACATCCAGTACGGCGTCGGAGAGTTCACTAGGCCAGTGGAATGGTCCAGGAGCTGTTTCAACGAAGAGGCGTTCCAATGGCGTCGCGCAGCACGTGTGCGGGGTAGCGGGGTAGCGGAACGGATCTTGCCAGCACCGGGTGTACAGCTCTCATCTGGCAAATCAAGCCATCGACCAATTTCAATGCCCGCCGACGATTCCGCGTTCACAATGCGCGAGTCGCAGGAGGCTAGTGTTCAGAGCTAAGCTCAAGCCAGAGCTTAGAAGTTTACCCGGATAGATCTGAGCTCAAGTCCGAGTTCGGTTGCGCTCCCACTGATAATTGCACGTGGACCATTGAACTCGACTATCTCGAAACTTAGTAGGACCTTACTCTGCTGATCCTTGGTCTCGTGTTGCCCTCGTACCAGACCAAAATGGGCAGAAGTGCAAAGGTTCATAAACGCGCGGTAGGCTGCCCTCTCACGCGTGTCCGGACGACGGCCTGATATGCGCATCCACCAGAAAAAACCGACGGCGCCGACGAATACGAGAGAGGGACAAGGTCACACCTCGCACTCTGATCCAGCTGCGATCAGCGCCGCAAAGCGGAAAGCAGGCTTGAAAGCTAAGACAGCCGCGCGCAAAACTCATGACGGGCCTGTTCTGGGGGGCGCGGACTACGTGACCATTGCGATGGGTGGCCGGCGGAAGGCACGCGAAGAGGCAGCGAAGCTGCCACCACCAGAGCCACGATGATTGCTCTCATCCGCGCCTGTTTGGGCGATGTAAATGCCCAAGGCAAGCGCATTGAATTCAACTCTGAGCGCCAGTACTGAACACGTCCCGGCGATACGATCTCACCGGAAGATAAACCTCTCTACATGTTCATGCTTCCCATATTCCACGGACTCTGCTTCTAGCGCTGTACCGCCCGAAAGAATATTCTGTCATGCGCTGAACGTTGCCAGCGGCATCGTCGTACCATACCCACAGCCGCAGCCAGCTTTACCGTGAGTCTGATGCCCATAGCGCCGCGGTAGCGAATATGTCGCATTTTATGTATGCACTTACTCAGCGATTTTGCGATCGGGCTCAGCGCCTCACGCTCACCTAAGCGATCACCTTCGTATGTCCCTCGCAAATGCCCGTGTTTTCGCCATCTGACCACTTTGCCGCATAGCCCATATGCATTACTCCCCACCAGATTGGATCAGAGATGCAATTCTTGCTTACTACAGAGTATCGATGATGCGCCTAGGACATTTGGATCGTTTTCTTGGTGCCTCGTTCGATTTGCACACACAGTGAACGCTGAACCGTGATCCTCGAGCGCCCGAACGTTCTCAAGAGGTGTCGAGGAACAGTGACGCATACATACTCTGCTACAGAACCATCCTTTTTCGCTCGATCGTATCGAAATCGACACACCGCTGGCTCGTCTCAAATTTGCAAGCCGGATTTGACATCTTCCAGCCCTCATTCCTCAGGATGCCCTTCCCGGCTACAACCGTCAAAAGCGAACCTTCGGGCGTCCTCCATCGATTTGAAGGATGCATGATCGTGTTCAAGTCGTCGGCAGCGGTGGACCTGTCCCATCCTGGTCCTTTGAGATGCCCATACACTCTGATCTCTTGATCGATGACGCATGGCGAGACACGCATCTCTTCTCTCCAAGTTTCCCCGACCTCGATCTCGAGGTGCATCGCGGACCGATTCCCCGGAAGTATGTGTATATCAACGGTTCGATATGCACAAAAGGGCTGCTAATCCTGGTCTCTTCTCTCGCAGCTTGCCGGATCGCACGAGGGGACAATTCACCATCGTCTCTTTACGTCAGTTCTAGCCGGAAGCAGTGTTCGTCGCTCGTCTTCCCCAATCCCGGAGACGCACGCAGAACACTGGTGACGGCATGCCATCTCACTCCGCGTTACGCGAGTATGTACAATGTTTGCCGTTGTCGTGGCCAGTCTAGACCGTTGCGGTCAGGGATATTTTCGTTGATCCGCCGTCCCATTCCACCTTTATACAATGCATTGACCGCGGCGAGCCTTCAGAAGTTGATGAATGCTCCTCAAGGTTTATCTCGAAGACCGATATTAGTCCACCTCGTAACGCGAGTCTGGACCTTCTCTGATTGGGTCTAAAGAGCATTAGTGCGTGATCTAGTGGCGTTATGATCGTAAGCATGGCCTCGACGCGGGTTCCATTTCTTATAATAAGTCGAGGGTGTTGTGGGGTTGTTCATCCCAGCTGGTCGATGAACTCGATTCACCAACGTATGCGGGCGAAGAGTCCGACCTTCGTTGGGACGGAAATGATGGGAGCTCGCCTGAAGGCGCTTGCAGTCGTACATCATTCCTGCCATGCATGGTACCCACTTGGTACCCACGAGTGCCCCAGGTGGTCATTAGCGGCGAGGATGGTGCCTGCCCGTCGGCTAGTCGCTAGTGTTAATTGGTGGTGATTGGCATGGTATTAGATGTCCGAGGATCGACGTCGATTGGGGTCCATGCAAATCAGCGACGGATGCCGCCGGAGTAAACCCGGAAAGAAGTCATGATGCCGTACGCTCAACGCGCATTTCTGGCGAGAGGACGCGGCACGCGTATCCAGAAATAACATGTAAACGCGTAAACATTGTCAACGCTCAGTAACCGAAGGTGAGAAACCAAGAAGATCGTTACATCCACGGACCTCGAGCCAATGAAACACCACAACCTGTTACACCCCATAGGTCATCCAAATCCGTACAAGATCACCAGGGAAAACGTGAATGAAATCGCGAGCATGCGCTACCGCGCTCGACGGAGGATGACCATCAGACCGTCCGAATGCGCGCTGAAGATGGCATCGACCAAGAACTCGTCGTCGTCCTCGCGTTCTCTAAATCTTCTCCCATTCCTGTCCCTTTCGCCGTCCTTGTCCTTGCGCCGATCCCGATTATTTCTGCTAGAGTTTGACGGGCTCGGGTACGCGTGAGGATGCGAAACCGAGTGCTGACGATGGCGCTCGCGACGCGTGGGCGACGCATCGGGTGCGGCGGCACTGTCAGAATGTATCGAATCAAGGTAATTACGGCGTTCAAGAGTGGACATTGCCTTACCTTGAGTCCCTTCCCTTCCTGCAACACCTAAAGCGCCCAAATCCGAATCCGCCGTCGCTCGGTTGCCCGCGCTCGTTCACGCCCCAGCCCTTGACGGCGTCCACCCAGCTCCGGACAAGGTCCTCGTCTTTTTTGGCCACAAAATCGTATATGGACCGGCCCATGCAAAGCGTCGTCTGCAGCAGAAAGTCGTTGCTGCAGTACATGATCGGGCAACGGGTGCTGAAGCGGTCCAAGATGAGCGCCGTGCGCACGGACTGCGAGGGCAAAGGGTCGAACGAGATCACGCCCTTTTCCTTGTGAGATCCGCGCCCCTTGTTCTTGGGTTTCCGCGATCGCGATTTTGGGGCTGAGGCGTCTGAGCCGGTGGGCGACGAGACCTCGCTGGGAGGCGTTTGAGACGCTCGTCTGTACGTCATTTCTTCGGCATCTGAGGCGGAGCGATCGCTTCGGTCACTCTCGCTCGCGTCTTCGTCTTCGGAATCCGTATCCGGGGACGAGTATCGTGAGCCCGGCGTGTAGTCGACTGTGGTGGGGTGCGGTAGGTTCGGCATCGGATCCGGGTCGTTCCAGCGCTACGCGACTTGAGCAGACGAATCGAGAAAGCCACAAAGGCGGTGAACATACCCGAAACTGAAAGTTCTTCGCTGTGGGTGCAATGACGGTGATCTCTTGGGCGGTGGAGGCTGTGTGCATGGCCTTCGGACCAGGAGTTGCGAACGAGACCGAACCCACGAGGACGTCATGCGCGACGGTGCGAGACTACAACGTTGCGACAGAGCGTCAGCAGCGTACGGAGCAACGACGATCTGAATCAGGACACACAACGGCGCAAAGTATGTATCCCTTGTACGGGTCCTTATGCCTCATCCGGGTGTAGAGCAAGACGGCTGCTTTATCTTGGGAAATGGTGTCGCTGCGCGGGGGCGTCAGGATGTGCGAGACGAACGCCGTGATGAGCGACGTACTAGTGAATCTGCTTCACGTCCCGGAACTCGTCCGGATGGACGAGCTCTAGCGAGGGCCGGCCGATGAGCTCACGGGGCTCGTAGCCCAGGAGGTCGTAGACGGATTCGCTGCAGAATATCCATCTGGCTTCCTGGGTAAAATCGACTATGCCGACTGCACGGCGGGGGCGCGGTCAGCACGCGGTGGCGATGGAGCACGATGAAATGGAACGAAGACTGACTGAAGGACACGCAAGGCGAGTCAGACATGGCTGTCTTGGCGAAGGCGTGATGGGGGGGAGACTGCGAGAAGTGGCCGGACGCGTGGATCCGTTTCGGGCAGTGCCTGTGCGGTGCGCCCGGAGGGGAGTGTATCTGGGCGGGGGGTGTGGTTCAGGTTGGGTGACAGCGGCGTTGGGTGAGAACGGGGACAAGAATAGCTCGACGTGTTAGAGAGAAGCGGCGTCGTTAGCGCGCGTGCCAGGACGAGGACAAGGACGGACGGACTAGGGCGTGCGCGACATTATAAGGCTTGCTCGCTGGGAAGGATTATCTCGAAGCTGATGCGCTGTGCCCACGGCTGCAGCTCGTCGGCGGAGGCGACTAACCTCCGGCGTGCACGGGCGGCGATCTCGCCAGGATCTCGCGTCCAGCACCTTCCAATTAAAACCCGGGACACCATCAGGAACTCCGCGGGACACGCCACCAGATCCAGCCCGCCCCCTCGGATCTTTGCACACGTCACTTGCTCAGCCCATGTGCCGCTGGCAGCCGCTCGTCAGTGCCCCATCACTGCCCCGGCAGTGGTCAGCGTCGCTGCACCGGCGCCTATTCTTTTGCTGCTCTCAGCACCGCAGGACGGCTTGACCTTGCTCTCACCGCTGCCCAACATCTAGCACAAACATGGTCTGGTCGACCGCACGCGAGATTTCCGCGGGCGACACGGTCATCGTCTGGCTCGTCAGTGCGCCATCCTCCTCTGCTGCGATCTCTGCTCAGCCTTTCCGCGCCCCAACAGACGCGAGACCAGCTTTTGCCGCTCGTCGTCACCCCGGGCAAGGACCTCAACATCAAGTTTGGCTATTACCGCCATGCCGACTTCGTAGGCGTCCCCTACGGCACCAAGCTGGGCTCCCGCAACGGGAAGGGTTTCATCCACCTGCTGCGGCCCACGCCAGAGCTGTGGACGATGGCTTTGCCCCATCGCACCCAGATCTTGTACATGGCGGACATAGCATTCATCACCAGTTGGCTGAACATACGAACAGGCAGCACCGTCGTCGAAGCCGGTGAGTCCCATCACGTCCTCCTCGTTCGACCCGTTCTATTCTGTATGCGTAACGTTGCGGCCGCTCCGTGCTGCTCGATCGTTACCATCCATCAGTCGCTACATATTGTCCCCATCATGCACTACGTGTCGGGCTCCGTTCTGTCTTTTGTCGCAGGCTATCCGCCCAGCGCTTTGTGCCGGCGATCTCGCGCCGGGATCTTTACGTGTCCCCGTGCAGATCCGCCACGAGATCTTCACTCTGCGCCTGCATCCGGCCATATCTCCTGTGAGCGCATCAGCCCGGGTCCACATGCACGCCTCGGGAGGTTCTTTGCGACCCTGAATGCAATGACATCCCTTTTCGCTCTCTTTTGCGCCAACACTGCTCGAGTCTCTATGAATCCCGGGCCCGAGCATTGGTCCCCCGCCTGTTCATTTCGCTTTTGCTTGGTTCTCCCGAGATTGTTAGAGCCGTATCTACTCGAGTTTGATGTAACAAGGGTGCTGATCCTCCGTTCCAGGTAAACCGTGAGCTTGTTTACTGCATAAGCCAGCTGGCTGAATTTGCAAAGGTACCGGCTCGGGCTCGTTCTCGCATTCCCTAGCCAGGACGATCGGGCCGTCCGGCCACTTGTACACTTACGAGTTCCACGAGACACGAGCGCAGAAGGCACAGTACGTTACCCCTCGTCCAATGACCCGGTATCGATCCGCTCTAACACCCTCTCGCTCGGCGCAGAGAAGACTTTGTTCGACATGGAATGAACAACGTCACTTTAGCGCACAGGAATGTCTGTAAGGATGGCTTCACCGTCGTCGATCAAGCCGACGCAGGTAGATCTGGCAACCCAATTTACAGAGCTAGCAGCTGACGCTCCTCGTCGATCCAGTGTTCCTCGACCTTCCTGCTCCTTGGGATGCTATTCCACACGCTAAGCAGGCTTTGAGGGTGCGTCTTTCGACCGATGCTCCCGCTCCGTCACAGCTAAGACGTCGTCTTAACATGCCCAGAAAGATCGCGTGGCTCGTATATGCTGTTTCAGTCCCTGCATGGAACAAGTTCTTCGGACCGTCAGCGCCCTGAATGAAAACGGCTTCTCCGGTACTTTCCCGTTCATTATGGCTCCCGCGTCATGTCTTGAACCCCGCGATGCGTGATCCACGTGTAGACATCACAATGTACGAGACGCTTCTTCGGCCGCACGAGGTTTCTTACGCTGCCAAGCCGGTCAGCGTCTCCGTGGCCAGGGATAAGCTCAGGCTCTCCGAGATCAAGAAGGAGGACAAGAGGCAAAAGCAGATCGCGGGCGCTCGGACACGGGCACTGGCAAAGGAGCAGGAACACGGGGCGAAACGCAAGCGCGATGAGGAGGAGTCCATCCCGGAGAAGACGGAGGGCGACAAGCGGCTGCGAAAGGATGACGGCCTCGACGATAACGCCATGGACGCCGAAGACGCCGTTGCCGTGCCGCTCACGGGGGCCACTGACGTGCCTGCTCTGCCGGCTGCGCCAGCCGCTTCCACGGTCCTAGTGCAGCCTACCCCAGCCGCGGCACCGAGTGGAGCGGAAACTGTCTCCGATACCACAGAAAAACCTAAAACTGCGGTCTCCCGCGTCTTTGCCGAAGTGCGGGGGCACACCTCGTATCTCACCTTTGCCTGCCTTACCCCGCTCCCGCGCAATGTTCCAGCATCAGACGAGGTTGCGGAACCGTCGACCGCGGCGCCCGCGAAGGTGGCAGATGGGACCTCCGCTACGAGCGAATCGATCTCTTCGCAGAGCGCGCGACCAGATAGCGTCCAGCCATCAGCAGTCGAAGAAGGAACGTCAACTATAACGCCACCTGTTCAATCAGAGGAAGGCGCGGAAACTTCATTCGCAAGCTCCGGCTGAAGCTGCGACACGGCTACTCTGGTGCCTCGGGAAAACACATGGAGGCCGGGGACGGGCGGATGAGAGAGAGAGTTTGGTGTCAGAAACGCGCGACGCCGGTAAGTCAATGTGACCGGCGTGCAAAGTAGTGCCCTTCGTGCAAGGAATGGACACTCGAACGCCGGATCAATCAAATGGGAGGTTTGACTTCGCCTCGTGCGCAATCCATAAGGTCGCTCAGTCTGCCGAGTGGATGCATAGTAAAGCTGGGAGGGGCATGCACTGGGGACGAAACGGCAGCTGATGTAGTACTAGACACGTGTAACACGGGTACGCAAGGTCCCGAATTGCACTACGCTAGTGTACATTGATGATGAAACCCTATGATACATCGAAGATAGACGAACAATCAGATCCCAGTGCCTAATGGAGAGGCAAACGATCTATAGCAGAAGCAAGGTTGAATGAATCCATTGTTCGTAACAAGTAGCAAAGAACCTCGGCAACTCTCGCGGCATCAGCTGCCAGCATACGTCATCAATGCAGTAACTGTACGGTGTGCGGGGGGCTCAGCCAACATCCATGTAGTGTATATATAACGCGATGCAAACTAGCATCAAGTCTGCTTCGAGTGGTCTGGCGCGGACGTCAGAGCATCCTCAGGAACACCGGACTTGAAGACGTCGCGGTCGCGCCGAGGTACAATCAAGGCAGGCGGGCGCAGACTCGGGGCGGAAGGAGGCAGGTCGGAGAGTAGCAGCGAATTCTGCTGCACGAGACGAAGCGTCGAGCCACCGTCGGCGGTGCTACGGCCCATCGTGCTTTCCCCATCCCCATCGTTGTACATCGTGGCCATCTCAAGCGCACGCTCGATGTCAAGTGTAGCGAGAGCATCAGGTGAAGCCGATGCCGGTTGCTTGCTAGCTGCGATGGCGGCGAGCTGCTGAGTCGGTGAGGGCAGGGGTGGAGGATTCCAATCTTCCGCGCGGTCATACATGGTCTGGGGATCCTCGCTGTAACTGAATGTCCGAGTAGAGTATGAGGGTTCCATCCGGTGCGTAGCGCGGCGGGCTTGGTTGGGGGTGCTTGAGGGCGAAGGAGGAAACTTGAATTCCTTATTCATGGTCCCGGGCGTTGGCGCTCTGTACTCCTCTTGCGCCAACTTCTCCTTGGTCGGAGCCTGGCCGCCCCCCTCCATCTCGAACAAGATCCGCTGTCGTTCACGCAGGCGGTAGCGGTAAACGTAGATGGCCATGAGAACCGCGATGCTCCCGATTATACCGCCTGACGCCGCGCCAATGGCGATGGCCGCGCTCCTGCGAACGATCTCAGAAACAGCCTCGACAATATCGAATGGGATTACATACCCCGACATACGCTTCGGTGCTGTGGCTTCGGCGCCTGTGGTGGGAGCGAAGGTAGGGAAACACGACGTCGGGCTGGACGTATCACCATCCACTGCAAGAAGCGGAGTAGATTGGAAGTTTCCGTGTCCATCATCTACCAGGAAAATCGCGCTTAGCCCACGAGCTATGTCCATGTTGAACGAGGCAGAAGTGGGAGTTGCAGCTCCCGTCTCATTGAGCCTCGCAGCAAAGAATTTCGGTAGGAAGGCACGGACAGATGGGGTAGGGGAGGTGGTGTTCCAGCTAACAACAAAATCTTCACATTGAGAGACTGTCGTAGGAAGGTTGAAGTGCGGCGGGGCGTCCACTGCGGTCGACGAAGGGAGGCAGGATGAATCATTCGACGGCTGCACTTCTATGATGTCCGAAATGCCACCCGTGCTCTTGTTGTTGGCATCGTCCAATGATGCCACGAACCGAGTACCAGCTGCGAGGGGTAGGAAAGTGATGGCGGCTCCGGTCTGCGTTTTGTCGTCCCAATCCGCGTCCGAGATGACTATGGATATGAGCTCGGTGCTGTTGATGGGGACGACGTGCAATGTCATGGGCAGCGCGGAAGGCGCTTCGCCACCGGAGAATGAGATGTTGAGAGGGCCGCATTGACCAACGGAAGAAAAGGTGATTGAATGGAAGGTAGCTGAGACTGCTGAAGGCCCAAATGCCAGCAAGCCGGCCAAGAACAAGGCGAAAGGAGCTGGCATGCCAGAACCCGATAGTCAAGGACGAACGGCTGGCCGTCGACCTAGAGTAAATAGAGGAAATGCGAAATGAGCGACATACACCAGCCTGCGCTGATGAGCGTAGGTGCAAAGACCTGCGGCCAGAGCGGCCAGGGGGTCGAGGGCGAGCAATTGGATAACTGGGAGCTTGCCGGGACGATGGTCTACCGTTCACGCTGCTTCCTTCTTCTCGCGCGGACCCTAACGACGGTCAATTCCGAATATGATCATCCAGGACTCCCATCTCCAGAAAAATCCCGATAGGCCTTATCATCTGTTAGGTGGTGCGAACCACAACTCAGCAAAGCTAGACTTGCCTAGAATTCTCATGAACACACAGGCACAAACACGTCGCCGTCCCTTCTCCTTTGTGACTACCCTCTTAGGTAGTTGGACAGCCTTGCCGAATGGAACTGGGTTTCGAACGTTGCGTAGTCCTGGCCTCGAACCACGGGCCCGTGCAATGAAGTGTACTTAACCATGTGGGACGTTCAACGTCGGCACGACGTCGTCGTTCCGTGTGATTCGTTCCGACTACCGAACAACTCACACGCTTTCGACGAACGGGCACACGCTTGTCATTGCGCCCTCTATCTTCCTTTGACGAGATCTACCATACCATGTGAAGGTATGCGGACTGCGCGGTGATGACCAGCATCATGCGACTTGCAGATTTCGACTCTCGAGGACCGTTCTAATCATCGTCCTGTTCACATGCATATGCTTCTCCACCGACGAGACCGATGATTATTCTGGAACGAAACACTTCGCAACGAGAAAAGTGTCCAAGTTCGCGAAGATATATGGGTACAGCCATTCCCCACAATCCAAGGCACCGAATGCATGCTGAAACCAGTACCCGCCCACGGTCCCGAGTCGAGGTATGCGATATCAGGCTGAGTGGAAGAGAGCTGTTAGCATCGTATCAACACAGTTGCAACACATGAATGTTAGTCATGACAAGCACTGATCATGACGAGCACAACAGGTGAAGACGGACGGAGTCAAAGTTGAGCCGACTCAGATACCTTGACGACCGCAACATTAATGCTTCCAGGGGAGACTTATCGGACACGGTGTCAATGAAACACCAGCGAGAGTGCTCAAGCGGTTGCGCAAGGCGCGCATACAGGCCGAACAAAGGACTTTAGGATAGATCTCCTACCTCGAGCTCTGTTCAGCGATGCTCGATTGATACGTACAATTGCAGGCAATCTGGATATAGGCATTCCTCTAACTAACCCATGACGAGCATCTGGACATTCGGTCGACGTTGCCGTTATTCCCAAGGAATATCGGAGCCCCGCACTTTGGGTAGGCTCTACGCAACCGCTTGCGTCTTCCCTTTACGTATCGCCATTCCAGGAATATACCGAGGTTAAAGTGCGCCCGGCTCAACGGAAGCCTTTGTGAACGGGCTTGTCGGACACAGCCTCGGAAACTTCAAGGAAGCGGCCGCCGGCGAGTACTGCCGGCGAGTACTGCCGGCGAGTACTTCTGGAGTATCAAGCGAGGGAGGAGGGTCGTAACCCTGCAACGATGAATTGCAGGTATGACGAGCATGGCCGATACAGTGTGTGGCTCGATTCGCGTGTCCGCAAAACCTAAGCTATGATCAGCAACGAACCTTTAGAAAAATGCGGCTGGGACAACTCACGTCTAAAGAGGTCCCCTCATTCCCAAAAAGACATGGCCATGGAAACGATTCACTCTTACAGGTCATGGAAGATATATGCCTTCAGTCCTTCAAGAGCGTGTGTCAACGTTGTGCATGGACAACGCGCACTTGTCCGCTGAGTAGAGTACAGCCCACCAACGGGACGAAGGTTGACTGTTTGCATTCGCGGAGCGCGGAACGTTGTTTGGTCTTCCCCTGGAGCATTGTTTGACGACAAGCTGAACGTATGAAATGTTACGCGAAAACAAGAGTGTGTGATGCGTTGACCACCGCACTTCCAGGCCTTCAGCCACGTTTTCTCAAGAGATCCTAGAAGCCATCGCCGCCTGTGTTTCGTAGCAAAATCCTGGTATTATTCACGAATGCCCGGATCAGCTCGTCAAACGCGTTCCGCTCATGTTCTGGGGCTTGAGGGTCCCCTCTTCGCATGGCCGCAGCCAGCAGAAACTCTGGGCGGGCAATTTCAACCTCCAGTTCGTGAAGTAGTTCAGGCTGTGAAAGGTGACACGTTGTTAGCGTCAGGCAAACCAATGTCCGCGCGAGACTCATACCGGGCCGTTAGGTGAGGTGTTTGAGGTGACCTGCGTGAGGTCGATGTTGAACTCCTCGTGTGAGTATGAGAGCCGATCTTTTCGGCGCGTGTGTGTCGCAGTCCCGGTCGGAGGTGCCACTGGTACCTCAAGGTTAACCGATATCCGCCAGTCGGCTGCCCTCTTCGGGCTGTAGATGTTCAAGTCCCCAAGACGTATCTTCTGCGTGCATTCAAGAACTGTGCCAGTCTTTTCATCTCGCGTGACTCGGATCTTTTCTCTTTCCCCGGGATGTGCGGGCGGGTAGAACGAGTCAACCAAGTATCTGTGAGTGTAGGATATTTCGGAAGCGGTTTGTGGTGGGTCCACCTTGAGCTTGTTCAGCAGAGTGTTGAAATGTTTGTGCTGGGCTGCAGACATGTTTGACTCGAAGCGAGAGGGAATCGAGTCCGGGGCCAGTACTGCGATGTATCAGTTTTCCGATCAAGTACGTAAGAAATGTCACGGACTTGTTTCTACTAAGACCGGAAACTGCAACCGCATCCCGCTTTGCTTGTCCTTCAAAACGCCGATCTTCGCCTCAACCTCGACGGATCCACCCAGGTGCTCCGGACGTGTCATGATCATGTGGTGAACGAAGTCGGCGATTTCGTGAATAAACTCGTCCAAAGGTTCGACACCCAATATAGAAAGCGACAAAGGGGGTAGTGGGTGTCCGTTAGAATTGGATGACGGGGACAGTCGGGCTCGTTTGCGTGCTTGACTTTCATCATTATGGTGTTCGTCGCCAGACATGGTAATCAATTTGACAGGTATTGAGCGGTTGTGGGATGGTGAGCGCACGTCTGTAGTTTGCTGGACCAAAGCCTGCTATGAATTGGCTATGAACGCGGTTGTGTCGGGAGGGTCTGGAGACGTTAGCGCTGAGGTACGAACAGCCACACAGAGCTTGTAGTAGGCGCCCGTCAAGTAGCTGACAGAACGTGGGTAAGGGGGCGCCAAGCGCCGCGTCCGACTCCCCCATAAGTAGACAATGCCGGTCTAGCGGATCAGCGGCCGGCATGTATAGGCATGTGCCATGATCGGCATTTGCGCGACACGGATGTCGGAGATCGAACGCAAGCCTCCGCTCGATACTCCTTGTTCTTCTCAGATATTTGACTGCAACTCCGAGGTTCTGACACACGCGAACTGGCGCCAACATGCCCCGGTCAACCGGCAATCTGGGCTTAGCGGCTTTTTTGACTATTGCTATTTCTATTCGAGGTTCCGTTGCCATATGCCCCAGCCTATACTACCGCAATAGGCAAGTGTCATGGTGCTTCGACGTATAGCCACCGGCCAAACCTTGAGGGACTATGATTACGTAAATAGTCTTGTTTCTCCCACGGTCAGTGGCAAACGACCATGGGAAACTGACACGGCTAGGACCTTTTCATCCCTGAACTGATCTCCATACTTACGTAAGCAATCCCACACCTACAGCTGTCACGCTCCCACGCCAGAGTCAAAATCACGCTTTATCACGCCTTCATCACGCTTTGGCGGGGGGTCACAGAATTGTCACTGTGACCGAAGTGGTCGGAAAAAGAACCAACTCCTTCCCTTCGGGGGAGTCGGAATTGGCTAACTTCAAGGTCACCATAACTTTCAACCGTTGCCGCAACTGCTGGGATTGATTTATCTCTCGCAACGGATCTCTGGATTTAGCCGTGCCCTGTCTCTGGTGCAGTGTCACCATCTCGTTTGTCATGGGCTTTCCGTTGCTGGTTGTTCAGAGCATCCTGCTCGGCGCGAGCGCGTTCGGCATCGGCATGCTGCCATTGTCTTTCGCGTTCTCCAGTACGTGTGCATACGGCATATAAGCTATGAAGCTCAAATTTGTAGACAGAACGGCAGACGGACGGCCTTTCGAATCTCGGTACCGGCCTGTTGCTCGGTGCTGCTCTGGGCGGTGAGTGAAGTCGCGTACAACGGAGTGCCACATTTTTTGAACTCCCAGCCTTCAGTTATTATCCCTGAGTGCGTGAAACAGTGCCCCCCTTGGCCGAACGTTGCTCATACCATTCAGAGGCGCAGAAACCCTTGCAGAATCCACCATTGCCGACTGGGAGTTTCCGACCAACAAGTTCGCTGTCGCTATCCTATCAGGTTTTACCTTTATGCTCCTAGTTGAGAAGCTCATATCCGGCCATGGACATCACGCCCATTCGCAGTCCACCAACATAGCTCTGAATCAGCGGCCGAAAGATACAGAATCCACGACCGTTGAGTTCGACGCTGACGACATAGACCTCGAGGATGGACATGTGAACGGTACTCGTCCAACGCATGCAAGACGGGTCTCATATTCCCACATCCATCAACATCAAGGAGGAGGCACCGATGAGAGTCGAGCACGCGCGTACGCGCTCACTCTAGGCCTCGTCACACACGCGTTCTCGGACGGACTCGCCCTTGGGATATCCGCTCTTTCCGATAGTACACATGACTCTTCCGAACTATCATTCATAGTGTTCCTGGCATTGTTATTACACAAAGGCAAGTATCGCCAGCCTGAATAACATTGATTTTAATACTGATACGTCGAATGACCTGCAGCACCAACTACATTGGCTCTTTCCGCGTCCCTTCTATCGTTATCCCTCCCCCGCAGTCAATGTAAAAAGCACATAGCAGTCTTCGCGGCATCAACTCCGACCGCTGCTTTAATAACCTATACGTTTTTCTATCTCTTCGGTTTGGCCGGGTCCACGGGTTGGACAGCGCTCATAATTCTCTTCTCGGTGAGCTGAGCATGTTGCTCATTCTTTGTTATTCTCACCATATTGCTGTCGCAGGGAGGCAGCTTCCTATACGTCGCTACTGTTCTTCAAGATCCGTCGGGCTCACATGACAGTGCGGACGGGATAGGGGCAAAAACCCGTGCCGGATTGATTGTCGCTGGCTTGTTCATTCCCGTCATTCTGTCCACCTTTCTCGGACACGGACACGGGTCTGGGAGCGAACTCGGGGCTGTGGTCCCAACAACACCTCCTAGCTCAAGTACCGATCCTACAGCCGTGTTGGATATAGTGGGGGACATGGTAGGTGATCTAATGGAAGGCACAAGGAGGCTTTCCTAAGCTACACTGTGCTCGAAGCATGCTACCTTGTGCTTGAAGTCTGTAGGATACGTTTCTGGTTAATTGGTTTCTATGATGCGGGGTTTGCCTCCCGAGCATGGTGTATTCACGTCTGCTCTGGGCTCCGCATCTTGTATCCGATTACCTTGATTAACAGTGTTTGACCTTGCCACTGCGATGACGTAGGTGAGCCCTCAAGATATGCCCTCCGGCCCTCGTTATCTGGACTCATGCATGGTACAGAATTCGGACGAAGTTCGCAACACAATTCTGGATGTTAGGGCCTGAAGTCGCGTCCGTTCCCGAACTGAATTCGACTTCGTCGGAGCCCCGCGATGCCGCAGTCCGTCGTTCAGAACCTCACCCCGCGAGTCCTCTGCTACATCCGTAGACAACATGACGCTGCGTGATCTATCCTTGCGTCGAAGCGCCAACCGTGCCAATTCATGAGGCAAACACATGCTACCGAGATTTGTCCGCCAATAGGTCAAAAGACAGCAGCTTGTCTCTCAAGGCAGGGTCGTACTAGCACAACTTCGTGCTGCGTCTGGAATTCGAGTACAATGACCTATCAATATCTGACGCGTGAGTGGCCCGCCTCTGGTCGGTTCGCTTACATTGACCATTGCATACCTGTCGGCGGATAACGAAGCCGAAGACATCGACCACTTTCTCGAATATGGATACATCCGCATCGACGGCGCTTTCACGCGTGAGGCCTCGGCACAGTGGACCTCCGAACTTTGGCCACGCCTGGGAATGGACCCCAAGGACAAGTCCACATGGCCGACCGACAGAGATAGGATCCATATGCCGGACACCAAGAGAATCAAAGTGGCTGATTTCGCGCCGAAGGTAATCTATGGCCGCGTATTTGAAGAAACGTGTAAGAATGATTTCACGCTTCCTGATACAGGCTTGGGCAGCGATTTGTGACCTGCTTGGAGGCGAAGACCGGATTGATGAAAAAAGTGCCACTTGGTCAAACGGCTTCATCGTCAACCTCGGGCTTCATGAACTGGTGGGTAGAGAGCCGCTTCTGCCGAAGGAGCTCGATAATTGGCACGTAGATGGGGATTTCTTCGTGAGTCACGAAGAAATATGCAGACGGGAGATAGCTTGAAACTAACTGTAAAGATGTAGATCCACTTCCTCGACTCGCCGGAACAAGCACTCCTCGTCATACCCGTATTCTCGGACATTGAGCCAAGAGGCGGTGGTACGCTCGTTGTCTCAATGCAATATGATTCCCTGTATCCTTCGTCTTATTCCAACATTCCAGGAACGTACATATGTCCTGACGGCATCGACATCATCGCAAAGTATCTCCACTCGCACCCCGAAGGTGTCATGCCTGTCGATCGGCAATTTGTTCCATCGACCGGGACAAACTCTCCAATGGACCCCGTCGACACGTCGGTCCCGGGATACTGGTCTCATCTCCGTGAGGTTCAGCGATGTTCTCACTTCGTCGAAATGACTGGAAAAATCGGCGACGTGGTGCTCATGCATCCCCTCATGATGCATTCAGCCAGCAAGAATCACCTGCGGACGCCTAGGGTGATCACCAATCCGCCTGTATCACTCAAAGAACCCTTCCGGTTCGATGGTTCAGGTCACAACCTGAGCTTGGTGGAGAAAAAGACCTTGAGAGCTTTGGGCGTGAATGCTCTCGAGGGCTGGTCTATCAGCGGCGAACGGAGAATGATAGTGCCAAAGAGGGTGTTGATCCAACAGAAGATGAGACAGGAGGAGGAGAAGAGGCTAGCGGCCCTTCGCGAAGAAGCTGCGAAAGCCCATTAATCGCATCAGTGCGCATATATATGCTTTCCGACGAGCGTAAGTTACGATGATTGAGTCATGTACGATAGGGAGATACGGTTCGTTGGATGCTACACGTATCATAGAAGAGAAGCCCAGAACAATATGGAAATCGTCGTAACAGTTATGGCTATAATCCAGCCACTTCGACCATGTCACCCTCCTCCAAATCTGCGTCGGATATAGGGGCATTTGGAGGCATTCGATCGCCATCCACGACTAGATGCGGTACGTTCTTGGCAGTAGATGCAGGATCCGGATATTGCTCTACGAGCCCATTCGCTTTCAGGAATGCAGCCACAATCGTACTGCAAAGCGTGGTGGGTCGGACGAGTAGAATCACATCCTTCGGCGCCTTTTCGGCGCGGAGGACGATCTTGAACGTGTCTGAAGCCGACTCCTGGGTGTCCGAGCCAAGATCCGAACCCGATGTGTCTTGCTCGCTGGGCGCAAAGGGAAGAAGAGAAGGTGAGCGCGGAGGGCCATGGGATTCTGCTGGTGGTATCGATGGGGAGCGTCCACGAGTATTCCGATGGGTACGAAGGTATTCGAAAGTTTGTTTATTACAAGCCTCTGTTACGTGGGTCAATGGAAGGAAATGAAAGAACAGAGCGATTGACTGACCGAGTTCGCCTTCTGCCCACATGTTGAGGCCATGCGGAGTTGAAGATGGAAACACACGAATGCCGTCTTGCATGAGAACGACATTATCGACCAGCATGTCCGCCTCATCAGCCGTTCCTTCGAACACTGCCCGCAGCGTGTCGTACTGATCATGTACCCGTTCAACGATCGATAGTCCGGTTGTTGCGAGGAAGCTACACTCACCCGCTTTAGCCTGAAAATCCAGCTGGTCTGTCGGCCGTTCCCCTCCCCTTTGGCCGGATGCGGCTTCCACTTCACGGTGATCACTACTTCCGTAGGACCGCCCGATTCCGCCGGGGGCAGCGCGGCTTGAAGACGCACGTTTTTCTGTATAGCTGCGAGCTCAGGATCGAGTTGAATGCTGCCGTCGGAATCGTCATCGAGCTCGATGGTGGGTGAGTATGCTCGGGGCCGTCCATCGAGCGCTTGCCTAATGAACCTGGTTCAGAGAACGTACGAACGTGACGAAGAGAACACTTGCCGTATAATCTCGCGCGCATGTTGCAAAGTAGCCTGTGGTAAGGCGGGCGGCGGGGTGATGGACCTCGACCGATCACGTTGGCCGCGTTTACGCTTGTGAGTGAGCTCCTCCCCCCAGCGGTCGACGTCTTCGGTCTTGTTTACATCAAGAAAACTATCGTCTGAATCGGAGATTACCCTCAAGAACGGCTTGAGTGAGTAAAGCTACATATCCGTGCATATACATGCCGCCCTCACAATGCAGCCTCCTCCTTGAGTTTTTCCCACTTCAGACGAGTCACTTCGGCCTCTTTGGTACGTTTACGATTGCGATTCGACCGTACTCGAGACGTCGATAATCCGTCTTCGTCTTCACCCGAAGAAGGCGAGGAGGTTCGCGATTCGAGTTTATCTTCACGTTGCGTTGTAAAGACAACGCATATATGACATTAGACTTGCGCAAGGGATACAGTACATGAGGGATCACCCCGCGTAGACTTCTCTAGCCGCTTCCACGTGTTTGGATTACGAGTTGTATTCTTGATGAACAACATATCATCCCGGTTGAGCTCCTGCTCGCGCTGGCTAACATCGGAAGAGATAACGGGGACGCCAGAGGAAGATGAACCATCTGGTGGCGAAGTGGCGACAGCTTTCCGAGGACGGGGACGGGGACGGGGACGAGTCGACATGAACAAGAAACAAGAGTGGTGGTTCCACGGTGGGCGTCCGCGCGTTGATCATCTCATGAGTCAGTGTGGGATCCTCGAGTCCTCTAATAAGTCCTGGATATCTACAAAGGTACAGCGCAGTTTATCTGACCACAACTATGCCAATGGGAACATGGCCGTACTGATGTTATTGAGGAATACTCTCGATGTTCATTAGTCTTACAGCCTAACGCCCATCCTGAAAAGGAAAGGCATGTATCGCCACCGAAAGCCCACTCGCTCCATTTGCTATTAGTATGAGCGGCCGCGAGCTGTTGGCGTTGCTCGCTTATCCGATCGGTCATCCTCGCACGCTGAATGGATCTCGGGAGATACGGTTACTTCGTATGATCTGGTTGCTTCTATCTCCACCGGTTTCTGGCGAGTTCAGGCAGGGCCCGCAGGTAAGGCGGTCCTGCCGGGTGCACGGCGGTTCCATGGAATAGTTCGATGCGACGTTGGTGCACTCCGGGATCGACACACTCGCATCACCGGTTGTTGCAAGCTTTACGGTTCTCTATGCAGTCCACGTCAGGTTGGCTGGGGTTGTCCCGTGAGCTTTCATCAGCGCCCAGCCCGCCGTTTCATGGAACAAGCTCTCTCCGAAAGTGGCCTTCGAAGACATGTCACGTTCTCGTGGACCCTCGAAAGGGCGACTGCGGCCTTTCTTCTTGCACATAGCATTCTGGATATGACACGCTCAACGTACGGCACTCGCGGTCTTAAGCGGTAGATGGACGTATATAAGGGAGATGGGGGAGCATGTCAACGGCAGGTCATATCCAAACCATTGCGATCAATGACCACACCGATCCCACAACCACCAGCCGTACCGTTCTTGGGCAACCTCCGTGATATCGACCAGGAGGTGCCGGCGCGCAGTTATGCACTGCTCACGAAACAGTACGGCGGTATCTTCAAGCTCGTACTCGCCGGTATGTTGCATTACCGCACTCAACGTCGAGTACTTTTTTTTTCAACCAGCTGTTATAGGAGAGGAAGTCATTTTCTGCACCTCATACGAGCTGCAGAACGAGCTAAGTGACGAGAAAAGATTCGAAAAAGCTGTCCGTGGCGCACTAGAAGAGATCCGCGCTGGGGCTGGAGACGGCCTCTTCACGGTACGCACCTGATACTGAGCTTGCCGTCGAACCTGACGCATGCCAATACCTAACGGCAGGCATATAATCACGAACCAGATTGGGGCAAGGCTCGTAAGTCACGCTCATTACTCGGGCTTTACAACATCAACTACCATTTTGACTCAGATCGGCTCTTAATGCCCGCCTTTGGCACGGTCGCGCTGCGTGGCATGTTCGATGACATGATTGATATATGCTCGCAACTCTTGCTGAAATGGGAGAGGCATGGTGCTCACCATTTCACTCGCTGAAAGTTTTCTGACCGCATCGCCAGATTTGGCTCTACACATGTCATTGACCCGACGGTACATAGCTTGTATGCACGTAAACCCCGACGACTGACAGCAGGGAATATAGGAAGACTACACTCGCTTGACTCTTGATACCATCAGCTTGTGTGCGATGTCATATAGGTATGAATTCCGTTTGGTATAGTCGTGCGTGCCTAGCTGAATGCAACACACGTAGGATGAATTCTTTCTATATGGTGTGCACTCTACGAATCCAGCCTGACTGCCCTCGCAGTCAACTAAAAGCTATACAGGAGAATCAGCAGCCGTTTGTCAAATCGATGTCCGACTTTCTGGTCGAAGCTGGTTCCCGTTCCCGTCTTCCGGGTCTCGTACAGGCCTTCATGAAAGGTAGCCAAGCGAAATGGGACCAAGATATCAAGACGATGGCGGCACTTGCAGACCACAGTACGTCCTTTGTCACAGCTTCGTGGCCGTAGGCTCAGTGCTGTGCCAGTCATCGCCGATCGCAAAGCGAATCCGGTTGACTCCAAGGATGTTCTCAATACGATGTTGAACGGCAGAGACCCAAAGACAGGTGAAGGTTTAAGTGATGAAAACATACGGTACAACGTTGGTGGGCCGCAGATCCTTCAGGGCCACTATATCTCTAACATCGATGTTGCTGTTAGCTCATAACGTTTCTCATCGCTGGTAAGTCATGACAACTAGCCAGTACATCAGTGTACTAAACATTATGCGCATGAAGGGCACGAAACCACCTCAGGTTCGTTGGATCCGTGTGAGCTATTGCAGGCGTTAACACGTTGAGACCCAGGTATGCTTGGGTTCACAACGTACTATCTCCTCAAGAATCCGCATTCTTTGGAAACGCTGCGCGAAGAGATCGACACTGTGATCGGTGATAGGCCTATTCAATACGAAGATATCAGTAAGATGCCTTACTTGGTTGGTGCGTCGTGGTTCTCGCTGTTCATATCCGAGTGTTTTCGTTGACCACACGTTTCGTAGCGTGCATGAGGGAGAGCTTGCGCCTTTCGCCTACTGCGTTTGCTCGCGCCGTTTCACCGAAGGAGGATACCACCTTGTGCAAGGGCAAGTACGCTGTCAAAGCGAGGGCAAGGTTGAGTATCCTTGCCGCTTTCGCCCATCGTGATCCCAGTGTTTGGGGAGAAGACGTGGGTGGGAGACACATCGGTGCATCACGTACTGACCGAGATTATATAGGCTGAAGAGTTCCGTCCGGAACGGATGCTTGGAGGGAAGTTCGAGGCACTCCCGGTATGCTATTTTGATGCACCTCATTGCTATTCATCTGACAGCAGGTAGCCTAATGCTTGGCAACCCTTCGGCTATGGTGAGATTCCTCTTCATGTATGTCCTACTGGACTCACATGTTGTTTTAGGTATGCGTGGATGCATTGTATGTTGACATGCTCTCCTCCGTCATTGGGCTTCCCATCCGAACAGATGTATAGGGCCGCGCTTTCGCTCTCCAGGAGGCGCACATCGTGCTCGCATCGATTTTTCAGAAGTTTGACCTCATCATGGATGACCCCTCCTACACGCTGAAGATCAAGCAGACCCTCACCATCAAGCCGAACCAGTTTCATGTACATGCCATTCCGCGCAAAGGAAGAAGGCAACTCGTTGCTGCTCCCTCGTCTACTTTGCTCAGGATCTTGAGCGACGATGGAAAGGACCCCGAGGAGTCGAAGCCGCGTCCGCCCGCGGATCCCTCGCGGCCTCCAATGTATGTTCTTTACGGATCGAACGGCGGCTCTTCCGAGGCTTTTGCTCAACGATTGGCAACTGATGCCGCATCCCATGGTACGTATGCATATGCCCTCTTCAACCTCATGGGTGTTTGTTATTGACATGGTCTAGGTTTCCGTGCAACACTTGGAAACCTTGATTCTGCAACGGGCCACGTTCCTGCAGACGGGCCTGTGGCGATTATCACCGCGTCATATGAAGGTATACTCCGTTTGGTATACTGCCGTAGTGTATCCCTCAATCTGCCATAGGAGAACCTCCGGACAACGCGGCCCAATTTGTGGGATGGCTCTCGGCACTGAAAGGTGCAGAGCTGGAAGGCGTTAAATATGCTGTATTTGGTTGCGGCAATCGCGACTGGGTCCAGACTTACCAGCGTATCCCGAAACTTTGCGACTCACTTTTCGAACAACGCGGTGCTACACCTCTCATACCGCGAGGGGAAGGCGATGCAAGCGATGCGATGTTCTTCCAGGCCTTCGATAACTTCGAGGCTTTGTTCTGGGAGACCTTGGAAAAGGTATGCATGCAGCGGTCATTCTTACAGCGCACTGATATCCCGTTACAGACCGTCACCACCACAGGCACGGCTATAGGAGAGAATCTGAGTATCAGGGTCATCGACCGCGGAACCGCGCGACCGGCAGCTTTGCGGCAGGCTGATGCAGCCTTAGGTACGGTACTCGAGAATAGAATCCTAAGCAAACCAGGCACATCCGAAAAGAGACATATTGGTGATTGACGCTTTTGCCCGATTTTCATGAGCTAATGTGGTTGTCTAGAGTTCCGACTGCCCGAAGAAATGTCGTATCAGGCTGGCGACTACCTGGCCATGTACGTGCCTGATATAGGAAATTTGGCTGTATATTCATTGGTTCAGCCTCCCACGTAACCCCGAACGCGACGTTCGTCGTGTACTTGCGCATTTCGGGCTACCGGACGAGCAAGAGGCAAGCATAACAGCTGAGCGTTACCAATGATAAGCCAACTTGCTCCTAGATCAACATCACGGCCGTAGGACCCACCCCGCTCCCTATCAACAAGGATATATCCGTGAACACACTCTTGACGGGCTACGTCGAAATATCACAGCCCGCGACGACTCGGGACCTGCATACTCTCATCAAGCTTGCCACCTCGTCCTCTGAAGATTCCGTTCCTGCCCTGCAGACATTGCTTAGCGCGCACCGTAGTGAAGTCATCGACAAGCGCCTCAGTGTGTTAGACATCCTGGAAGCGCATCCTTCGATCAATGTCGAGTTTGCAACGTTCTTGAACATGCTTCCCGCCATGCGCATCCGACAGTACTCAATCTCGAGCAGCAGCCTAGTTGATCCATCTCGTGCGTCCGTAACCGTGAGCGTGCTCGACGCCCCAGCGCTTTCCGGCCGCAAAGAGCGATTCTTGGGCGTTGCCTCGACATTCCTCGCGGGCTTACGGAAGGGCGATAAGGTTCATTTGAGCGTCCGCGCATCCGCCGCGTCGTTCCATCTCCCCGCCGATCCCGATGTTCCGATCGTGATGTTCTGCGCGGTGAGTCTACTCGCCATATCGTCAGTTAACAGGAGTGACATGTATCATTTCTGACAGGGCTCGGGCATCGCGCCCTTTCGTGGCTTCATCCAAGAGCGGGCAGCGCAGAAGCATGCCGGCCGCTCCGTCGGGCGTATGCTCATCTTCTTCGGTTGTCACGCGCCTGACCAGGATTACCTCTACTTTGACGAGACCGACGGCGAAGCCCGGAAGTGGGTTGCAGAGGGAGTCATCGACCTACGCCCAGCCTTCTCCCGCGCGCGGGAGCAAAGCGCTGGGTGTAAGTACGTGCAGGAGTAAGTGGCATCAGCTCGCACCCTCATGCATTTGGATCGAATCGACTGATGGGCGGGCCAGGCGACTGTGGCATGACAAGGAGGATGTCCGCGCGCTCTTCGTCGAGCGCGCCCAGGTAGACCTCATACCATCGTCTTCGTCGTCCATGGGTGTCTAAAAATTGTCTCGTGTGTAGCTATACTCATGTGGTTCGCGCAAAATGGCGACAGGCGTGAAGGAAAAGCTTATTGAGCTTATCAAAGAATCAAGAGGTTGCAACAATACAGAGGCGGAGGCTGCGTTCGAGCGCGTTCGAGGCCGGTACGCGACCGACATATTCGATTAATCCCTCCTTGAGCCAGTGAGCATGCGGTCCGTCAGCGAAATTCTGTTCTACCATTCACAAATGTACTTTGTCTGAATGCGTGAATGTGCACGTAACAACAATATGTGTTCGTTGGGTCTGGTATAGACAGGCGACGTCTGTACTAGTAGGTTACATTGCAGGTTGAGCCCTTGATGATGACTCCTTATATAAGCTGGACCTCTGACCACAGAATGCGAGGCTATAACCCCAGATCAAGCCGGGCCATCGAGCTGCACTGCAAGACAAATCTGCCCACCATCCGGACAGCGAGGCAACGCCTACGCAGTACCGGGACGATCGGCAGGATGGGGAACGGTAAGATGGGGTACGAGAACTCCGAATCCTTGCGATCCTTCGTGGCCGGAAACGTCGCAGGCTTCGGCACCGGTATCAACTCGAGCAGGCGACCAGGTGGCTACGCTTGTGACCGAGCTTCGCCATCACCGACTCCAGAGCTGAGCATTGACAGGCAAAGGAATGCCGCCGAGGAGAGGCTGGGGCAGCCGAGTGGAAGCGTTTCGTTGAGGAAGATCGGGTTTCGAGGATTGTCAGGATCCATAGACCGAGCGCATATACTGACCTTGCATTCGCGCGACATGACCGAGATTCACCAGCAAGCACGGAAGGCCATCAGCGTGATTAAACTATACAAGACCGATGCGGCGACGGGTTCGGAGCCCCAGCCTGGGCAGGACAGTTTCGAAGTTTCGAACGTGTCGGGGTCAGTTACGACCGGAGTTCGGTGTGGCAGTGCCGTAGAGGATTCTCGATCATACCGGACTCCGGAACGCCGTAGAGCGCCCTATATGTCAAATCATTGCGGGCAAGGTCGACAGCCCAGGTGCAGTACGGATCCGGAGCGTTATCAACGTCCAACTTTTCGTAATAACCAATGCCGATGAGCCCGCTGGCGTGAAGAAGTTCAAAGGCTCCCTGGTGCCGAGCCCGAGCCAGTATCGTGCCGCATACCGAGGATACTCGGACTGAAGAAGGGTTCATGGGCACCTGACAGTGAGAACTTTGTTGAACGGTAACTTGTGCGAGAGACGCTGACATACCACTACCCTTCGATGTTAGTTCCGTCTGGGCCAAATGTGGTCATCCTCTCAACTGGTGTATGCGGATATAGCTCGCTATGACCTAGTATGCCTCTGATTCGTCCATGTAGGGGCGCCATGCTTACACGCCCGGCTGTTCTGCGTGGCTACTGAGCGGATTGGAGGCATAGCAGGGAAGTGAGAAGCATACATGTTCTCCACCTCATGTGAAGACGTTGTCGTTTGCCTGCAGTGAGGAATGGAATGGCTGAGACGCCGGGCGTTCACTCTGTGGGCTGAGTTCGTGTTTTGACAACTTCTCAGCGTTCCTGTGGTGTAACCTCGGCGCCGCCCTTACGTTCAGTAGCGCAGAAGCGGAGAGGGATGGGGCCTAGGTCATGCCGCCAACATCGTGCATACGGTAACGAGCATGCGTTGATATGGCGTACATGACTCGTGGCAAGACCTTGAGGCGAGGCTAGCTTCACTCGGAGCGGCAGTTATAAAGAGGGGTCAACGGCACGACACGGATAGCCTCCCAGGTTCACCGCGTTCTGTCATGTCGGCTTCCGACCTGGAACTGGAAGTATCAGTCTCGGAGGGCTATGCCGACTTCAATGTGCCCGCTGCTGGAAAGCCCTGCAAGACGTGGTACAAGATCTTTGGCGACTTAAAGTCGAGTAGACCACTCATCGGACTGCACGGCGGGCCAGGCGTTGTCCACAACTATCTCCTCCCTCTTGCCGACCTCACCAAAGCCTACTCTATTCCTGTCGTTCTGTATGATCAGATAGGCAACGGGCGAAGCACCCAGTTGCCCCAAAAGAAGTTTGACGAAGCGTTTTGGGCAGATCAACTCTTCGTGGACGAGTTGGAGAATCTGCTCCGGCATCTAGGCATCCAAAACGATTACAATTTACTCGGTCACTCATGGGGTGGGATGGTAGCCGCGAGACACGCGACGAAGAGGCCGGAAGGACTTCGCCGATTGATTCTGTCCAACGCGCCCGCTGATATGAAACAATGGCCCATCGCCCAGAACGCCCTTCGCAAAGGCCTGCCAAAGGAGGTACAGGATGTCTTAGACGCTCAGGAAGGTGTAGGTGCCTATCATTCGAAGGAGTATCAGGTTAGCGTCGTCAGTGTCGATCACGTAGCTTGAAACTTACGATTAGTGCACAGGATGCTATGGGGGTCTTCTACGGCAGGCACATGTGCCGCGTCCATCCCACGCCGGATGAGCTGAAGGCGTGTTTCGATCCGGATAACAAAGACGACACGGTTTGGATGACAATGTAACATTCAGTCAAACCATGGGGGATTATACTGACTATCCGATCCCCGATAGGAACGGTCCCTCCGAGTTCGAAATCACTGGGACGATCAAGGACTGGACGATCGTTGATGAAGCGCGAAATATCAACGCCCCGACGCTCTTGATCAATGGCCGTTATGACAGTGCGCAAGACAACGTGGTAGAAGGATACTTCGGGAGCATACCTCACATACGATGGTACACCTTCGCAGAGAGCAGCCATATGCCCCAACTAGAGGAGCGGGAGAGATTCATGCGTCTTGTTTCCCGCTTTCTGTTGGACGACATTTGATTCTGTGGGAGCAGTGACGTGGTTTTGCGGGGCAACATTCGCGATGGAGGAGCTGGCCGTGTAACGATGCATGAGTAGTCGTCGGCTACCAAGTAGCGATAGAATGTCCCATGTTTCGCACTTAGAGCAAGGACAGTCCGAGTCGTTGATGAGAATGAGCTCGATGATCTCATCGACTCGCACGATGCTACAGCCTACCGGCCTGTTCCGAGAGTATATACGTCATTTTGCGTGAACCAACCATCCTCCAACGAGGTCCTCCGTACGTATATCCTCGCCGTGCATTATTATCACTAGAGCATCCAAAAGGTCAATGTCGTCTCGCTTTGCTCGCCAACTTTTCCGCCTTGCTGCTCGCCGCACCTCTGCTGGCACATCCCGCGCTGGTGGTCAGCGTTGGGCTAGCACACATGCAGCGGACGAGGTCAAGGCCAAGTCTAGTGATTTGCCCTGGCTGGTAGGAGCCCATATCCTAATCCCTAGCTATTATCCCATTAATACCGCAAATTAGATCGGCGCTGGTGTGATCACATTTCCTACGGTAGGAACACAGTTGCTGAGGCACGTCCGGGCTCACCACCGTTGCCACGTTATAGACCTACTACATCCTGACCCAACATCCCGGAACACATCATGCTGCTGCACATCAGGGCTCACATGGTCATGACGCCAAGGAGATTCCCCACACCCCCACCCCCACCAAGGATGACGAAGGGACCGAAGTTCCAGCGGCAGAAGTGAAAGAAAGCATTACGGAGGCCTACGTGCGTAGCCATGAGGTATTGCTTCAAATCTCAGCGCTCACAAACACTCCTCTCATGTAGCAAGCTGACTCGCCTAAGGACGCTGAGGAAGCAGAGGAAGGCAAGAGCACCCAGCAGGGAGAGACTTCAGAATTCGACGGAGGTTAGTTTCCCGGTATAGCGGAGAGATTCGCTGGTTTTTACATCTTTCAGGCGCTCCCGGTCAAGACGAGAAGTCCGAGGGAGACGTGGAGCAGACATCGAAACCTAGCACTGTGGCCGGAGGTCGCGAGCCCCTCAACCAAGGCGACGCCCGGTCGAAATCTACTGTGAGTTTCATGGAGGCGGTCAATGTGATCATCCGCCAATATCTATGTTACAGGATGGTCAGGACCCGAAACAGGTTCAGACTGAGCTCGACCCCGCAAAGGAGGGCACTGAAAACCCCAACGAAACGCCGCGCAAGCAATGAACTCGTGCTTAGTTGTACTTGCCCCATGCGTAGATCGCCCAATCCATGGACAAGTGGACATAGTGCTTCTACCCACATGCCATGTGCTGACGGCCTTCATAAAACTGCGTGAATGGCCCCGCCGTTGCCGGCACTTCGTTATTTTCTGCGCCAGGCAAATCCAACGATGCATTAACGATTATGTGCCTGTCGACATGATATAACACGAACTGCACGAGCAGGCATAGTTCCAGCATGGTTCAGGCAAATCCGGCTCAGATCCACTCGGATTGCCACGCCTCGGGATCATAATTCGCGACAAGTTCTGGGTCGTCCTGAAGAGTAGGACAAACGTTATTTTGCATCCTCTTATGCCGGGAATAGTCGTTACGCACCTTGAATTTTGCTTGAAATTCCGTGAAACCCCCTCGAAGGACCAACACCTCGTGAGCTTTGTCCTGCCCTTCACTTTGGAGCATGTCTCGCGTTTGCGAGTATATCTATTTGGCATCAAACACGAAGGATTCCCGAACTGGACGAAAGTCGTACCCGAGCGGCTTTCGGTCCTCTAGAAGGGCGGAATGAGCACCCCGAGTAAGGACACCCGAACATATCGGATGCTCACCTCACTTGTGAGAGTGCGCAATGGAAAACGACAATCGGTATATCCTATTCCGCATCTCAAAACAGCCACGCATATCTCCTGCGGAGGTGACTCACCTTCGTCTTCTTGACAAGATCGTCCACGTTCGCGAGGAATTGCCCCGAAGGGCTGTTGAGTGCATTCACTATGTTTCCACCCCGATAATCATCGTCGCGCACGTCGATCACAATATAGTCCCGGAGTGCCACCTTGTCCTTGGATTTGATGATCGCCGCGAGTTCCTGCAGATCGGGTGTGCATTGTGCCGTGTAGGGTGAGTCCCATGAGAAGTCAGAGCAACGTGAACGTCCCCATCAAAGAATGCAAAGAAATTCCAGAGCTGGATGGCCCACGTCGTTGGATATATACTTGAACATGACTGAACGACGGCCGTGCCACAACTAGTAGTACTGTGATTCTGAGAGGCAAGTTCGACGGAAAACCGCGGAGCGATTCGCCGCGTCGCGGCCGAGCCGCACCAAGCCGCATGACCTACGCATGCAAAGCCCAAGAGCGCTCTCATCTGCAGCAAATGGTGTTCCATTACGCATATGCACACTGAACAGGGCACAACGTTAAGCGCATCTTAACTGCTAGCGCATGCAAACTGTATACCAACCTCAGACGCGAGGATCTATCATCGCTGGGTGTATACTAATAACAGTGATAAAACCGGAACGACGCTTGCTTGATTCATTCGCTGAGGATCAGCAGCGAACGCGCCCTGTAGTAACAGTACGGATACGTGTCGTGGAAAGTTGTCGATATGTCGGACAACCGAACGAACCGTGCGCACAGTGGGTCATTCGGCCGCAGAAGCCTCCATGTAGCGCAGGTCAAAAGAGTTTCCTGGATGAGTCTGATATGCCGAGCAGCATATGGCGACTACAGGTGGATAAAGGCACAAGTGCCAGGCCTGTCGTCACTCAAAGATTCGAATCCTTGTGCTCGGGGTCGACAGGATTGGCAAGATCAGATCCGTCCAAACATTGATGCAACGAACTCCATGAATAAGGCAGAGAGATGAAGTCACTCATGGTAGAATACCCACACCGCCTAGACGGGCTTTCACCGCGTTTGGCACGAGTTCAGAAGGCAAGGCGGCGACGACCTAAAGCAACGACGAGGTCAATGGGCCGACGAATGCAACTGTATAGTCTCGACGTTACCTTTCGCATACGCTCCTCACCACCCACCTCCCAACCCGTCTCCGCTATGGGTAACATGCACTCCCCAACTAACGTAGTCACCAATTCTCCCATACCAAACTTTTCGCCGGTATACTTACGCCATTGAAGCATACATTGCAGTAGTTTGCTTTGCTTTGTTAGTAGACGACGTCGGGCCGGAATTGCTTCTGGATCGAAACGCGGATTCACCAATGTCATGTACGGAGTGATGACATTGGTCATAGCGGTGACAGCATCTGAGAAGACCGACACAGCCGCTTTGAGGAGAATCTACATTGAATGTAAGAGAGAACCTACGCTCATATAGGCAATCGTTTGTACGCACCTGAAGCTTTTGGTTATCGCTGGCTACGGATACTTCAAGTTGTTCGGCCAGATCAACTAGTTTTCGAGTATGCCGCGAAGAGTATGGATCAAATGCGCCGCCACCTATAACTCTGCATACACGCGGAATTACGGCGGTGGAGATCATCGAAGGGACGAGATCGCCTTCTGGGCTCAGCGCAGGTTCGTCCTCGTCGTCCTCGTCGGCATCCGGGTTGCGAGGTCGAGAATATTCAAAGAGCGAAGTGTACCATCGAAAGCTATCTAAGCCTCTGGGATCCTAGATAGGCTATCAAATACCCGCCCAATATAAGCTGAAATCAACTCACTTCTAAAGGATCCCACCCAAGTATCTCGAGCCGAACCCAAAATTCCCAAGCGCCGACGAGGCCTAAACCACCCCATGCACCTTGGTAAATGTCGCCGAACTTCTCCCTCCATTCGCTGAACCATTTAGCAAGACCTTTGGCTGGATCTCTAAAGTCCGCCGCCCGTACATCACCCAATATCTCCTCTCGGTCATCGGACAGCCTTCGCATCGCTTCCTCAAAGTCGACAGCGTCTGGCGGATCGAGAGAAGAATCCGTTGAAAATCCTTCCTCCTCGTTGCGATCCGATCTTCGAGGTAGGCTTCGGTGACGATTATGGCGAGAAGTACGAGCCGTGCGCCTGGCGCGTCGAGAAGCCTCAGGGTTCGCTTGCGGTATAACGCGACCCAGCTCGTCCACGACCTCTTCAAGTTCAGCTTCTGCGGGGAGAGAACCCAGAAATATTGAGAGATCATCCTCAATGTCCGTCTGTCGTCGCTTGGTGATCATGTCCCGCCGTTCGGCTAGGAGAAAAACATGCTCTTCTTCGAGTTTCTCCAGCATTGGGAACTAACTCCGATGTCAGCGATGCCTGAAGAGGAGGGGATAGAGTTGAAATACCTTCTCATCCAAAAACGTCGCAACATTCTCGATATACTCCCGAAACGCTGCAAACCAACTCCTCTTGGCTTCAGCCTCACGAATCATCTCACGCAGCTCAGTTTCACGAGTCTCTAGTTGCTCCCGCTCATCTGCTAGCTTTCGCATAGATGTGCTGCTATCAGCATGAGAGGTCGTCAGAGAGGTGAGTGACTGTGTAAGACGCTGGATGGAGGGACCCAGCGAGGGTATAGGCGTCACGGCAGGTACTGGAAACTTGGTCAGCCTAGATGTCAGCGTGATGATGTATCGGACGTACTCGGAGCAGGCTTGTACGTCTGTCTGACGGTGCCTTCAGTAGTTTCTACGCCCAAATGTCCACCCCTGCGGAGTTGTTCTTGTTCCCATTCTATCGTCTCTTCGTCCTCCTCCTCGCTGTGAAGGGCCGGTCAGCCAAGGGCGCTCAGCGAGGACTAGTTGGTGTACACACGCGTCAGCAATCAACTCCCTGATTTCCTCCTTGCGCTTACTAGCTTCCTTCTTGCGCGATTTCTTGCCAAGCGCAATACGTTCCTGAGCACTGGTGTATTCGGCGAATTCTGTGAATGAGCCGTCAGTGATTCCTGCAGATCCAGCGTACATCTTCCGCATATACCGTCGTCTCCTTCGCCTATTTCATCCTCTTCCCGCATAAGACGACTCCCAGGATGTGGCCCTGGTGGGCCCGAATCATATTTAGAGACCGTCAATGATATGAAGTCCTCTTCAGGCCCTTTGCGAAGGCGATCACGTTTCTGTTTCGCAGCCACGATTGTCGATTCAGATGGAATGGCCGCCCCAGCATTGTCTTTGAGAGCGTCAACATGAGATAATGTTTGTGTGTTGCTTGCGCACCTATGAAGTCCATCTCGGATACACGTTGCCCTGAAGCATCGTCCACATCCATCGACACGTCCGTGGACTCTTCAGTGGCGAGACGGGGTCGAGTGGTGGGGGTGCTCGCTTTGAGTTGAGATAGGTACGCGGCGTCATAAACGGGTCCAGTGGATTGAGCGGATATATTCGCCTGGTCTAATGACGCTGGTAGGGGGCTTTGTGGTCCATCAACGATTGCCCATACCTGCACAGCGAGGACTAAAGATACCTAGAGGCTTTCCCTAGAGTCAGCTTGCGACTGAGGTTTGACTTCTTGACCTGGAAAACATCGCCATCGCCTTCCTAAGGCCGAGTGAGGTCGTGTTTACCATATCACTCGTTGAACGCTCACGTCCTCATCTGGCCCACCGAAGCTCAGCCGAGATTTGGTTTTTGAGCGCGCCTTCTTCTTCAGCTTCGTGGCGAGAGTGCTGGGGGATTCGCTTGAGTCATCGTCGGGCGGATTTTCTTCGTTGTTCTCGGCATTTGATGTCCGTGCTCGTTGGGCGACCTTGGATTTGGTCCTTTTGAAGATAACGGGTGCGTCGCTCATTGCACAACACAAGTGGTCGGTCCGGAGGTGGCGCCAAACGTGGCGACAACAGCACGTGTATGGGCGCCTGTCTGAAGCTCTGGTTCTTGTCTGGTAAGACCTAGCTTCCGATCATCCCTTTACACGCAAATTCCATCGCCTGTGCGCCAGAGAAGTACAATCAGATATGCATGCAGAGATAAATTATAGAGACGTCTTGCACCCCAGCACCCAGTGTAGCCGAGGATTAACTCGTTAACAGCCCATCATATAACGTGGCAGGGGATGGTTCCTTCATTATATTCTCTGCGCAACCAGACGCAGACATAAGGGCATACCCATGTCGTCGCTGCCGTACGCACTCACCTTCTCCCCCTTCTGCCCCTCCCCCTCTGTGCCATGCTATCTAACCGCCTGTGGACCTGCATGGCGGCTCTGGTGGTCGTCAAATACATCGTCTGGTCCTTCAGACACCATGATCTACGCCTTCGCGAGCCGTGGAATCTGCCCTCGAACTACAAATCAATTGTATAAGCCGGAACGAGTCCCGAGCCAATTGTGTTCAGCTTGCTGATACTTGGCGCAACTACCGTACGGGAGGGCTTATATACAATCAAATTTGTCCTCATGCTCGCCACACGCCCGGTAGACATTCACATCGTCTGCACTGCGGATGCCGTTCCGATCCCGAAAACCCCGCTGGTCCTCGTCGATAGACCGGTGCGGGATATAATTGTCAGACTTTACGTCGTCGACGAAGAGTACGCGTTCGAGCGCGTGCGCCGAAGTGGCGTAGGCAGCTGGTAGGTAGGTAGGTAGTATTAACCGGCGCGGTCCCAATACCGGAACAGCCGGGCCCCAGGGCCTCGCACTAGTGGCGAGCCGGGACACCCTGGTCTACACGGTTCCCGTCCGCTCTATGAGCCAACACACCGCTTCGACCAGAGTGTGCATAATTACATGAATGTGTATCGTACTGTATGCCCTACTCCAGGTCTGTCCTACCCCAGAGTCCTGACCTCTTCAGGCCCCTACCTGCGCTGTAGTCGATCCATGTCGGCGCACTAAAAACCCAACCACTAAAACCCAGTGGGAAAAAAGCGGTTGGGGAAAAGCATCCTCGATAGACTGAGCAACATAGGTATATGTCAATCATTGGCTTTCAGAAGCGAGGCAGGGGATGCCATCACCAGCGCGGTCTCGCAACAGGCCGAGAAGCGGGGTCAGGGAGAGCCCAGACGGAACAAGCTCCCGGAGGCGGAGCAGGGGATGCCATCGCCGGCGCGATCTCGCAACAGGCCGAGAAGCGGGGTCAGGGAGAGCCCAGACGGAACAGGCTCCCGGAGGCGGAGCAGGGGATGCCATCGCCGGCGCGGTCTCGCAACAGGCCGAGAGGCGGGGTCAGGGAGAACCCAATTGGAAGGCGGAGCGGGGCCAATGCGACAAGGCTCAACGCGGGATGCGGAGAAGACTGAGTCACGCTTGCGAGGTGCAGAGCGGGTGGGCGTGGTCCTGGCTCGCTCAAGGCGGAGCATTCAACGTAGCAAGCCTCGCGCACAAAGCGGAGGTCTAAGGGAGAGCTCAACGCGCAAGGCGGAGCAGACAGGTAGACGCGGGGAAGATGCGTCACGTGACCGATGTAGATGGAGCGGATGTTCGACGTTCGGCGGGGCGGAGGCGACAAGGGGGCACAGAAGTGCGGTGGTCGTTGAAGGAAGTGAAGCTAATGGGATGATATGATATGACTTGAAAGTCTTCGTTGGATGTCTTCATCGGAGGGAGGAAGGGTGCGTCCGTGGTCGCGGTCCAACGGGGGTCCAAGGCAAGTGTAGGATAGTCCACCGCAAAGCGAC